CTCGTTAGTACATATCAGTAATTGATATTTTTTAGAACTGCTGTGGCTTGTATCACTTAGCGCTGAACCGATATCTTAAAACAAGTGTACTTACTTACACATTTCGAAGTCTTATAGTCACGGATTGAATTGAACGTAAGATAAGAAATTCACAATCCTTTTCATCTGTCAACCTCTAGATTAACAGGTGATGCGTTTACACAGCTGGAGAACACGTCTACATACCACAGAACAATGTACAAATACACAACGAAGACATTTCGGCTACAAAATGAAGAAAGTGGTCTGCAGTTACTTGACTATTACTGCTCAACGATGAGGTGTGAAGCAACAACTAATGAGTTGGAAGTAAGCTAGCAAAAAGGGACTTCTGACTCAATTCTTCTTAAACATAATAACTAGTTAGGGTGTACTTCATGCAGTTTTTAACTTAGTAGTTCCCAAATTGTGAGCACCAAGGTAGATGTAGTTTAAGGACAAATTAGTGCACCTCTAATTGAAAGTCATTTCTGCAATTACTGTCTGACCCATTTGTGTAAATATGTACTTAGAAGACTAATCTGTCACTTGCGGTTATCAAAGTTTCAGATTCCATATGACTGACTGTTGTATTTGACCAACGATTTCGATTCGGAGTTCGAACTTTCAATCTCCTGTTTGCTGTTCTGACTGACAAACATAAATATAAATAACATATCAAATTCAGTAATCGTCAGGGAAACAATTCACAGTCACAGCAACAGTGTTTTCCAACTGTTACAATCAAGATGACAAAAGGTGAATTGACTACACAGTTACTACCTGTAACTAACTAGTACTGTCCCACTTAGATGGCGACACAAGGCCATAGCTAGGTAGTTAACATAATTGACTATCGATATTTCTTTACATCTCGGCCAAAAAGACATTGCCAGCCAACAGTTCGCTGACTTGTTCAGTAATTCAGGCGCCGCTAATCACAGTTCTGTTCAAATTCTCATAATACATACACATTCAGTTTTGGAGGTTAGTGGAGAATTATTGACTTCAAGTTGGTATTTATTACCCATTGATATCAGTTGGGGAACCAGTGAGGACCTGGAAGCACTGAGCAGCTGTTTCCTTATGGTATTGGATTCATCAGCAATGCGTACTTCCAACTTCACCAGGAAGTGATCCCATCCCCACTGCCAGCCATTGTGTTGGAATCCGATGGTCCATATTTCCTTACATCTATCAGGTTACGGTATAGCATGACCTCTATCCAATACCGTTGTCAAATACCTGTCTCCAAGTCGAAATTGGTTTGCTTCATCAGTCGACTTCTCATTTGAACTTCGGGAAATCTGATCTCGAAGCATGTCATTAATGAGCTTAGAATAGGAATTCAATTTTGGAGGTTTGTCAGGATGTACATATATATACGTGGAAATGAATTCACTAGGAGAAGTCATTTCATGAGTTGTCATCAAATAGGTAAAAAAGAACTGTGGTTGTTGTGAGAGTAATGACGTCACGATATCATGTCTGAATTCCCTTCTGTTCTGAAGTGTAACTTTTGACAATGATTAATTCACCGTGGTTCGCATTGATGTATGTCACATTCTATGGGGAGAGCTGGAAAGAAGGATTTTATCGAGTTCTTCTTCGATTGCTTAATGACTTTGTAAATATCTGTTATCTTGACACCCGAACTAAGGACATCCATGGTCTTCGCAACGTCAACAGTAGCATTTCTCATGAAAAGAAAATCACTGAATCAGTCACTGTAAACTGCATGAATAGATCGACTGAAGGATAAAACTTGGGTAATGTGGTAGAGTATAATCCCATTATTTACTGCATAACATTTCAAGCATAACTTATTTCTCATATCCATGCCAAAGTTATCATATGACTTTCAGACTTCTTTCTTATAGTTCACCAGTTCTTCATTCTTTTGTTTTAATGTCAGTAAAATTTTCCAGATATGTGTAATATGTGATGAATCATTCCTGTTAGGCGTTAATTTAATGAACAAAGATTCTGTGACCAAACTCTCCCTCTTGTCACCTAATTATATTGGATTTTAGAAGTGTCACCCTATCCCACTCTATAGTGTAATTATGGGCCAGTGCATTCACAGTGATAGCCGTGTTTTTCTTTGAATTACCTATCTTAGTAGGGTCTACTATTGTATATTTCTTTGAATTTTTGTATTCTCCTCTTCTGACGGACGCATATCAGCTGCTTTGACCTATGTACTCGACCTGACCATCATTGTATGTTATTTGATAGATAAGTTTATTGCTTCTTAATTGGCTCTACCGGATCTTCTAGACTACAAAGTTTGTGGGTTTAAATGTCATTCAAACCCCAGCATTTTTTACCCCAAAATAATACCTCACGATCATGGCTACAAACGTATTATCCCAATTGAATTTTTAGAAGAAATGAGTACGTTTATAAGGTTTCAAAAACTTGACATCTCAGTGACACTTTCATATGAATGGTATTCAAGAAGACAAGAAGGCAGAGACGAAGGAAGAAATGTTAATTACTGACATCTAGCACAGTAGTCATCAAATATAGTCCACCTTGCACTAAGACAGTCATTTGCATAGTGTGCTTCATTTCCTTTTCTGCTTCTATCTTGTTTCGCTCTTTATACGTCCGCACTATCGCTTGCATTTCTTTGGGTAGAATCGTTACCCATTGCTGGTAATTGCCTATGATTTCTGCCACCCTCTCAACATATACTACTTATTTAGTATTTTTGCTTGTATTACACCGTCGTTGATTAGACCGAATTGATCAGTCTCTCTTGGCATATGGGCTCCCATGCAGACGCCTCGATATTGCCTGTCTTTTTATATATCTACATATCTACTTATATCCATTCTTATCAGCAATGCCCACTACAGTATCATTTTCGTAGAACTGATTAACTAGTCTATAAATCTGTAGACATTTAAAATGCCTTTTTGTCGTTTACATGAACAGTATAAACGTGTCAACATAACATCGAGTTGTTACGACACAATATAGGCTTATAGGTTTTGCTTTCAACTTTGCGTACCTTTTACACAGATTTAAGACTTTATCATTTTAGAAAGTCTTTCTTTACATTGACCTACCTACCTTCATCTTAAATGACATCAGTTGGGGAACCGCTGAAAATCTGGGAGCACTGAACAGCTGTTTCATCCTAGTATGAGACACCTCAGCAGCATGCACCCACGAACCAGTTAGGGATCGAACTCATGACCTTCAGGATATACGGCGAATGCGTTAACCATTCAGACACGTTGTTCGTTTTCCGTGGTTCGGAATTTCTAACTTCTGTCAATTCATGATATAGTGTGACTATCACCCAAGGTCTTCAGTTAGCATCCGCTCCACTTCCAACTGGTTGACCCTACAAGTCATAACTTCGCATTAGAGCTTCATGATATCCATCTGGAAGCTGGTCACTAATGAGCACTATACAGTAGTGTATTTTTGAGATGAATGGGGTCAACCAGTTGGAAGTGGAGCGGATGCTAACTGAAGACCTTGGGTGATAGTCGCACTATATCATGAATTGACAGAAGTTAGAAATTCCGAACCACTGAGAACCAACAAAGTGTGTGAATGGTTAACGCATTCGCCGTGTATCCTGAAGGTCATGAGTTCTATCCCTAACTGGGTTATGGGTGCGTACTATTGAGGAGTCTCATATTAGGACGAAACACCTGTCCAGCTTTTCAATGGTTCCATGATGAATACTACTTCGAAATTAAAAATTTCTATTCATCTCAAAAATACATCAATGACTAATTGTTTAAAAGTTAATACTGAGAAGTTAACAATAAAAATATTTTCATATTTATTAGTTAATTCTGACAAATTTGAACAAAACAATTAAAGAATTGTGATCAGATTTTGAAAGGATATTCATCTCCTATAACCTATATAGTGTTGAATGAATGAATGAATGAATTGAATTGAATTCAATTGGAAATAATTTCACAATGTCATGGTGTCTAACACAAAGGGAAAGAGGAGAAGAAACACAAAACACTTATGATTACATAATAAAATGGTAATTTGTATTCATTGATTGTTTATTTCTTTTTAAAACTATTTTATAAATGTAAACTTTACAGAAGATTTAACTCATGTATTTTGAATTCGAGATTTTGTCCCCGCCCCCGCCAGGTTTCAAATTACTCTGTTGTTAACTTAAAAAAAAAGGTGATTAGAAAGAAAAATAATATAATTATACTGAAGGAAAGTGATTTTTCTCTCTAATCTTATAAATGCAATCAGTTTACATTGTCAACATAGTGTGTCAGAGGGATTCTGTTAATTTTCACAACTGTCAACACTCCTACAGATCAACTTTTATTAGATCACAATCGATTAGAACAAGAAGATAAGTCCAAGATTCATAGACATATGAATAAAACTTTTTTTTAATGAAGGTAGTAAATGAGATGTCAAGAATTTCAAATAGGCGGGATACGGTCATCATACCAGTAAAATACGATTAGTATATACAACAAGATTCCAAAATTTTCTTTCCAATATGAAGTGATTAAGGAAGACATGATTTATTTAGCTTTATTAATCACATTTTTGTTTATCTCATATATGTTGTGTATAGAAGAAGGGAATTCATAACAAAGTAGAAAAATATAACAAGCAGATAAACCAGAATATGTAGCCTCTCGGTTAGTCAAACAAAATGTAAATGGGATAGGCATAAATTTCCTTCTTTCACATTTCTATATCCATTTACTTCATTCTTAGTCAATAGTTAGTTGAAATAATAATAATAATAATAATAATAATAATAAACAATGAAAAGATAAAGCGTGTTCAATGTACAATAGTCAATTGAATTCACCATTCAATGGTTTCAATGTAAATTTTTTTATAATTTACAATATTATTTAATGCAGAGATTTGAATGAAGTACATACAAGCAAATAATACTGATAATAAGAACAGGAATAACTATGAATAGTGAATATAATTGCATAAAATAGTCATTAGTATTATGTAGCATATCTTTCGAAAGACTCAAGATATTCTAATGCAGTTGCATAACAGAATGCATATTCACTAGCAGTTTGTATTAGACCAGGACGTTGCCATCGTAAAAGTTTAACAGTTTGAAACATGTCTACAACACCCTCATAACGCATACGTTCAAGTACAAGTGAAATGGCCAAGAAGACACCAGTCATTCCAGCACCAAAACTATAAGAATAAAAAAAGTAGAAAGTTTATTTTGAACACTGTTTATCAAATTATTAAAGAAATACTACTGAACATCAGTAATGTGCAGTTTGAAGTCACTTATGCTGATCTACAGATTTTTCCTAGCATATCAGAGTGATGTAATCACTGGATGTCTGTTCCACTCATTTGTAGCTGAGTTCATCAGCTTGGTTTCAGGAGGATTCCAGTCCGTGGAGTAGTCAATACTGAATTATCATAGCTGAACCAGTCACTGCCTAGAATAGAGTTGCTAGAGTTAGTATTCAGTTTGGATGTTTGTAGGGTATTCACCTGTTGATTTCAGGTTGCTATACGTCATCATGGACTGACATCATTTGGGGAGACATTAGATACCTAGGAGCACTGAAGGGTGGTTTCGTCCTAGGATACGACTCCTCAGCAGTCCTCAACCATAAGCTCGCTATAACATGGACTGACAAGAGCAGGCTATGTGAACCGTTGGATGTCTACTCACTGACTCATTGTCAGTGTGCTGCTCAGGGGACCCGAAGGTCCTGAGTCCAAGCCCTGGAGGCTAGTGGGTGAGCACTGCTGAGGAATCTCACGGTGGGACGAAACAGCTGTCCAGTGCTTTCAGGTTTCCAATGTTCCTCAAATTGATGTCAGTCCATCATCATGAATGCAAACCTGAAATCAAACGGAGAGTAGTTAACTGCTACCGTCTGTAGTCATATGTTCCACTAACCAGTGAGGGTGTTGCAGTAAAGGAATGTGTGAAATAACTTTTGCACTATCGCTCATCATTTACTGCTGATGAGTGTTTTCAAATGTTTCTAACAGGTATATTTAAGTACATTATGACCTTTACGTAGCTGTTGGAGTAGACTTTAATGGAGAACAGTAGAGAAAAATGGGTTCAACTAGCACCATATACCAACGCTGAAGTGTTTCGGTCTCCTCAGTATCTGTTCAAATTCTCTGGTTTCTATTCTAGCAGCTACTTCGGAGGGACCCAGTAATAACGCGCTCTGTTATGTCTTGCTCTGGCGATCCTCAGTTTTCGTCTGACCTAATCCAGCCCTAGCGAGAATAGAGTGTTGAAGCCATCGTTGTTTGACATACATAGCACATGTCAATGAAGATTCACAGCGTTATCATTTGAATACTGTCCACTGCTTAGTATTCTTTACCTATATCCTGTGTAACTTGCGGGATGGTTGCATCATGCATAATTGACGCCATAAAGGTGATAAACGTTGAATCCCTGTAGTTTTCTGAAATCCGTCTTTAGTGGTCATATTTCATAGACTTTTGGACAAGTAAATAGAGCAACAGGTAAAATAATTTAGAGGATGGTAAAATGGACCGATAAAATTGAAATCGGAGACTTAGTTAAGTATTATTGGCTATATTATTCCGTTTGTTTTAAAAGACATTTCACTCAAGGCTTCATCTATAGTATTGTTGTATAGCTCAGCTTACGAGCTTTATATTGACTAGCTAATTATTTCCGTACGACAGGAGCAGGCAGGCAGGCTTCAGGAAGTACAAATCATGTGTGGACCAAATTGTAACGCTACACTATGCATCATCATAGAAGAGAGTATAGAATGGTAGTCAAGTCAACTCTACCTCAACTGCATCGATTTTGAGAAGGCCTTTGACAGCGTCGATCGACAAGTAATTTGGAAACTGCTTCAATACCACGGAATACCACAAACCTTTATCAATCTCATTCAACAACTATATGAAGACACCACATGCCAGCCAACTAATTCACAATCGGAAACTCACTGATGCTTTTGAAGTGAAGTGAAAACAGGAGTGAAACAAGGCTGCCACCTACTATCACCCATCATATTCCTCATTGTGGTCGACTGGACTCGATCATGTAACAAACAGTGAGGAGTGAGAAGATGGGCATACGCTGGTTGGACCGATGAAAAGACCCCAGAAGGAGATTTGGGTTTCGCCAACGATGACTTGTGTCTAATGTCTTGTTACACAAACTGGAAGATCTACAGACAAAAACTAACAAGTTGACAGAAGAGGTGAGGCAGCGAAGGAAGACGGGACTTCAAGTGAATATAGAGAAGACAGAGGTGATGATGATACCCAACCAACACCACCATCACCACCATCACCACCACCACCAACAACAAGCTCCAATCACCATGAACGGGAGAAACTTATAGGAAGTAGCCTATTTCACCCACCCTCCTAGGCAGCGTCCCTTCAACTACAGGTGACGGCACAGGCACAGATGACGACGTCAAAGCCAGACAGGATTGGAAAGATAGTAAGATAGGCGTTGATTAACCTGAGACCAGTGTGGAGATCTTCTGCACTGCACTGCACTGCACTGCACTCAGCATAACGCGTGAACATCATCCGGATTTTCAACACGAACATCAGTCAAGTCAATGCTTGTGTATGGTTGAGAGACTTGGTGACGCGTTACGAAAGGGATTTCCAACAAAGTGTAGATATTCATCGAGAACTGCCACCTACGCTGGTTCGTTACTGAAGCTCATATGGTCAGGTTAATAAGAATGAGCAATAAGGAACTGTAGCTGGCTGGCTGGCTGGTAATGAACGAACCAGCAACCTATGGCACAACAAATATGCAGTGGAAGGAAGTGTAAGTGTGAGTGGAGATGGATTGGGCATTCACTGAGAAGGCCGACTGGGGACATCTCGCGTCAGGCCATGCGATGGAGTGGAACTGGGTGATAAACGACGAGTTGGGGTTCCCAACTGTGGGTGATATGGAGGAGATTATGTGAGGAAGAAATGAGAGGTTGTGGGCAGTGGTGGAGTCAGGTTGAAAAGTTTGCAGAGAAGAGAGTGTAATGGAGACGTGCTACTGAAGCTCTGTGTTCCATTAGGAACCCAAAGGACAAATAATAATAATAATAATAATTTTCGTATGAGTCATGGTTCCTAAGTGAAGGCATGTTAATTAAAATAGATTATTGTGCACTATTCTACTTTCTATGTATGAACTCGGTTATTTCATTTAAACAAGTTCTGACGCATTGTTGATGTGATTCAGATTGCATACAATAGAAAGACAGTGAGTGCTTAACCTTCGCCTTCTATATTATATGCAGAAACGCGTAGAAGAACTGATGGTTGAAGGGTTACAAGTATGTTATCTTGTGTTCATTTCAGTAGATGATTCCTAGACTTTTGGTAAGGTGTAACAAGTGTAGCCAGCAACATTCGAATAGTGAGATGTGTAGAAAGTCAGAATTACCTAAGTGGGTCATTGACATACATTCCCGGTTACCAACTAGAACATTTAACATCAAGTCGTATCAAGTTATCTGACATTATAGCAAAGGAATTTATTCGATTGCTTTTTATTCACCAGATTGCAATCTGCATTTACTGTGTGATGGATAACGGTACTGTTTATCTGCCAATAGCTTGATGGCTGTAGTAGAGTTCAAATGTGCCACATGTTTTTCAAAAGTGAGATAAAGCATTGAGGTACCACCTGAATGAAAGAACTAAGTCCAGTCATAATAGTGTTTCAGAGAGACTATCTATTTGGTAGACAACACTGTTATCATAATCTTCAGAAGGAAATTCACCTTCATCATAAATGCAAGTTAATATTTTAGAGTTTCTGTGCATATTCACAGAAATATTTTATAATCTACACTGAATATACATAGTCCTAAACACTTTTTGAACAGTGAAAACGTATCTTGATCAGTTGGCTTTTATTTATGTCTGAATTATTACTACTACTTGATTGGTCTTTAATTTGTCAATTTATATTGAAACAAATTACATCAAGGAACTGTGTGCATACACTTCTGGTCGATTATTGTCGAATTATATTGTTCACGTCAATACTTCTTATATATAGATGGGTAATAGTTCAGGAATTACAGTGAATTCTGCATTATTTATATTGAAAACTATTCTATTGCAGCTGCAGTTTATGAATTTTCGCTACAAACGTGTTGTGATCTAGCGAGATATACTACTTAATGATATAATAAGTAGTAAGATATCATTTATATCTATTTGCCGTAGAAAAGACAGAGGTGGTGTAGATGGATACCCAACCAACAACAGCAAGCACGAATCACCATCAAGGGGAGAAATCTAAAGGAAGTGGTCTCTTTCACCTACCTGCCACCTAGGCAGCATAGTTTCAACTACAGGTGGCGGCAGTACAGATGAGGATGTCAAAGCCAAGATCGGAAAGACGGCAAGATAGGCCATCATAAAGCTGAAATGATTGTGGAGATCTGCTTCACTCAGTATAAAGCGTGAACAAGATCCGGATTCTCAACACTAATGTCAGTCAATTCAGTGCTTCTATGTGATGCTTGAGAGACATGGCGATGCGTTACGAAAAGCATTTCCAACAAACTGCAGACATTCGTCACATCAACAGCTGCCACTTACTCTCACTCGCTACTGAAGATCAGATGGTCAGAACAATAAGAATACGTAACAAGGAAATAACTCTGGCAAGGAGCCAACCAAGAACCTATCACCCAACAAATATGCAGAAGAAATTGGAGATGGACTGGATTGAATATACACTGAGAAGACTGTTTGGGGACATCACGTGTCAGGCCAGGCCGTGTAGTAGAAGGCAAATGGAAAACGACGAGTTGGGCATCCCAGCTGAGGGTGACATGGAGGAGATCATATGAGGAAGAAATGAAAACTTCTGGGGAGTCGTGGAGCCATGTTGAAAAGACTGCAGAGAAGAGAGTGAAGTGGTGACGTGCTACTATGTTCAAGTAGGAACCCAAACGAACTGATAATAATAATAATATATCCATTTGTAGATTTCTATTTCCCATAAGGCTACATTTCTTTGCAACTGTTGAAATTTACATCATCCAAGATCATTGAATACTCCGAAGGCAGGAGAGACAGACAGCTGACTGTCAGAAATGCTCACTGAATGAATTACTGCTGACTTTTGTACTGGTTTATATATTTAGGTGCAAAACTTCACCACTGGCTTAATAATAGGGTCTTTGTATGTCACTGGTTCGAATTTTCTACAGAATATAGATTTACTGACGAGTGCCAACAAGCAAGAAACCTAGGCCAATCAAGCTTCTTGCTGATCACCTCCACCTAATTTATATATATATATATATATATATATATATATATATGTATATATATATGTACATATATATATATGTATATATATCAGTGTATCACGATAGTGAGTGCTGTACCGAAAAATGATCTGGTCATCAATCAATACTAGACAGTATGAAGTGGGTTTCTCTCCGGCAACCAACAAATGTATCTAATTCATTCTTAGAGAAGGTAACTGATGTCCTGAATAGCTCATAGGTAACGTGCCTGACTGCAACACTAGGCGATACGGCCCCAGGGGACATTAGTTCACGCGTTGGTGTCGGTTACCAACACTACCTGTCTTCTTATCTATGGTCTTCAAGCAATGATAATCAGTTTTTTCAAGTTTTCAAAATTATCTTATTCGTAGGTAACACGATTACAGAAATCTAATTGATGCAGAATGTCTTTTCGATTGACTCTTCACTTGACTCATTGATCCCGACCAGCACTGAGAATATCACAGCTACTTTGACTATCATTTTGAGAATCTTTATTGTTAACAGTGTTTGTTTAAAATTAAGCGTTGAAACATTTAACACTGTTTAAACACTACTATTATATTTATCTAGTTTCCAACAATTCAGTAATTTACCATTTAAATTAATGAGGGAATAAAAGGTATAAAGGTATTGTAGGCCACTGGGGAGGTTAGTGGATAATGCTTTGGCGTTTAAAGCGACAGGTACCGGGCTCGAGTCCGGGCGGGAACAACACTCACTGGGTTTCAGGTACATCCAACTGACTAGTGAGTCCCAAATAAGATAAAACATGCGTCCTGGACTACTCTGCGAGTCATCAATAGCATCGAGACATCCGCTCAGTAACCCATCTGACAACAGAGGTTGAGGAGTTCGATTATGTATAGCAACAGTGAATTACAAGTATTAAGACAACAACAACAACAAAGACATAAACAGTTGACTATCATCAACACTTACTTGCAATGTACAGTAATAGGTCCATCCATACCAAAGTGTTCTTTAGTCTTATGTACTTGACTGATCAATTCAAGCATTGCTTCACACAATGGTTGGTAGCATTGTCGAAATGTTGTCATCAAACTACTGGGTATCTGATTCACTCGTAGATAATCATCCTCTGTAAATGAAGCCTCTAATAGTAAAGGATTCGGTAGTAATGTTGTTGGTGTTGGTGTGACTACAGACGATGAAGCTTCAAGGAATTCATTGAAGTCGCGTCGTAGACTGTCGGTTATCATTGATTTAGAACTGTCATTAGATGCGTATGTTTGTCGTTCAAGATGGATGATTGCATCTGCTGTTGAACTAGCATCAAATTGACGAACTGTACGCGTTGAGCCATCACGTGTATCTGTTAGGCGTAATTCACGCATTATATACGCTGGCATAGTATATGTAGCTATTGGATCGATAACAAGAAATCCATGACGAGCTGACTGTAAATTTGGCCAGTATGTTGGCTATTTCCAAGTGGGAAAGGATAGAAATTAAGAAAAAAAGGAAATTTATTTTGGATCACACATATTCATTGTTGAATTCGGCTATAAATATCCCAACAGTCATATTTTATCGAAATCCCCTTGAAAAGGGGAAGATAAATTCACAATATTCCATAAAATGCTTAACATCTACCATAGGTGAAGTTGAATCACTGCTAAAACTTAACACATTTCATTAAAAGGACATTGTTAGTTGCTGATTGCTGTCGGTTGCATGAAAAAATGTGTAATCGTCGTCTTTCAGCATCATTGCAGTGGATAAGAGAAAGTAGTTGAAAACAATGAAATCGATAATCCAAGTAGATTGAATGAGCTTATCAAAGTTTTCATAAAAGAATAACATCAGCCGAACAAACATTGAAAGCTTGGGAGCACTGGGTACCGGTTTCGTCCTAATTTGGACTCCTCAGCAGTGTCGACTCAACAGAAATCTATCCCATGATTATCATATCATCGTCCAACCATCAGATTCGAGTTTGGTGGTGTACATACTCCTACTTCAGTTGGTTCTCAATATAATACCACCATTATCATCCAACTCATGCATATTAGAAACTAATCCATTGATGTAATGTTCAGACTACTGTCGATTTTTTCTAATGTTTCACAAAAATAATGTAAGGATAAAAATAAGTAGTAATTTAAACCATCTTTATATTATTAATCCCTTTATTATGAACCATTTCTACTACGCTGTTCATATACCTACAATCATTCAATATTATTCAAGCCTGTTTAGGACAATAAAGTATCTGAGGTATGTCGGGTAGATGTTTTTTTCCTTAAGAAGGTCCCATGAAAATCCAGATGATTTTCACGTCCATAGGTACAGTTGAATAATCAATTTTGTTAGAGAAATTTTATCGATAATTCATTCTTCCCTAAAGTTGATCTCATTTTTATCAGATAACTTTAGACAATATGGGCTCAATCAAAGTAGGTATGGCAACCTACAGAGTTATATGGAATTTTATAAGTAAGATTTTTAAAGTATATAACCAAATTCACAGAAACTCGATTAAATAAGGCTATAAATGATCAACTTAAAGTGATTGATCTTCAGATCCTTCAATTACAAAATTATTGATAATTGTCGACAATGTGAAGTAGGGATCTACAGTAGTATAGGTAGTTGGGTTGTCTCAGATGCTTGATTCCCTACCATGAGGAATCGAGTCTATTGTGATTGATATATTCATGTGACAACTTCATACAGCCTATATCAAGATAGATTGAAGTACAATCGATTGTTTTGGTCATCCGACCTTCAGTTCAGATAGTCTAGATAGTACCACAGCTCCTGGACAACATATTTAGCTCATCACATGGAGCACAGAACAGAATATGGTCAGTTCTCCTAGAAACCTGTCAGATTCTATAACTTATATGACAGACAATAAGATAAGACTTACTGAATCGATAAATTTAACATCATTGATTATATTAAGTGTACTATCAAGTTTGACAATTAAGCATGAACCAGACTCCCAAATCATTCTCCAGAAATCTTCTAGTGTGTTAATCATTGGAACTTGTGTTGCAATATAACCTGCTCGTGATTTGTATGCATCAATGTAACTGGCATTAATATAATCTGAACCGTCAACACCACGAACAGCTTTTAGAGCAACACGATTAGCATCATGAGGTATTATATTGATATGACGATTTTTTGATGCATTAACCTGTAATAAACAGAAGTAGAAGGAACTTAATCATAATTTTACTTTGAAAGGAATGAGTAGTAATGATGATGATATTTTGGGAATTAATGCATACCATGTGATCAGGGTTCTTTAAAAACACACAGTCAACTGTAAACATTCATTTCCTTGTGTTGTTATGCAATCCACTGGAGGTATAAATCAGCTAGAAGCAATGAAGTTGAGAGAATCAGAGAAGGCAGTAGCGTGACTGATACGACTGAAGATATCCTACATACATCAACCTTTGGCTTATTGTAGCGTATCATTTTTATCTGGAATAGGGTTATTTCATTTTTATTTTTTTGTATTTTGTTTATGCTTTGAAGTTTCTTTAGTGGTTAGATTTGTTTTACGGGGTAGGATTGCTAGCCCTATGCCCAACCTTCCCTCTTTACCCGGGCTTAGGACCGGCTAGTTACTAGTGAACTAGTTAACCAGACGAGATGACCAGAAAGAATAAGCAACAAGGAACTCTGAGAACGAACCAACCGAGAACCTATCACTCAACAAATATGCAGTAGAAGGAAGTGGAGATGGATTGAGCATTCACTGAGAAGGCCGAGTGGAACCTTGATGGGAAGCGACCAGTTGGGTGTCCCAACTGTGGGTGACATGGAGGAGATCGTGTGAGGAGGAAATGAGAGCTTGTGGGCTATCGTGGAACCAGGTTGGAAAGACTGAAGAGAAGAGAATGGAATGGCGACGTGCTACCGAAGCTCTATGTTCCATTAGGAACCCAAGGGACAAATAATGATAACAATAGGGTTAATTCGGCGGAAACCTAGAGGTGACATAATCAAGACGTACCATTAATATCTGAAGTCTGCACTGAGTAAACTTCCAAATTAAGGTCTGAATAGTTACTTGAATGAATAATTAAAGATTCTAAGTGTGAGATAAGTAGACGAAGATGATGTTCAGTGTTCTCCGAGCTTTAAGTTGTTTCTACTGGAGATATGAGTAAGCGAAGTTCACGAAGGTATTCCTCTCAAGTAACCACTGCTAGGTAGGTAAACGCCTTTAACATTTAGAGTTAAGTAGGATCTTAAACCTATTTCCATTCCATCCTCGCATTGACCAAAATCTGACAAGTGTACCTTCTGTGGTACAAAAGGCGTTAAAATAGCTATGCTAGCGTACGACACCAACCCATCAGGTTAATTTTTAATGGTTTAAGTTGTGTGGGTAGATCAAGGGTTCTGATATCCAAGAAAAGTATGTAGAATATCAGCGATTAGAGAGCTTTATAAGCATAGATTAACACCTATCATGAAGGTGGAAATACAATGCAATATACACACATACACACAACTCTGTAATTATTCTCATTATTTCACTCACGGGTAGAGTAGCTGCTGTTGCCGCTTTATTCCCACTTAATCCAACTGGTGGGGGTAGTCGAGGTATACTTGAACACCCATTGTTCCCTCTTTCATCATCTTTAATAGAAAATGGATCAATCGGTGACAATAAGCCAATTGATGAAGGGATAGAAGATATCACTTTAGTCAGATTTGATTGTGTCAATAAATGATAAAATTCCAATTCTAAGCCAGTTGATATAGTTGAATTTGTATAAATCGATGATTTGACGGAGAGATTTAATTGATTTATAGTCAATTGTTGATCTTGACATTTCATACGATTCAAATCAGTTAGACGTGTCCAATGAGCACCTAATTGATGTACTGGTATCTCTGTATTCCCACTGGATGCAGCCTCAACTAAAGCTTCATAGATAAATGCATATTGATCTTCTGTTTGTACCATAAAATTACGTTGTGCACGTAACCGACTAACTGCACTGAATACATCTACAGCTTTCTCATGACGCATTTGTTCAAGTAGTATATCCAGTAGTATAAATGCACCTGTTATTATAGTATAAAAAAAGCCAACAGAAATGTTTACTGATTTATTTAAAAGACAACATATTTACTAGATGGCCTATCTAAACCTTGGGATAAGAAAAACTCCTCACCGAGTGTATTACATCAAACTACTCCATTTTAACTTGTTTCAATCCTGAAAAAGTACAAGATGTTATACATAAAACATAATCCATGTCATGTATATAACCTCAATGACATGGAACTACTTGAAGTACCGCTGTTACAGAAGGATTTAGGTGTTTTACTCCCTAAAGACATAAAAACTTATGCCCAAACTGTGACAGAAACGTATTTCTTGGAAACTTGGTGTTACTAACTGTTAGACAAATTTTTGAGTAGTTCGATGGTAAATTTCTTTATCAAATTTTCAATAGCTTAATATAGTCTTATGTAGAGTCCAAGACTATCGTCTTTTGACTGCCTCTATGCATCCAGAAGTCGTCAATCAAATCTGTTCGAGGACTTAGGTCTAAAATATATGAAGAATGACTGATTGCATTTAATCTATATCCTGTGGAATATAGAAGACTAAGATGGGGCTTGATAATGAATAGCTCACAACATCTTGAACATCTACTTCATCACTTATTGAATCTTAGTTACTGCACCAATCTTAGAGGAAGGATACAGAAACTAAGCCCAGAGTGGTCAAATTGACTCCCATGTAGTGAAACTAGTTAGTTCTATACGTTGTAAAGTAAGCAAAACACGTCAACGAACAATACTAAAATCAATCATATGAATCTGCAATAGTAATAATAATAATAATAATAATAATAATAATAATCTAACCAGTTCTTCCAACACCAGCAGAACAGTGTACAACAATAGGTCCTGAGTCTGTAGGGCATTCGGCACGAACACGTCTTAAGAACATCAATAAAGGAGCTGGATGATTTGGTACCCCATGATCTGGCCAAGCGGTAAACTGAAGTTGACGAACTTCTCTAGTTTCTGACATCCTGTAGTCGGGAAAAAAGTATTCATTATATATTTCATTCATAAAGAGCAGGCGATATTTCTTACAAATGAATACAATACTACCACAAAATACACTGCGAAATAATTCCACGTATTTTATAAGCGGTAATTACTAGAGCTCCGTTTCAACAATAAGTAAGTAAGTAAGTAAGTAAGTAAGTAAGTAAGTAAGTAAGTAAGTAAGTAAGTAAGTAAGTAAGTAAGTAAGTAAGTAAGTAAGTAAGTAAGTAAGTAAGTAAGTAAGTAAGTAAGTAAGTAAGTAAGTAAGTAAGTAAGTAAGTAAGTAAGTAAGTAAGTAAGTAAGTAAGTAAGTAAGTAAGTAAGTAAGTAAGTAAGTAAGTAAGTAAGTAAGTAAGTAAGTAAGTAAGTAAGTAAGTAAGTAAGTAAGTAAGTAAGTAAGTAAGTAAGTAAGTAAGTAAGTAAGTAAGTAAGTAAGTAAGTAAGTAAGTAAGTAAGTAAGTAAGTAAGTAAGTAAGTAAGTAAGTAAGTAAGTAAGTAAGTAAGTAAGTAAGTAAGTAAGTAAGTAAGTAAGTAAGTAAGTAAGTAAGTAAGTAAGTAAGTAAGTAAGTAAGTAAGTAAGTAAGTAAGTAAGTAAGTAAGTAAGTAAGTAAGTAAGTAAGTAAGTAAGTAAGTAAGTAAGTAAGTAAGTAAGTAAGTAAGTAAGTAAGTAAGTAAGTAAGTAAGTAAGTAAGTAAGTAAGTAAGTAAGTAAGTAAGTAAGTAAGTAAGTAAGTAAGTAAGTAAGTAAGTAAGTAAGTAAGTAAGTAAGTAAGTAAGTAAGTAAGTAAGTAAGTAAGTAAGTAAGTAAGTAAGTAAGTAAGTAAGTAAGTAAGTAAGTAAGTAAGTAAGTAAGTAAGTAAGTAAGTAAGTAAGTAAGTAAGTAAGTAAGTAAGTAAGTAAGTAAGTAAGTAAGTAAGTAAGTAAGTAAGTAAGTAAGTAAGTAAGTAAGTAAGTAAGTAAGTAAGTAAGTAAGTAAAAAGTTAACCTCGATGGCTGCCTGAGACATATTCCCCATGCAACTTTAATGTTATAGGGGTGTTTCGATGTCATTCCTCGGCTTACACTATCGAGTGGTCCCAAAACAGTGTTGCAAAAACTGTTGAGTACTCGCTGGAGTTCCAAAGGTTCCCTTAGCTGATATGAGCTTACAATTAAAATAATTTTTCGAGCACTAATGGTATAAAAATCTGTAACTTGATAGGCAAACAACTGAGGAAGAAGTGATCAATTAAAAAAATATTTAGAAATGTGTATGCTGCATTTTTTGCAAATTTAGGTAGTTGTTCAGCTGCCTAGTTGGAGGATCAGCTAGATGCCTCTAAGAAGATATTTGCTTAATTTGTCATCGATCAAGTATTCAGCCACGAAAACCAACAAACGAATTGTCATACCTAACATGAAGAACGTCTTCGACATGACTAGAATATTAAGGCCTTTTGGAATTACTTTAGCTCATTAGCCTAAAAAACCTCTTCACTCTGCGTTATGCGGGTAAAAAGGTGGGATAGCAAAAAAGATAAGCCAAACGTTATCTACAAAAAGGTGGATAAACTTCGAAAAATAGTATGCCCGTCAGAATGGTCGCTCTCTTTGCATCTGTCTACATGAACAGCAATTAGTAGTGAAGTGTCATGACATATATTCACTCATATATCAATGCATACAGACAACTGTGGACATGAATTTGACTTGGAAAATGTGGAAATCCTGGACACAAAGAATGCCAGAGAATATTTAAAAGCTTGGGCATTCACGCTAGTTAGCAATCAGCAGACATAGTGACACTGACCCAACCTATCAACCAATACAAAACAACAAATAAAGTGAAGGGTTCAGATGATGTCGACAGGACAACCAATCAAAATTGGCATAGATACAGTGACAAGATTTAAGCAGAAACAACCAATCACGCACAAGGTCATCGGAACAAGCTACTAAATCACTTGTGGAGAGAATTCCCATAGCTCACTTATTCGTGATGTTCATGCTGATGATGTTGTCTAGAATGACTAACCCATCCAGCTCAGAGAACACAGCAACATGGAGATCATCCTATCAAGCAACAAATATTTTTCATTTTCTGAAACACTTTTCGGCTGAATACTCTCTAGAGAAGTGGTATCCCGAACAACAGTTATATTTCCTTGTTAAAAGTCATTAATCACAGCATAAACTGAAAGATAGAAGGCAAAACCCCAAAGGGATTTACACTTACCCAGCTTTTTGTAGAACAAATGAACGAACAGTATAATAAGCCAATTCCATTGTGTCCAACAAACTGACAGAAATATCACCAAAGTTCATTGTACCTAAGAGAATAAAAATAGTCGATAGACTTTGACTTTCTTCGGACAATATAATCAATAACGTAATTCTTAGCAATCACGTATATATTCATGCTACAAGCTATCAGCTCTACATTTATTAATTTACTTGGTTGTGGCTAGCAGAAGAATTCAGGACATGCACTTTGTCCTATTTGGCACTCGTCAACTGGACGTAACTGCACCCCAATGAGTGATATTGTTCCCACGAAGACATGAACTTCGTACTCATCGCTTCAAATGCAAAGGCGTTATCCACTATGCCACAGGAGCCCGACAGCCACTTCTTTACAACACGTATTAGCTATTGCTACTCATCGACATACCTGTCATCCTTCAATAGAGGTCGAACAATTCGATCAAGTAAAACAACAAGCATATCCATAAATAGTAGTCAACATATATTGTTTTAAAAGTTCCTATCATATAAATTAGAACAAGATATATAAGCGTTGGTTTAATTGTAGCTTAAGTGAATATACTCTTAACATGTATAGATGGAATAAAGATAATTATTTGTTATTCCTGGATGTATTGGTTAGTTGACACTATGACAGATCAACAAAACCATCTATCTACAGGAAGTCTAGATGAACATAATAACATGCCAATTACCATAGTTGATGTCTAGTTCATAATATATGAGACGTAGTTAGTTGATTATTGAACATAATTCGCCGAATATTTTTACTCAACAGACAATTCGGATGAAAAGATTAGACTTTCAATAGGAAATTTTAGATTGAGGATAACAAATGACAATAATCTATCAACTGAAATCCAGACCTACATTCTTCTCTATCTTGAGCATAAAGATGTACATATAAAATGTTTCCATAGATAGGTAATCTGCATTGCTTGATAGTTGGACAGAAACTTAGAACTATTTTAAGGGAAGATTTCCTATGGAGTTAAGGTCAGAATAACTCAAAATATTGGATTAGAATATATCCTTTTAAGCCTTGAGAACATATAAATGAGATAAAATGTTTCATTTCACTACAATTATCGATTTATTCATACATATGCTCACATAAACATAAGAGGAAGTTACAGAATGTTGTTAATAAGGGTTTCAGAAGATATTTTCAAGTGACAGGAAAAACAAATTGAACCAATAAATCTCATCGATACTGATGATAGACATTTTAATTACCCAATTGCGAGATATTTTTATAGATTACCTATTAAATAAGTGGTTGTACATTTTTATAACAAGCAAATTAGCCTTTGACTATCTTCATTTATTCATGAAGAGTTTGTCAATCCATTAAACTTATCCTTTTAAGGAATTAAGCCTTTTGAAACTCAAGTCATTGAATTATTCAATGTCATGACTATTCTGACCTCAAGTTTAGTCTTCTCATTTCACCTATTTCAATGTTTTTGAATCGTTTAAAAATCGTTTAGTATCTTTGGTAGGATATTTGTGTAGTCAAAGTGTTTGAAGTGCAGCGCATTGAAAGTCATAATTGACTAGCAATAGAGTTTAGATTACGCGTTTCATCCTATTTATAACTCACCAGCTGGTTGCACTTGCATCCCAGTGAGTGATGGTATTACTGCTGACATTCATACTCAGCACTCATCTCCTCAAGTGATAAAAGGCGTTATCCATTGGGCTAGTGATTCATGACAACCACCTCATGTACAACAGATATTATATGTTACGAATTAATGATGACATCCCTAGCGCAGGAGGTGCCTGTCATGACTTAGTGGTTGACTGGATAACGATTTGATGTTTGAGGCGATGGGTGCTAGATTCGTGTTTCAGTGGAGACACCATTAGTCACTAGGATGCAAGCATATACAGCTGACGAGTCCTAAATGGGACAAAACACACATCTTGGATTTCCTTGCTAACCATTGCAAAGTAAATAACATCGAAATGAAACTCTAGGCAGTATACAGGGATCTAAGATCATATATTCATAATAATTAAGATGATTTTTTACATTGATTGACCACTAGAGAGCAACCAATTTCATGTTGTCTAGTCCTGAGTGCTGACAGAATTCTACCGATCATTTCGGAGTATAGTCACTGGGTTAGAAACCCCACAACTGCGGTGCACTTTGATGGGTGTTAGGATTCGGTCTGCACTCAGGACTAGACAACTTTAGCCTGGTTTCTCTCCAGCAGTCAATCAATGCACGTAATCCAGCCCTACAGGAGACCAGTCGCGGTTCAAATAGCTTAGTGGTACCGTCGCTGACTGCAACATTGGGCGACGTGCGTTCGAATCCCTCACAGGACATCAATTTCGTAGAGGTTGCAGACACGCCCTGCTGACTGGTGCCAACAAGCATGGAACCTAAGTCCAGGGACCCCCGCCGATTGCCTCCAACCAAATAACATTCAGTTCACGGATAGCCAAGGTATCTGGTGTTTCTAGAAGTTGAACACGAAGAAAACGTGAAGTATTTGACTGAATTCAACAGATAAGCTTGAAATCATTGTTCGGGTCATCTGAATGCTTGAAGACGGTTAAATGTTCAAGGAGAGAAGTCTTAGGAAAGCTCTAGGCCCATTAAAAGATAAAATTTCTTTTGCCTCGACACAGAATTGTGTCTATAGATTAGGCTGTGTCGAATTTGGCGCCAATTACACTGGGGAATCATGTCATGAAATCTACATTTGTGTTAGCATGCAAACTACACACACAAAACTGCGTACAACTGTCACAACTGGAAAATTGACCGATCCAATGGAGAATCGCTGTTCATGTTATCTCTCATAATCACAAAATTCACTTTGAAACCATCACAATGACTCAAAAAGGATTCTCAAACTGCAAAAATAGATAGATCTTATGTTAAATCAGTCAACAGAGGTGGATAAACAAGAAATTTTCCGTTTAAATTTATCCACTACAAACTAGTGTGTACTAACATTCAATTCAGTAGTATAGTACACCCTAAAGAACTTTCGGATGATACGACGACATTTGATAAGAAATAATTATCGTTTCTATGGCATAGTGAACTATATGAATTTCCTTATACTGGCAGTCATAAGACTAAGTACAGTGCCTCCTCATTTATTTAATAGAACTCGTTCTCTTCACAAATTTAAACAGAGCAATAACAACAACCTTAGCGGAATAGTATGAACTCATTTTATTTCGTGGTTTCTCATCAGCCGCTTACAACCAAAACAATTTGACTAGCTTCGAGAGGTGATTCGTGAAGTTCCAGTTAGAAGTCATGACCAGTGGAGTCAATCAAGTGGAACATGAGGATAGTTACTTAACGACGACATTGGACGTAAGTCGCATTGTATCGTGAACTGACAGAAGTAGGAAATGTGGATCATTGGGTTCCGACACAGTGGCTCAATGGTGACGTGTTGGTCATGGAACCTGAAGGTCCTGGGTTCTATTCCTGGAGAAGTGGGGTCATGGGTGCGCATTGCTGAGGAGTCCCATACTGGGATGAAACAGCCCATCAGTGCTCCGAGATTTCCACTGTTCCTCCAAATGATATCAGTTCCTGATGAATTCCAATCGAAAATCAATTAATAAACCTTCACGAACATGAATTTCTACAAAATGTTTGTATGCTGTTTACTGAAAATTGTGGGCTTGAATTAAAGATATCCTTGATATGAAGTGATTGGAAATACACCAGTTTACCAATATACTGAATGACTAGAAGAATATTCCAGAGTAGAAGTTGGATAAGAATGGGGCGGCAGGTCAGAAACAAACTTCAAAGCACAAACGATATATAAAAAATAAAAACAAACTTATTCCCACTGGAATCGGAGAGGTGAAATGACGCCAGTTGGTGAAAGCCTGCCTTGGGAAGCCAATTCGCCGATGTGTCTTCTCTCTCGATGAAAGCGAAAGTAAATGTGGGGACATGGAATATCCGCACGATGTTTGAACCCAGCAGGGCAGCCCAGATTGTAAACAAGATGAGAAGGTATCACAGTGAAGTGCTTGGGATTTGCGAAAGCAGATGGAATGGGAGTGGACTCTCCAAACTGTCAACTGGAGAATCAATAATCTACTCCGATACTGTCACCCAGACGACAACCACGAGCACACTGAGTTATGGAGTGGCTATCATGATGTCCCCTTGAAGAGCATCGAAGTCTGTCTCTCATGCAGTGGGAACCAGTCTGCTCCAGGATCATGGCAGTAAGATTCAAAAGGGATTTCCAGTAAACTACAGACATTCATCAACAACTGCCATCTACGCTGGCTCGCTACTGAAGATCAGATGGATTGCCAGAAAGAATGAGCAACAAGGAGCTCTGGGAACGAACCAACCAAGAACCTATCACCCAACAAATATGTAGTGGAAGTGGAGATGGATTGGGCATGCACTGAGAAGGCCGACTGGGGACATCACGCCTCAGGCCAAGCACTCGAGTGGAATCCCCATGAAAGCGACGAGTTGGGTGTCTGAGCAGAGGGTGACATGGAAGAGATCGTGCGAGGAGGAAATGAGAGCTTGTGGACTGTCGTGGAGCCAGGTTCAAAAGATCTCAGAGAACAGAGTTCACTGGAGACGTGCTACTGAAGCCCTTTGTTCCACTAGGAACCCAAGGGACTAATAGGATAATATATATAATAATAGATGAATTCGAATTTTTTGCGTTTCCCTGAAGCGTTAGTTACTGAACGATTATAAGAAAGTTGGTTTTTAAAAAAATTATTTTACATTACATACCAACCACCTAATTATCTGTATCCTGCTCACATCAGCTTCTAGTTAACATAATTCCAATGAACTTACATGTATTTTGTGTAAACTTTATGAACACGTTGAATACACTTGTCCCCTCCAACCAGCGCCCCTCTTCTTATCTAACTTTCACTCTGGGATATTCTTCAAGTCCTTCAGTATATCGGTAAACTGGTGTATTTCCAGACACTTCATATCGAGGATATCTTTAATTCAAGTCAATAATTTTCTGTAAGCAGCTGATAAGAGACTCCGAAATAAAATGAATTCATGCGATTCTGCTAACGTTGTTGTTTTTTCTCCAGTTATATAGGTTGATTAGAGGAGATTGGCTGGAAGCCCTAATTGACCTAGGATTCACGCTTGTTGGCAGTCACCTGTAAGTTGGTATTCATCATGGACTGACATCAGTTGGAAGAACATCGGAAACCTGGGAGCACTAAATAACTGTTTCGTCCGAGTATGGGAGTGTTCAGCAGTATGCGTCCACGACCCTTCCTCTCCAGGGCTCGAACTTAGGACCTTCGGGTTCCAGTGCTCACTAGTGACTAGCTTCGACAAGTGACTCCTGAAGTTCCAATGAGAAGTCATGACCGGTGAGGTAAACCTTGTGGGCGTGCGAACAAACACTCAACGATCTTAGCGCTATGGATCCCGACTCAGTGCCTTCATGGTAACGTGCTGGCAATGAAACCTGACGGTCTTGCGTTCGACCCCTGGCTAGCGGGGTTATGGATGCACACTGCTATGGAGTCTCGTAATGGGACGAAAAAGGTGTCCAGTGCTCCCAGGTTTCCAATATTCCCCTAACTGATATCAATCCATGATGAATCCCTACTTGAAATCAATAAATCATCACAAATCATCAACAAGGCATATCTGCAACCTCTATGAAACTGATGTCCCCCAATGGATTCGAACTAACGTCACACACTGTTACAATGGATGACTTTAACACTGAACTACTTAGGCTACAAGTAGAATAAAAAACCTTAGACACGTTTTATACCATTGTGTGTTCAATGTTCACTGACTAATTACTTTAACAAGAAGTAGACGAAAAGGAATAATGAAAGAAAACAAGGAACTTTATGAATAAGTTTAAAACTGTCTTACTTTGTGATATATATGAAAGTTCATTAGTGAATATTAAATCACCATTTATTAAAGTATCAACATCATGTTCATCAATTGATTCTTTCAAATTAGCTGAAGTTCGAAAATTCACTGGAGGAGGTAGAATTGTTTTATCATATAATTTTAATTTGAAATCATTGAATTTTTTAAATGAGGTAGAATTCAATCGAGATGATATACTTGGACTTGGTTTACACAATGTTGATGATGATAAAAGGTTATTATTATTATTATTACTATTATTGTAGTAGAATTATTGCCTCCTGCACAATTTCCTGGCCAGTATTGTTCACATTTTACACGAGCTTTCTCTTCAAGACGTGTCATTGATACAATCATTGCAGAACGTTGTTCCCAAACCATACGCCAAAAATCAGATATTGTATGAGGTAATGGACCCTTTTGAAAATAAAATAAATAATTTTATAATACATATTTTTTTAAAAGTATTTAAATCATTCATAATCGAAGTAAAGGAATGTATTCTTCACTTAGTTTAAGCATTATATGTTTAGCCTGTAACTTTGTCAAAGGGTAAGTGTGATATATCTGTGTCAATACACAAGTTAGTTTTTACCACCGATTGACATCAACTGCTTAGTGGTAACAAGGTTGCTATGACACTAGTTAGTCCTGACTATGCACTACTTAGCAATCCAACGCCTAGGATACTCACAGTTTTTTTTTTAATGCTTCTCAAACTGAAGTCAATCAGTTTGTAATGAATACCAACCTGAAATCAGGAAAAAGGTTGTCAACGATAACTGATAATTACAGTTTAATTGTCAAAAGTTCTGTACACATAATAAACAGAGAGTCAGTAAGTTATAAAGAAGGTTACTTGAAGATTGATGTTTTCAATTCTCTGGTAATCCGTTAAATTTCAGCCATCAGCTTGCCATTTATCAATATCGATTTAGATATCAAGGTTATCCGATTACGAATAATCTTGAGAAGTTATAAACTGTGGTCTTATAAATTAGGAGGCTGTTCAAGGCCATTAAGTGATAGGCATTAACCACATACAATACCGACAACTACGTTGACTTTAGCCTCTCACTTGATTGACTCATTATAGAGTACTAATGAACAATTGACTGATCTTCTGGAATGCCTATTTCTTATTTTAGAATCTTATTGGCTTCAGTGAAGAGTTGTACACTTTGTAAATGAGCACAACGTAAAAGTTAGAAATGTTTCATAGAGCGACCTATTATTCTCAAGACCATTTCTTCTGTTCATCGATGGTTTGAATATATACAGCTTAGTCGAATGAATGAATCATCTCATTCATTTATTGAATTACTCAAAAAGCTATCTCTTATTCTCTAGTAAGTATTTGTTTAGAAAGACTTTCGTTTAACGAGCCCATAGGCTAACAGAGGCTTAAGTAAGCAATAGAAAACTGTCTTCATAGCCACTTCTAAGACTTATTGGATAAGAGATGGCTATTTCTTATGAGGATCCTGATGGATTTCTCTTCTCTAGTTGGAGGTGCTGTTCGTTTATTCCTGTTATATGGCTGTCAGATATGGCACTGCAAAATAGAAGATATAAAGCAGTTACAAGTTATCGATCTCACTTATCTTTGTAGCATTGCTCGCGTATAGTGGAACCAGCATGCTAGGGAAGAGTAATGGAAAAGGAAGGTAAGTCAATCAGTCAAGTTGTAAACCTTAAGTGACTGAGTTAACTTTACATATACTGAGTATGCTAAGTCACCGTTTACCTTGATGTGGAATGCTAGAAGTTGAAGTAGGCTGGAAGAAGAAGGGTAAGCGTAGCCAACCAAGACATGTCACCAGTTAATGAAATCCCTAACTGTTGGTCTGAATCATGTAGAGATATGAAGACTGACTAGTTGGTATTCCTGGGATCATACCAACAAGTGGTTTTGGTAACGTGGCTGAAATTACGTCCCAATGGTGCAAATGTATTTACTCTTTGATATCTTCTAGAGCTTGAATATTTTTGCACCAACCTTTGTCTTCAACTTCTTGTTTGTCTCATATGACTTCATCTTCTTTGGTATGAATGTTTTCCTGCTCACCTGTTATTTGTATATTACTGTGAAGCGTGGCAATTTGAACCAATGCACTTGTGTACGAGGCTGGATGTTGATTCTTGCTGTCTGTCTGCATATGATGAATCCTATTTTGGACAAAGCCTTTAGGCTATAGTGCTGGCTACTAGCAAATGAATAAATGTAGAAATAATATTTTAGTCGAATTGTATGTATGAAGAGATTAGCTCAAAAAATGATGCTTTCAATGAAATGACTGGTAGTTGTCAAAAGCTTAACCAAAGTAGAAGAAACTAAAAACTACAACCTCTCCGTCTGCTATATGCTTTTTTTCGTTTCTGCAGTTTTTCTTAGCTAACTTTTTGGACCGAGCACAGACTTATGTGGAAGCTTCCGTCATCATATTCAATATGTCGATTTTTTAAGTAATTTTCACAAACTACTAACAAAATAAATAAGTAGCATACAATCGTAAAGCGAATTAAAATGACAACTGCTTACCTGAGTAGCAATATACGCATTTTGTTTACAATAACCATCTAAATAATTTGCATTAATATAATCAGAATCTGGCTCATTATTTGCATTCAATTGAAGGACAACACGTGAATGATCATAGGCAACAACATTAGCATATCGATTTTTATTTCGATTACCGGGTCGATTAGAATGCTCCCATGTGAATGGACCACCTGGATCAATTGATTCAAATTCAGCTGCCATTAAACGTCCGTTGTCTACTTTTAAATTTTGTACATGCTCTATTAAACTTGATATTGGTATAGGCTTAAATATTTGTGACCTGTCTATTGTAGGCAGAAGAGAGAAGAAGAAAAAAACAATAGAAGAAGAGATGGTGTTAATGAATTACATCATCCAATTATGTTACAAATGATAATGATTAGAAAGCGATTGACAAATTTCATTCTCAACACGCATACAAATTCTGCTGATCATATTTGTAGTGTAGGCACCAAGCTAAAAGGCTCAACATCGCGATGAACATTGTCCCGACTATGTCAGTGTTAACGTCGCTGACTACAACATTGGGTGACGTGGGTGCGAATAGCAGGCAGGGCACCTGTCCCGTAGGCATACCTAGCCGACGAGTGCCAACAAAGAGGAAAGCTGGGTTAGGCCTCCAATGAACTAACGTCTTATTGTTTGTTTATTGAGGTAACATGAGATCTGTAAGATGGTACTAAGGTGCCTTTGTTTTCATTACCATCAACTCATGTTGACACTGATATACTAATTGACAGGTTTTAAAAAAGTCAACCAAATTCACTCTAGAATAAGAACCAAATTGCAATTTCTTGGTGTTCAACTTCAAAGAAAAGATGATAATTCACTAAGTAGATCGATCTGCAGAAAGCCTACATGGAACGGACAGTTTTCAGAGTTCAGTCCATCTATGCAAGAAAAGAAATCTTATTCATTAGGAGAATACATAGTGAGGACTCTGTTGATGGAGAACTGCAAATACTTCAACGAAGTCTAGCGGAAAACGGTTTCCCGCTCAGATTCATTGATAAGAACATGTAGTCAAAGAACCCAAATGAACGAACATATTTGGGACTGAAAAAAATTCTTTTGTTGAATCTTGAATTCAAAAGTGATTTTGCCTCAGACGTCCTCAAGAAACGACTGTCACAATCTTTAAACAGAACATACTTCACCCCCGACCTTTCAATTATTTCCTTCTGAAAGAAACGTTTTGTTCAATGTGTGAAAGACATGCCAACGCATTAGGCCACATCAGTGTGTATATATCAGTTTACTTGCTCTTTTGGAGGTGAATACATTGACCATACCATGCGTTCGCTCGTACAGCGTACCTGGGAACATTACCCAACCCAGCTGGAAAAGTTTCAATAACAGAACACGTTGTGAATTGAAAGGACTTAGGTGGTTTTGAGAGCTCATTCAAAATTCTCTACAGGGTTTGATCAAATCACTTGAAGGGAGTAAGATCAAGGTATTTGCCTATAACTGAAGCACTAGCGACCTGGAAGTTAAAACCAGCGTTATATGTCCAAAAAGAGGAACATCCAACCTTTATCTTTACCATGACTATCATAAAGCCTTGAGTATCATAAATTCATCGTGTTTTAGGTAACTATATATTCATTTGCATAATTCCTTGTTTATGTAAATGACTTCGTCGAAGAGAAAAATTTCTTTTAGCTGCAATCACGTCTTGTCTTTTGAAAAAGTTGGGGAATGCAACCAATTGCACAATAATAATAACAACAATGTTGCAACTAGTAGGCTGGATAGAAGCCACTCATCTTTGTTCGTATATGGTTTTGTTGAAGAAATGTCCTCATATTGTCCTTGATATCAACAAGGATTAATCAACTCACTGTCTTGTAATAAGCACCAAGAAGCTGTAAGTATTACAAAGTACTGAATGGAAGTTATTGTATAAAAGGCTAGTCGGGTGGCTCAGTGTGAATATAACTAACAATCTGTCAACAAGATGAGGCGTTGTATACAGGATCCGATTACTAGGCATCACCAACCAAGTAATGCAACTCATTGTTTGAAGTTGTTATTTAACAGATAGAGTTGAAACCAGTTGAGTAGAGAGAACTATAAATCATAAGTAAATCAATTATATTTCATAGAGTATAAACTTACTTACTTATATAGAGAAGACAGAAGTGATGAAGATACCGCACCAACAACTCAAGCAACAACAACAACAACAAACCCCAGTCACCATCAACGGGAGAAGCTTAAAGGAAGTAACCTCCTTCACCTATCTAGGAAGCACTGTTTCAACTACAGGAGCCACAGGCACAGACGAGGATGTCAAAGTCAGAATCGAAAAAGCAAGACAGGTCTTCATTAGCCTGAAACCAGTGTGGAGATCTTCTGCACTGCACTCAGCATGTGGAACAACATCCGGATTTTCAACACCAACATCAGTCAAATCAGTGCTTCTGTGTGCTGGTTCAGAGACTTGGCGCGTTACGAAAGGGATTTCCAATAAACTACTGACATTCATCAACAACTGCCACCTACGCTGTCTCGCTACTGAAGATCAAATGGCCAGAATAGCAAGAATAAGCAACAAGGAGCTCTGGGAACGAACCAACCAAGAACCTATCACCCAACAAATATGCAGTGGAAGGGAGTGGAGATGGATTGGGCATACCCTGAGATGGCCAACTGGGGACATCACGCGTCAGGCCAGGAGGAGATCGTGTGGGGAGGAAATGAGAGGTTGTGGGCTGTCGTGGAACCAGGTTGAAAAGATTTCAGAGAACAGAGTAGAATGGAGACGTGCTATTGAAGCCCTATGTTCCATTAGGAACCCAAGGGACTAATAATAATAATAATAATAATAATAATAATAAATAAGCTTACTTGGAATAGAATTTATTATATGTTTACTATGTTGTGTAGAAACTGGAGATACTAATCCACTGTAGTCTAAATTTACACTACCATTAGGATGTATTGGTTGTAAACTTTTTAATCCTATTGTACTAACAGATTTTAAGCTACCTAATCCACCAATTCCATTAGATATTAAATAATTTGATTGATATACAATATTTGATGATAATGATGATGATGGTGAATTCAATTGATATAAATGATTATTCAATGAAATTGTATCAATACAATTCAATTTCGATGTTGTTGTTGTTGTTGTTATGCATAAAGTTGTATTCGGTGATTCAGATGTATAATTAGGATTGATTTCATTTTGTAAATTATCAAAATGATCTATATCATTAATTGTATGTAATGGATTAATAAAATTTCTCATTTCATTATTTGATGGAGAATATAATAAAGTAGTATTAATTGTTGGATTATTATTATTATTATTATTATGATTATGATAACTAGAATATTCATATATAGATGAGATAGGTAAACAATTTGTAGGTGATGAATAAGATGTTAAATTTGAATGTAGATTAGCAGTTATTGAATTACTATCAGGTGGTGGTGAATGTATTTCATTTAAATTAAATAGTTTACGATTATTTTTATATTGATTAAAATTTAATCGATTTAAAATATTATAATTTATATAATAACGATTTTTTAATTTTTTAATTGATGATAATTGATTTTTATTTATCCATTTAACTGTTGATAGATTAGAATTATTTTTATTTCATATTTATGTATATTATTTGATAAATGACGTTTTTTATATAGAATAAATAAAAAACAAATTAATCCAAAAATTAATAATAAAATAGTTAATGATATACCAGATGTTAATAAAGTTATTTGTGAATTATGTGATAAATGTGAAGTGATATGAACTTTATTCAATGAAGATTTATCATCATCATTATCATCATTAACATGATGTAATTGATTTATATTATTAGATAATTGTTGAATCTTTTCATATGATAATTGATTTCTATTATATAATTGATGATTATCATATCGATTTGATACAATATTAATATCACGAACTATAAACAAATTGAAAAAGAAAAGAAAAAGAAAAGTGAAATCAGATTAATATTGTTAACATATTTGAACATTTTGATGAGGTATTCAACAGTTATATGAAGACACTAATATACTAAATGATCATAATGGAAAACTCAATGATACCTTTTATAATTGAAGACAAGAATAAGACAAGGCTGCCACTTACTATCACCTATCATCTTCCTGATTCTGGTCGACTGCACTCGATGATGCAGCAAACCATGAGGAGGGAGAAGATCGCCATACCCTGACTGGACCGATCAAAAGAACCCACGAGAAGATATAGATTTTGCCAATGATCATCTATGTCTAATATTGCACAAACTCGAAGATCTACAGGCGAAAACTAACAAGTTGACAGAAGAGGTGAGGCAGCGAAAACGCGATTTCAAGTGAATGTACACAAGACAGACGTGATAAAGATACCCAACCAACAACAACAAACTCCAATCAGCATCAACAGAAGAAAATTAAAGGAAGTAGCCTCCTTTGCCTATCTAGGCAGCACTGTCTCAACTACAGGTAGCACAGATGAGGATGTTAAAGCCAACATCAGAAAAGCAAGACACGTTTTCATCAATCTGAAATAATCAGTGTGTCGATATCTACTGCACTCAGCACAATGCATGAACGAGATCCTCATTTATAACACCAATGTCAAGTACGTGCTGTTATACGGTTCAGAAACCTAAGGCGTTACGAAAAGCATTTCCAAAAAACTACAGACATACGTTATCAACAGCTGCCGCCTACACTCACTCGATACTCAAGATCAGATGGCCAGAATAATGAGAATAACCAACAAGGAACTCTCGAAACGAACGAACCAAGAACCTATCGCCCAACAAATATGCAGAAGGAAGTGGAGATGGATTGGATTGGGCATACACTGAGAAGGATGACTGTAAATATCACGTGCTAGGCCAGGCCTTCAAGTGGAATCCAAAGGGAAAACGACCAGTTGGGCGTCTGGGGTGAGGATGACATGGAGGAGATCATGTGAAGAAGAAATGAAAGCTTGTGGGTAGTCCTGGTGCCAGGTTCAAAGGACTGCAGAGAAGAGAGTGCAATGAAGGCGTGCTACTGAAACCCTATGTTCCAGTAGGAACCCAAGGGATAATAATAATAATAGTTCACTTTGAAGCTTTGTTAAGGAAATAATTAAAATTTCAATATTAGAGATACTGAAGAGAAGAAGATTGATAATGGTTGAAGATTAGCCCGATATGTATTGAAAGCAAAGTATCTCGTTCAATATACATAATATACACAACCACTAGTACACAATAAAACATTTAACACACGTCTTTTTCACCTTCTTTCCTCTTCCACATTCGTGTACTCATTGAATGCATTGCTACCATCATATTTAAACACTCTCATCTTTTTATTTCCCCCACCCCCCGTGTTGGTACAACATACCTACTGGCTGAGCGGAAACCTAACAGTTGATTTTTCTACCACTATCTAGTCAAGTTTCGATCGTAGTTCACAGATATTCCCGGGGGTACTTATTCAATTCAATCACGAGTCACTATCAAAGAAGTGAAGTAACTCAGTATGCTCAGCTATCCGTGCAGAAATCACATTTAACAACTTATAACCTTCAATCGGATCACCAAACAAAAGGAGACGAATGAATCCTGTTCGACAACTTCTTCATGGAAAGGAATTTTCATTGATAAGTGTTTACAGTTAACTGTCAGTTGAATACTCCGGTCCCATTATATCGTCATGTCAAACAATGCAGTCTGACGTTTATTCGCTGAATTAGTTAGTCAATATCCTCGTCTCAGCTGCTTAAAGTCTTCATATCCCTAATGATTGCCCTTCATTGGTAATTTGAACTTTGTATCCTAAACAAAATGAAACTAAACTCATCAAAAAGTGTATAATCAGTTTCCAAATCTAAAAGGCAGAATTTTTCAGCAACTCATTTGTGAACAGAACTTTCGAAGTGATTTACTGGAGGCTAATTTGGATAAAATTGAACTAACCACTCTTGTTGTTCGATATAATTATACACAAACTTCATATCTTGTTCTTCATACGATATTTCATCACACAGTTAGTTGCTATCTGGCTTTCAACCACAAAAAAGGTGATCAATTATCCTTTTTTGACTACTTTACAGCTGGAGGTGGCACAGATGAACATGTCAAAGCGCCAGGACAGGAAAGACAGTAAGACAGGCCTTCATTAGGCTGAAATCAGTTTGGAGATCTACTGCACTCCACTCCAATCCACTCAGCCTAAAGTGTGAACAAGATCCGGATTCTCAACGCTAATGTCAGTCAAGTCAGTGCCTCAATGTGATGGTTGAGAGACTTGGCGACGCTTTACGAAAAGCATCTCCGACAAGCTGCAGATATACATCACATCAACAACTACCACCTACACTCACTTGATACTGAAGATCAGATGACCATGATAATAAGAATAAGCGACAAAGAACTCTGGATGGCTGGTTGGCTGACTAGCTGACAACGAACCAACCAATAACCCATCACCCAGTAAATATGTAGAAGAAAGTGGAGATGGATTGGGTTAGACATACACTGAGAAGATCGTTTTGGGGTATCACGTGCTAGGCCGTCTAGTGGAAGCCAAATGGAAAACGATGAGTTGGGCGTCCCATCTGATAGTGACATGGAAGAGATGGTGTGAGGAAGAAATGAAAGCTTCTGTGGAGTGGAGAAGCCAAGTTGAAAAGACTGAAGAGAAGAGAGTGCAGTGGCGACGTGCTAGTGAAGCCCTATGCTCCACTAGGAACCCAAGGCACAAATAAAAATGATAATGATAATTGAAAATTGGACATATTTACTTAGCAAAACCAAATGGACATTGAAGCCATTTCATGTACAACTTACCAGGTCCTTGAGCAGTTGCATCATCCGATGGAGGTGGACTGTGTGTTCCAAATGAGTTGGTTGACCACAAAAATTTATCCGGATCATAGATTTCTACATTATTTAGTTGATTAATCGAATTATTTAGCTGACTAACTGGTAGAGAAGGACGATTTGTAGAAACAGGCTGAATCCATTCAGATTCATAACAAATTGGTTCCTGTCTCCAAGTACCACTATCCATCATATGGAATGAGTAGAACTGTTTACTTGGCTAAAAGAAGAACGTGAACGGTTGAAAAGTAAAAATGAATTTAAGTCAGGAAACTAAATTTAGTGTGCAGATACCTACCATAATAAAATTCGATTAGCTGACATAGAGGAGGGGAGGGGGTAAACAGGACCCCTTATCTAATCATTGGGATTGATTTGCTGCTTTCAGTCTAGTAAAAATCTTAGCTACCATGATCAGAATTGATTGAAAGTTTAGTTATCGATGGACTTTGAGTAGTCAGCAGTTTGTGACATGAAGATGAGTTTTTCAGCTGAGGCTACCGCATAGGGACCATCTGCCAATAGAGGTCGAGCAATTTGACCCTGTATAGCAGTGGAGACTTACAAGTATCGAACAACAGCTAATACCCGTTTTATAGGAGGTGGGTTTTGTGCCCGGGTGACCGAGTGGGTAACCCTCTGGTATTTGAAGCGATGAGTACCGGGCAGGAGTCTCACTGAGGCGCATGCACATCCAGCTGACGAGTCCTTAATAGGACGAAACGTGCGTCCTGGATTCCTTGAGACTAAACAGAGACAGTTTGGGGGTTAACTGACACTGAAACCTAGTTAGAATATAGACCGTTTAAGTCAATGAATAGAGTGTTCTATGTTACTGGTTCCAATTCTGCAACAGTCCAGATTTCCTGTTTCAAATGATTCACCCACTTTGAACCTGAAGATCATTCCAGCAATAAAGGCTAGTTTTTTTAGTCTGCTAAACAATATCCACTGTACATGAGGTATGCATGTAAACAGGAGTATGCATAACTTTTAAGTGTCTTGGACAACGCTGATAGAAGAGTACAGTGCCAAGTTATTGCATTTGCTTACGTTAGCATTTCAGAGGATTTAGAATGTTAGTTGTTGGGAGGCAATCGGTATGAATCTCTACTTAACCTACGTTTTGTGCCTGTTGACTGCTGTCAGCAAGGTATGTATGCAAATTGGAGTACCCCATAAGATCTGAACCCTCACCTGACCTGTCCAATTGTGGTATCCACAAAGTGTATTACCTTTGGTTAGCATCTTACAATTAAGATAATAAGGTGTGATCATTTTCGCAATAATGTTATCAGCTAGCGAAATATACTACGACTACTGAACAAATTGAGTAGTTAGAAATCATTCACCCTAGGTAGATCGGAGTGATCTAAGCACCCAATAGATGTTTTGGTAGTTTGGCATTGAGCTTATCAACGGTGTACCAGAAAAAATTCAGCTAACATAGCCAAATTACTCACAAAGCAGTTGAGTACTACAAAGACTACTCAGTTGTGAGAACTGTGAAGGTGCAACTTCTAAATCATTTGCAAGTTGATCATTCTAATCAAGATATGTCGGTCCATGGAAGTCAGTTGGCCAAATTCACTTAGTCCAAACAATTCGTCTTTGTGAACTGGATTGATCCAATTACTCTCCTGATGAAGTTGGCTCCAGAACAAGCAGTACCGACATTTGGTGTTTAGATCACTTTCATCTTGCGAACGAAATCTAAAGAACAGTCTGAGTGGTTTCCAACTACTCAAATTCATCAGTAGTATATGAACTCGGAGTTTTCACATAAGTGAAGGTTGTTAACACTGAAATCTTCACGTCTAAGAGGATAGTTGGCTACGAATTGTAAACTTTGCTTTACAGTGATGCATATACACTTGGTTTTCATTCAGATCCCTTGACTATTTTTACTGTCCAGGTTATTTTCTGAAGAGTTTCATGCTTTAGTTGGTTGGAGGCAATTGGCAAGAAGCCCTGGACCTAGGTTTCGTGCTTGTTGGCACTCGCCAGCAAGGCGAGTTTACTGCCTCGACGGAACTAATGTCCCGCCTGAGATTCGAACCCGCGCCACCCAGTCAGCGACTTTACCACTGAGCTGTTCGGGCAGCGATTGACCTCCTGTAGGAGTGGCTCACATGTATTAATTGGTCACTGGAGTGAAACCAATTTCATGTTGTCTTGTCCTGAGAGCAGACCGAATCCTATCGATCATACGAATTGTGAGAAAGATAGTTACTCAGTATGCGACTTGGGTGTAGGCAATTACCTAGCAAAATTAAATCTGGACCACAGCCGGCTGAGTTCCCAGGCAGATATTCCACCAACTCAACTACGATACCCAGCTGCTAACCAGATTTTAATTCTACTGCAACCATCAAGGGTTCTGCTAGACTCTTATGTGAATTCGCGATGCTTTAATATCGCTTGATCGTACTCACACTGGCTGACCAGTCAGGACTCCCGAATCCAAATTTTATTGAATCAAAGAGGAGGACCATCACGTATTGATTATCATTTTGACTATCAGAGATAGCCTTGGTTTGTCAGACTAGTATTTATACTGCGTGATGATTGAAGGTGAAATGAGAGTTAGGACCACAGCGGGATTCGAACCAGTGACCACTGGGTTGCTCTGCTAACTGAGATACGAGGCCCTACTGCTTAGCATGTTTTCACTACTAATAATAATAGTAATGACGCGTTACGAATTCACATATTAGTCTGGTAAAACCTTCGGTGATTGAAGTAAAATAAAAATCTGGTCAGCAGTCGGGTCTCGTAGCTCACTTGGTTGGGGACCGGGTCGGAATCCCGATGGTCTCCGGTTGGAATCCAGCTGCGGTCCAAACTTTCATTTCACCTTCAATCATCACCAGTTTCAAACTAGTCAGCCAGACGGATTTTCAAAAATTACATCTGTCGACTAGTACATTCTTGTAAGCAGCCAGCAGTCAACTTTCTAACGCGTCATATATCTTTTTAACTTTTCAAGACAGTATCAAAGAATTTAAAGCAGCCTATTATCCAGTTGAGTGAAGATATCTAACAGTTGAATTGAAACATGCAACTCTCATTTAAATGTTCACAAATTATTTGCCTAAACTTATACTACTTATGAGTAGTTCACGTTTCTTTTTTTTATATTTTTCAAAATCAAAACCTAATTTGACCATGATCAGGTCAATTTTCTACATTTTACTCCCACTTCCGTAACTGTGAAATAGATGGAAAATATTTAAAGATTATTTTCACTTCTCAAGTGGTAGAGGGATGCTCTGGTGATCTACTCCAACCAAGTAACATCCATCAAAGTGAACCGCGATAATGAGAAGAGGAACATGGACTTCAGATCCATAAATTCACATCATCTGTCTATTTGGATGAGTGTGGAGGTGAAGAATGATTCCATATACGATACGGTGATGATCTCCTTGAGGCATATGGACCAGTGATATGAAGAGTTTTAGGCGTAACAACCAAACATTTGGAATGTTGCTACACGGTTGTGAATCACCTCATTCATTGATGCCGGATTTCCATTTCACAGCTTTGAATCCTTTCTCAAAGGTTAAAGGCTTACAACAATGAGAAACGAGAACATATGATAGATGCAAAATGTTTATTCCCTTTTCTTGTAAGACAACAGTCAGATTTTTATTAAAAGGGCATCGTGTTTCTGCACAATCATCTATAGACCTCCACTGGCTAATTTGAATTTATTTCTAGGAAATATCTTTGATGAAATACCACAATATTTTCAAGGTTTCAGGATATTCCATTGGAAAATACCTGAAAAGGCTAATGATGCATACTACTGCTGAATAATTACAGTAGTTAAAAACCATTCTGGCTGATTTGTACATTTCACCAGCCAGATTCAGGTCATTTGAACTATTTCGGCACTATGAACTGAATTTATTCGGGTACACCACTGATGAGCTAGCTGGGCCCCTCAGACGAACAAAATGGCTGTCCGGTGTTTAGATCACTCTTATCTGTCTGTCTGTCTGGTTGATCAAATATACAGGTCAGCTTGAATGGTTTCTAATTACTCAGGTTGTTCAGTTGTAGTTTAATTCACACACACACACACACCTTTTGTTGTTTGCTGGTTTATAATTTTCAACGGAAGGCTTGTTGATTAATACCATAGTTGGGTAGTTGAAATACTACTCAACTTTGAGGAATGTCAAGATGTAGACAGTATAGTGTATAAATCATGTACAAACTGATTATCCAATCTTAGACTGATGATATGTTTGTTTCTTCATCTTTTGAACTAATTCTCGTCAATATTTGTTCATCGAAGCTTGTATGGTTGAAGAAGGAGATACAGATGAAATGGTACAGGCTAGCCAACTGAAAACTGAATGAATTTTGCCCAACAATCATTGTCAACTATTAGTAACTCTTTTTAAACTGAAATATTGTCTAATACACGTTTGATTATCAAGTTATATTGAATATAAAAAGCTTAATGAGAGTGAAAATACAGTATAGCTTGATAATTAGAATATCTTACAAATGATTGACCATAGGTGATTAACTAACTTACTTGAAAGCAAACTCTTGTGCATAATGCAAAATCTTGATGTTTTGGTAATGCTTTACCAATCAGTAATTTTGTTGACCTTTTCTCATATCTTAATGATGTATCGTGTATAGATTGACTCAATTCTATATGAACTTGTTTATCAGTTGATTGATGAAATAATTGACTTGAATTCCATTGACCTAATCTTATTTGTTCTACATTATTGATATTATTCGGTATTGGAAGTTTATAAGCTAATAATTCATAGATAATTGAAGTATTATATGATGTTGATACTATCCATTGAACAGATTTTAAACCAATTAAGAAATAAGCAGATTTATCAATTAGTGGATTGGATAGAATTAACGGAACTGGAACATGAAGTATGCCTGAAATAAAGAAAAATATTAACAGGATGGGTGGCGGTTGCGCTATATATCGTGAGCTAACAGAAGTTTGAAATATGGAGCATTGGATTCTGACCCAGTGGCTCAATGGTAATGCGCTGGTCGCGGAACCTGAAGGTCGCGGGTTCAATCCCTGCTGGTGGGGTCATGGGTGCGGGCTGCTGAGGAGTCCCATACTAGGACGAAACAGCTGTCCAGTGCTCCTAGGTCTCCTTTGTTCCTCCAACTGATGTCAGTCTACGATGAATAACAACTTGAAATTAACAGGATAACATTATCTCAGTATTCACAACTAGTCAATCATATTAGAGTTTAAAAAAGGATAGTCACAAACAGTTGGATGTTAACATGAAGAAAAACTGATTTAGGCTATTCACTGCTAAATTATTATTCGTTCTTATCAAAGTAAGATGATTGCCAATGTTGAGGTATATATAGAAGGAGTGAATCTGCCAATATTCATCGATCCCCTATGCCTTGATCACTAGAGGTTATCTATCTCCCCTCATTTTGAAGTAGTAGCTGTTATATCCACCATTCAGTGAAGACAACACGATGCACAATGATACAACAGACTGATAATTTCCGTAGATAAGGTAGAACATATGTTCTAGATTCTATCTGGTGGTGAAAATATAAAATGACTTTAGATACAGGAAATGTTAGAATTCTTTTATATCAGTACTCATCGACGATTGATATCAGTCGGAGAAATATTCAACAGATTTTTCGTCCTAGTAATAGAATCTTCTGCAGTGTTCACTCATAACTCCGACAGAGGTTGAACTTAGGACCTTCAAATCTTCGGGTCACTCTATTAGCCATTCAGCTACTGGGTCGGGATCCAGTAGTTCACAGTCTCCTACTTCTATCACTTCACGATATAAAGTGACTATCCACTAAGGTCTTCAGTTGTCATAGTCAGAATCCACTTCACTTTCGTTTGATTGACTCCACTGGCAGCGCTTTACTCATAAGAACTTAGAGGCTATACAATAATTTGGTTTAAGATCTATGGGAATTTTATTTATTCATCACTGACTAGCATCAGTTTAAGCACCACTGAGCATCTGAGAGTAGTGGGCAGTTGTTTGGACAAGACAGTCAGCAACACTAACTAACTGATCCCAAAGGACTAACTCATCTATTTAGTGGACAGTTAAACACATAGATCTCTACATTCAAGGAAACTTTATACACTAATAACCAGTTTAAATTCAAGTAAAACCTTGAAAACAATTAACAGTATTATAGGTTAAAGACTTTTCTAATTGTATTCCCAAAAAACTTACCATTCTTTGGTACATAACAAAATGTATTTTCTACAATCCCGTATGGTTCAGTAATATATACATCAGTATCCAGCTTAGATGCTCCTTTGAATACTGGTCTTATAGATACAGCATAAATTGAATTCGACATTGATGTATACAACCACTGGTAGAGAAGGAATTGATGTCTATGAAATTCTAATCGTTTTAAAGATAACTCCCGGCTAGATGATGAATCAACTGATTCATATTTTGATACTGATCCGATCAAAGTATAATTGATCTGTGAGAAAGTTCATTAAAAGTGAACCAGTTTTACACAGTAATAATAATGAACAATGAATGAATGAATGAATGAATGACAGTATATTCAATAATACAAAGTTTGATACATTCACGATGTGAACTCAATAGAAATCTCTGTATTACAGTTGGTTAGTTATATCGGTAAGATGAAATTATACCATCATACTATGCTTCTCTTTTCGGATAGAGGTTATTCGCTGATTGTAATGAATGATAATTTCTACACGTTCAGTCTATTGGACACGACAATGAGATAGTAATGATGGTAAGCTGCTAGCAGTGAAATCCAGTGTTAGATGTATTTACCTCTTATTGAGTGATATTATCCCCCAATTGAACTCGAGCTCACCATCTATTAATTCAAACACTGAAGTATTTTTCTACTCCTTATACAACAATTACAGCTTGATGTTATATTCTGATAAGTGTAAAATGAAGCTACCATCAACATTAAGATATCTAGAAAGGAAGATCATAAGCAAATTGTGATCGATTAATTCGACCCAGTCACTAGAGGATTTGAATGCACTAGGTAAAGAAAAGGCATGTATTATTGGATGTATTATCCTGTCGTTGATTGAACCGAATTGATTGGTCTCTATTGTCATATGAGCTCGTGCACAGATGTTTCGATATTGCCTTTGTTTGAATTATATGTATTATAATAACACTGAAACTATGCCCATCTCACAAGAGGTGGCTATCGCGACTCGGTGGTATGTTGGATAACTCTGTGATGTTTGGAGCCATGGGTCTCGAATCCAAGTCCCGGTGAGGGCTATATCACTCAATGGGGTGTAGGTATATCCAGCTGACGAGTACGGAACGTGCGTCGTAGACTCCACTGTCAGCCTGTATCCATCATTAAAGGAAAGGCATATTATGATTTGTAAACTGCGTGTGGTGTTGATTAACTCGTCAGTTTATTTGATTCCCACTGGAATTCATAAACAATTCTACAATCTGATGGATAATATCGTAGGAGAAGAATCATTATTGAGTGTTGTATAGCTGAAAGCGTTCACTTACAGTAACGCATAAAACTGTTTTACAAGTAGTATAAACAGTAAAAATCCTTTTTGAGAATACTTTTCACCATAAGTTGACGTCATTTTTCGAATTTTTTTCTTAGTTGGGACGTACTGAATAGTTTCTGTGTCCCAATTGTGAGATTACTCAGTAGTTTTCCTCTTAAGGGTTTAGTAAGAAACCAATGACCTCAGGAATCCCAGAGTTTTTTTGACAATAAGTGAACTTGTTAAGATTGTTTCGATGACGATTATTTTTTTGAATGCGTATTGTAGATGAGTCAAAATTTATAGTGATTGAGTAGTCCAAAGCTCCAGTGTTCAATTTGACTAGCTGTTTTTAAAGCGACAAGAAGCAGCTAAGATAGGAGTCATCAAATTAAATCACTGATCGTTGAGGTGGACATTTGTGAGCTTCAAAATTTGATGTCTAATGTAGTATGGTCAGAATAGTCTTATTCAACGATTTCCTGTCTCATGGAGCCAATCAAGAAACGTTATTTCATTTTTGGCTTGGCGGATTCTCATGCTTATGATATACTTTTGTCGAATAAAGTCATCCTTTCAATTATAGATCAGTCTTTGTCTTTCAACATTTTCTAAGCCTAGTGACAAGTCGTTGTCATATTCAATTCAAGTGTTATATTACCTTCATTGTCATGAGTACATAGATCCTATCCTTCTCGGTCACTTCAGATACAGTACAGAATAACCTCGAACCATAGGAATCCTTGTCGTCAGCTGAACTGAATTGGTCAGTCACTCCGTGACCTAGTGGACAACACTGCGTTTGAAAGGATGGGTTCTGAGTTCGAACCGTGATGGGGAGAACACCACCCACTGAGAAGTAAATACATCCAGCTGACTAGTGGGTCCTAAACAGAACGAAATGCTCATTTTCAACTCCACTGCTCACCACTATCCACCATTAAACTATAAGATAAGTTTTAAAAACTGCCAATTATCAATATATCCGACTGTTCAAAATATGATCAATATGCTTGAAAGAAAGACAAAAACAAAGAAAACTAACTCGATAATGCGACAATTGATCAAAATATGGACTGATTTGTAAGTGTTTTGGGACTTCCCATTTCACTTGTAATTGCCATAAATTTGTTTGAGAACGGTAAAATAATCGGCAATTGACATTATACACTTTAACAGCTAAATTAGACTGACTTAATTTTATACGTTGTGTTGAAACAGGCTCTGACCATTTACTTTCTTGTTCATTCACACCGATTGAACTAACTCTTACCAAATAGGTTATTTCTTCATTGTAGTCATCCTGTAAAAGAAAATAAATCAAAGATGAATGAATCATTCTTATCAAGATATTCGCTCCTAAGTCTCACTTCATCCTATTATGGTGTCAGTGATCAGGTAGTTTTAAGTGTAGTGAGTATATGCATTTGATGACTATTGGATGGGATGAAACTACACTGTGTATTCAACTGCTTATCAGGTTGTTTTAAAGTTTGAATGGTTGGAACTATTAGGAGTGTGATTATTTTTGGGGATCTTAGCGTGAAATTACAAACCAGTGAGTTCAGTAAATATCTCTAACAGATGCATTATTTATTTATCCAAGGGTGGATTCCAAAGTAGAAGTATTCTCCAAGTTGGTACTCTTCAGGCCACAATTTTTAAGAGTACACAGGATGAATTGACCACCCGATGATAGCCAGTGCAACCACTAAGTCGTGGCTGTCTACCGAAGTTTATCGAACATGTTAGCAATATTATCATCAAGCTGAATGGTATGATACTCTAGAGAGCAGCATTCAAACTGAACAGATAAGAACCTTACTTCATCTAAGTCTGAACCTTGTTAGCAAGGGAAACGAACACTTCAACACGAAGCATCTTAGAATAGGGTATCACTTCTAGTCGCCATATTTTACAACAGCATAGAGGAAGTTAACTGACAAAATCAAATGGTTAGTTTGTCAATAAACCAGTGTGTCATAGCGTTGGCTTATAGGCTGATTCTGACATAGGTAGATATTTCAAGGTATAAGAATACTTGAGTTTCAATATCTTAGTCAAACGATATCAGTCTAAGGAACATGTAAGTATATTCTCAACTCGGCACTTCTGTGGTTTTTGTTGATTTTCACACAGAAATTTTTAAAGACCTGAGAGCACTGCATAGGTGTTTCAATCTAGTTTTCACCTTCACAGTAGTGAGCCCCCATGAGGGGTCGAACCCAGAACAGTTAGCTGTTTGGCAAGCGCATTACAACTTCGGTAAACCCATTCCAGTGCTAGTCACTAATGAGCACTTAAACATAATTCAAATAAAGGGCTAATGAGGATTTATTGATTTTAAGGTATTTTTCATAGGTGCCCGCTACAAAATAGTCCCCAACCAGGATGAAATAGGTGTCCATTTCTTCTCAGTTCTTAACAGTTCTGGAAATCCTACTAATCAGTAATTAGAATTGCAATAAAATAATAATATGTAACAGTTAGATATCTGAAATATTGTAGTAGTTGAACAGTGATTGTATTTGTTTTATCCTAACCAGTTTTGAGTCATGTTATGTAAGCTTGCAACTTGGTAGTACATGTCTTAGTCAATTTACTCCCATTGATAGATTTACCTTGGTTAATTGATACATGGTTGCATACTTTTAAGCGATACAATGGTTAATTTATGAATTTTTTTATGATAAAATTGAATGAACTTGCGATATGTGTTTTAAATGGCAATCACTGGCCAAAAATAAACGAATTACATGTAAGAACGAGGATCTTCACTTTGCGTTGGATGCCAAGAATGAATCGATGGAAACTTCCGTGTCTGTCATAGGCTCATGCTTATATGATGCACAGTTGAACTCGCTCAAGAGACTTAATCACTAGGGTTTTAGTAGGCCAGTGTTAATTCATTTAAAACTGAACTATGTGCAAGAATTAGTCACTGGACAATGATCGATTTACTTGTGAAGTCTTTAGCGCTGATCAAAAATCTATCGATTAGTTTTGTAATGTCACTGAGTATACTACATAATTTCAAAGATGAATTTGTGGTTTCAAATTGCTATAGCCGCTAATGATGGAGAGATATCGACTGTTAGTCATCAACGATCAAAAACTTCCAAGTTGATTTGTGACCCGTCTAATTAATGAAGAAGACAGAGGTAAAGCGCGTAGTAACACGTATTTCGACTGAAGACCGAAGAGACCAGCATGGAGAATTTATCTAAATTTATACATAGTCCGTCATTTAAAATGATAATTTTGATTGGTTGATCGATAGTCTGTCAGTCTAACTATAGGCGTAATTAACACAAAGTAGATTCTGATTGGTCCGTTTCCGGACTAATTTTTTCGATTCACTTATCAGACTTATTGTGTCACACGTCAAAAGCTGATTGGTACAGACAGCCAACACTAATGAAGTACTTTTCACAGCACAGTGAAACAAGAAATAATCATAACGACTAGGTTGTATTCTACCTAAATTGATGAAAATCAACTTCAGACTTTTTTCGTAATTTTAATGTAAAAACAGCTTGATAATAAATAAAACAATAAACACAATATATTTTTTCACAAAAACATCAACTCACTAAAATTATCTCAGTTGTTGGACCTTTAGTTACATAACGTTTCCAATTGGTCTTCAATTTTGGACTGATGTATACTGCAAAACGTGAATAACTATTACCTGAATAAGTGATCATTGCTTCAAGTTCTTTTTCAGTTAATCTTCTAATTAGATTAGGTGAAATTGTTTGAATCATATCAGATGGCAGAGACCAACTTATGCGTAGTTGATTTTTTGTCAAGAATAGCCCACGAATATTTTTTGGTGGAGGTGGTATAGCTAAAAATTAAAAAAGTGAATGAATATAAATGACATATAAGAATATTCAAAATTTAGTTAGTATAGAGAAGGGAAAAGTCAAGCTTTTGGTTATTCTACCTGAGATAGCTGTAGTTTGGCAGTTGGTAAATGAAGTGAAATTAGGATCTGGTCCACAGCTGGACCCTATAGCCCAGTTGGTAGAATGCCAGACCGGCCAGCCGGGAGCCACTGGTTCAAGTCCTGGTGTGGCCTAGATCACCGTTTCATCACTGACCATCATCCAGTGTTTATTAATGTGACAAATGTACCTTTTGAATTGACAAGCCCAACAGCTGACGTTCTGTTGAAACACAAGTGGAAATTTATCTTAGAACATTAGTTACTAGGTGGTAATACATCTTACATATATGATTTCTCCAGAATCTCTGTGGCAGGCGAATGCGGGTTACGCCATTTTTGCTCGCTTCCTTTCGGCTGTTTATGATTCTAGACATGAAAACTACAAACTAAACAAACAAACGGGTGTAACGGACAGGTTGAAACCTCTGTGTGATTCATTTAAGACGTGGTCTTCTACATACGAAAAATGACCTCCGGTTTAGGAAAGTTTGAATGGTGAGCAATGGACTCACATTGTTATGACACACTGAAGTTATGTTACCAAATCCACTTGGTTGGGAAGTTGTGCGAGCCCGAATAGGCTGTTTACTGATAAAATCTTAGCTCGGATATGACAGGCTCACTTACGTCATCTCTGGTGATGGTCGAATATTCGACTCCTTATCACGGGATGAGTATATTGTTCAGCAGTTTCTTCTGTCCTACTGTATGGCTGAGAAATAGCTGTCGAATGCAGAAGACGTAGGGGGGGGGTAGTGACCCTTCAGTCATGCTAACTTGGTACCCTTGCCGCCATGTTGTTGTGAGCAATGTTGAGGTTGGGTATACAGTACCATGCAAGTTTGTCAATGAGGCTATAAACCTTAACCGATTGACGTGGCCTGAATATATTTTGAACATGTCGAGCCATCATCAATCCATCTAGATGTGCGATATTAACTGAAGTAGGTGTAGGTTGGAAGAAACCTGTATCACTTCATGAGACCTTTGAAACTTTTCAGTTGTACACATCTTCAACTACATCTTGGATTGAAGATTCCCACCTTCAGGCTTCAAAGTGAGCAAATGGATGTCAATCAAATGAATGTAGTATATTTTCAGGCTTCAGTTTATTCACAATCAATGTTATCAATGATTATCTGTATTCTTCTTCAACTTCATGTCATTTCAGCTGCCATTGGATATTTTTTGTAATCAATAGAATATCCTTGCTTAAACATGTAGTATATGGAGTGCAATTAATCAAGGTATCAACCTGTATCAACAGTTGACCAGTGTTATCTAATAGAATTTTATTGAAACTAGATATGGTAATTTAATATTTACCAATCTCTAGAGACTATACTGTAAACTATTGGACAGTACATGACATCAGGCCTGTTCATTTCTTAGTGTTGAGAAGTTTTTTCAACTCAAGAAGAAAAAAATCATGTTCCATATTGTCCACTGATTGATTCACTGGGGGTAATTGATGCATTCTAATGATGTAGCATCTGTATTATCATTTCATCTTCCCTTACATCATTATATAATGCTAAATCAAGTCCTTCCAGTTTGATAGTGTGAATTCATCATTTACTAAGTGTCTTAAGTCAAGAAATCCAGGTTGACCATAGTCCTATTAATTGTATTCGACTGTTATATCCAAGTATGTATTTTAAACAGCACTTTATCTAAAAGGTAACATATAAAAAAATTAGATGTGATCATCTGGTGTGGTGTGGGGAGCGAGAAGAGGAGGATACTGTGAACTGGGGAGAAATCCTAGAATATTTGGATTTCGCCGATGACTTGTATCTAATGTCACACAGACTTGAAGATCTACAGACGAAAACTAACAAGTTGACAGAAGAGGTGAGGCAGCGAAGACGGGACTTCAAATGAATGTAGAGAAGACAGAGGTGATAAAGATACCCAACCAACACCATGAACGGGAGAAACTTAAAGGAAGTAGCCTCCTTCACCTATCTAGGAAGCACCGTTCCAACTACAGGCAGCACAGGCACAGGCGAGGATGTCAAAGTCAGAATCGGAAAAATAGCAAGACAGGCTTTCATTAGCCTGAAACCAGTGTGGAGATCTTCTGCACCACACTCAGCATAAAGCGTGAACAACATCCGGATTTTAAACACCAACATCAGTCAAGTCAGTGCTTCTATGTGCTGGTTCAGAGACTTGGCGCGTTACGAGACGGACTTCCAACAAATTACAGACATTCATCAACAACTACCTACGCTCGTTACTGAAGATCAGGTGGCCAGAATAAGCAACAAGGAGCTCTGGGAACGAACCAGCTTAGAACCTATCGCTCAACAAATGTGCGGAAGGAAGTGGAGATAGATTAGATGTGCATTAAGAAGACCGCACGGGGACATCACTCTCCAGGGCTGGTCCGCGAGTGGAACCCAGATGGGAAGCGAAGAGTTGGGCGTCCCAGCTGAGGGTGACATGGAGGAGATAGTGTGAGGAGGAAATGAGAGCTTGTAGGCTGTCGTGGAGCCAGGTTGAAAAGATTGCAGAGAACAGAGTAGAATGGAGACGTGCTGCTGAAGCCCTATGTTCCATTAGGAACCCAAGGGACAAATAATAACATATAATAATAATAATAATTTGGTATGGTGGAATACTGTTGCATTCCGGGATTCCTCTTAACTGATGGGTTGTAAGTTAGAAATTATCCTGATACACTAACAACACTTCAACACTGGACAATTAGTAGTGGTCGTTCCAGTATCTTTTACGAGGTTGCATGAACCAATCGATTTTTTCACTCTCGCTTCTAAATCTTGCAAAACAGTTCAAGGTCTCCGATGGATTCCGATGCAGCAGGTGTACCCACTTGCCTGCTGCAGGTTTGGTATACCCGATGGGCAGCTGGGTGTTGATTAAATTTGTGAGGGTGGTATGACTTGTCCAAGGACGATGGTGTAGATGCGTTCTTCAAATGTTGTGTCTCCAGACAGTTGTTTGGACTGGTTGTAAAAAGAAAGGATGAAAAGTCACCCAACTGAAGCAAGAGAGAGGAAGTGAGAAAAAAACAGATCGAATGGAAAGGAGGGAGCCAAGTAGATTCAGGAAAAACACAGAAGAGAACTGTTCTAATAAGAACCTTAATAAATAGGGTGAAATCATGGAGTCAGAACACGTAAGATTATTACATAGATTAGGGGAATCGGAACAGTAATTCTACTAGTGGGCGTGTGGTCACTGAAGGTGAGATGTCTAGTAGGGAAGCTGTCGATAATATTAGTAGCACAACGGATTCGATTTGAGGTTGACAGTGGAAGAATATGTAGAATTAGATGGTTGTATGACCTAGTCCTAGTTGGATGAGCGTGAGCCAAGTGTCACTGTGTAGTTGTCCAACATTTTCTTCAAGCTGTCAACAGACAGGGCAGTAACAATCTTGGCAGGCAATGGATTCCAGTGGCCGAAAACTCATAAAGGGAAAAAGTATCAACACATCAAAGGGTTTTCACCCTTTGGTCTTTGAATTACCACGAGGATCACCACAGCGGTCATTCGGTAGGCTTTCACTGCTTAGGTGACTTAAAATATTCATTACTTTGTAAGCTATTATCAGGTCACCACGTAACTCACTGTAAAAGGAGAGTAAAGCTCTAGGTTCTTCAGTCTGTCTTCACAGAGTTTTTGCCTCATTCTCATAACAGATTTCATTGCTCACCTCTAAACTTTCTCCTGTAGGTTCACATCTCTTTTCAGGTATACTGGTGCAGTGACGCTGTGGACCTCTAAGTGAGGTTGTAAATAAGTTTTGTAGAGCTTCAGAAAGAGTTTCGAGTACTGTTCCCACACTGTTTAAACATGCAGAAGATAGGGGGCAAACTAACTGAAAATATAGCTATTTATAGAGTTAATTAGGTGGTAAATTGTCTTCTCTGATATTGGTTAATAATAGACTAATAGAATGTCAAGGATGCAGCCTTCGATCAAGGTTAATAATGGATTGATAAAGTGTGAAGGAGACAACCTACGATCAAGGTTAAGGACAAATAGTTAGACCACATTTTGCATTGTAACATCGTTACAACTTCATAGGGTCTCAATTGATGCATGCTGGATTTGAAACTTGATGGAAACTCTTTTACAAACTGGAAGAATAGTGAATCCATTCACCTGATGTATAGACAGTAGGATGAAATAATCATCTTAGCTATATCCCACTGTTAACCACCATCATCACTACCACCAAAACCAAGTAATTAAAAAAAGGAATATACTTTTAAAGATAAATAAACAAGGACTTACATGGTTTTTTTGGTATCATTATCTTCTCTGTTGACCAAGGTCCAAATCCATATATATTTCTTGCACGAATTATACACGCGTATATTATTTCATCATTACTTTTATTCTTGTGACTATTTTTATGCTTATCTATTGTAGAATCAATTTCTCCTCTGTATTTATTTGGAATATTTAAACGTAGTTGTCCACTTGGCCATGGGACAATATTAGTCAAATCATTTGGTGCTGTAATAGGCCATTGGATTCGACTATTCAACAGAGTAATATTAATGTATTGATGTTGATGATATGAATTGGTATAACTTTCAGATAAGGTGTGTATTGCATCATCATCATCATCATCATGTGTAGACAATTTCGTTGAATAGCATTTTATTTCATAAGCTTCAAATAAACCATGTCTATGATCCCAATCAGGTGGATTCCATGAAAGTATAACCTGATCCATGGAATAACTGACTTGTATTGACGTTGGAGAATTTGTCGGTGCTGGAATAAATAAAAAAGAAAAGAAAAACGAACTTTTATCTTTATGATATTTTTTGATAATTGATGAAAATCATTAGAAATTTTGGGGATGGTGATGGGGGATATGAAGTGTCTACGTGAAGCAGTGTTGAGTTAGGAACAGAATAGGCAGTTGTTTCAAAGATACATTAGTAACGATATTCAATTCATTCTTATCAGATGAAAATATATAGGGGATAAGCATAGATTTTAGTTAAAGGTTAGTATAGAACGATGTAACCTTGGGAAATAGTTTTAAAAGAAATTTTTATTATTATTATTAGTCCCTTGGGTTCCTAATGTAACATAGGGCTTCAGTAGCACGTCTCCAGTGAACTCTGTTCTCTGAAATCTTTTCAACCTGGCTCCACGACAGTCCACAAGCTCTCATTTCCTCCTCGCACGATCACTTCTATCTCACCCTTGGACGTCCAACTCGTCACTTCCCATGAGGATTCCACTCGAGGGCCTGAAGCGAAATGTCACCAGTCGGCCTTCTCAGTGTATGCCCAATCCATCTCCACTTCCACTGCATATTTGTTGAGTGATAGGTTCTAAGCTGGTTCGTTCCCAGAGCTCCTTGTTGCTTATTCTTTCTGGCAATCCATCTGATCTTCAGTAGCGAGCCAGCGTAGGTGGCAGTTCTTGATGAATGTCTGTAATTTGTTGGAAGTCCCTTTCGTAATGTGCCAAGTCTCTGAACCAGCACATAGAAGCACTGACTTGACTGGATTGGTGTTTAAAATCCGGATGTTGTTCACGCTTTATGCTGAGTGTGGTGCAGAAGATCTCCACACTGGTTTCAGGCTAATGAAAGCCTGTCTTGCTATTTTCCGATTCTGACTTTGACATCCTCGTCTGTGCCTGTGCTGCCTGTAGTTGGAACGGTGCTTCCTAGACAGGTGAAGGAGGTTACTTCCTTTAAGTTCCTCCCGTTGATAGTGACTGGAGTTTGTTGTTGTTGTTGGAGTTGTTGGCGCGGTATCTCCATCACTTCTGTCTTCTCTATATTCACCTGAAGTCCCGTCTTCGCTGCCTCTTCTGTCAACTTGTTAGTTTTCGTCTGTAGATCTTCAAGTTTGGGTGACATCAGGCACAAGTCATCATTGGCGAAATCCAGACCTTCTAAATTCTTTTCCGCAGTCCAGCCAGCGTATCCATCTCTTCTCACAGCTCCCCACTGTTTGCTGCATGATCCAGTCGAGTCGATCACAATCAGGAATATCATGGGTGAAGTTAGGTGGCAACCTTGTTTCACTCCTACTCCTGTCTTCACTTCACTTCAAAAGCATCACTGAGCTTCCCATTGTGAATTACTTGGCTGGCATGTGGTGTCTTCATATAGTTGTTGACTGAGATTGATAAAGGTTTGTGGTATTCAGTAGTATTGAAGCAGTTTCCAAATTACTTATCGGTCAACAGCATCGAAGGCTCTCTCTCTCTCATGCAGTGGGAACCAATCTCCTCCTCCAGGATCATGACAGCAAGATCTTGATAGCCACTCCAAATCTGAGTGTGCTCGTTGTTGTCGTCTGGGTGACAGTATCAGAGTAGATTATTGATTTTCCAGTTGACAGTTTGGAGAGTCCACTCCCATTCCATCTGCTTTCGCAAGTTCCAAGCACTTCAATGTGATACCTCTTCATCTCGTTTTCAATCTTGGCTGCCTTGTGGGTTCAAACATGGTGCGGACATTCCATGTCCCCACATTTACTTTCGCTTTCATCGAGAGAGAGAGAGAGAAGACACATCGGCCAATTGGCTTCCCGAAGGCAGGCTTTCACCAACTGGCGTCATTTCGCCTCTCCGATTCCAGCGAGGAATAAGTTTGTTTTTATTTTTTATATATCGTTTGTGCTTTGAAGTTTGTTTAGCGGTTAGATTTGTTTTCCGGGTAGGGTTGCTAGCCTTATGCCCAATTTTCCTTGTTTATGCGGGCTTGGGATCGGCTAGCAACTAGTGAACTAGTTAACCAGGCGAAGAAATTATTCTTACTTAATTATTCGGTATTGTTTAGGTTGGGGAGCATAACATGGCAGGATTCGATAAGCTCTCTCTCTCTCTCTCTCTGTGGCCGTTTTTCTGAGGTGTTTGAGGAAATTTAGACCTACCGGTTTTGGATTTTTAAATGTCAACCGAAATCAATATTTAAACTTGTTGGTGGTTGGCTCACAACTGATCCGAGTGACACTGATACATACATACAGTATGCTCATCCTAATCATCATGTTTAATTGACTGACTGACTGGTTGATGAGCAGTATTGACACCTTCGAACGACTTCTGTGATTGCTACGTTTGTCATAAATTTCTTCAAGTCTCGATATCACATAAATGTTAACCGAAGAGTTGACACGTTTAACTTTCGAAAGAAATCATTTCAGTACTGAATTCTAAATTGTTCTGGAAAATTCTCACAGAAAATACTGAGTGACTAAGTGTTGTGAGTGAAAATAAAATGCAGACGAAGAGTCACTTGTGTGAACTACACTTTCTGCCTGAAGGTTGATGATGTCATCCAGTTGCTCAAACCTCTATAGGTGAAGTAAAGTTGGAACCCATAACTCATTGGTTGATATTTGGATACCCCAGCCAGTATATAACGATGATTAAGCATGTGGAATCCCTGTGCTAAAGCTTTACTTAGGCAACATCAAAAAGTCCTTTGTACGACAATGAAAAAGCTTGCAAGCATTCTAAGACTTGAAACACCTAACAAACCTGGTTGTGAAGTTATTCGAAAAGTTAAAAATGCCGTAATATAAGAAAAATTGCAGTTAACAACTTTTTTCCTGATAATCTATTTTATTTTCCCTTTTATCTTACCTGTTCCATCCAAAGCTATTGTTTCCACAGCTTCATAGCCTATCTGTAATGGAGTGATGACGGCCACACGAAATTCATAACTCATTCCAAGCACTAAAATTTATTATAGAAACGATATGGGATTAAAATTAATCTTTTATTTATCGTTTTTTCCTGTTATACTGAAAAATAACAACAGTTTGGATCAATACTAAAGTTCATTTCACTTATACTTCTCTAGTGAATCTTCACCTCCTTCTAAAAAGTGAAAAGTATTCGTCATTGTACTTCCACTACATCATATGTGATGGTTACATCTTAATTCGTGGATTCTTTTTCACTTTCAGTTTTATACTGCTTACTATTTATCAGTAGTATCGTTGTATTTCTGTCATTTTGTCATTTGATACATTTCGTTGAGTTGTAAGCACATAATAGCACGGTGTTTAGCCTATTTTACCTCGAAAGACTAAGCTTTTTCCTTCTTCACCTTCTTTTCTGGCTTTATTCGCTTCTCCTACATTTATTCCAGATGCTATGAAGTTCACACTTGAAGTTTTGTTTATCTCGCAGCCTTTAGAGTTTCCTGTATCCTGGTACACTTTCAATGGGTAACTCTGGTTGGCTATATCACACGCTGTTGATTTGCCTTTTTAATACACATTGGTAGCTATGTCTTCACAGTGCGGTAAAGATGCAGATGAAACGACTTGAAGTTAATCTTATATCATATCACAACACTGTACTTGAGGTAGATCTCGTCTTCTGGATTTCTACATTTTACGCATAAATTTTTAGGTTTTTTGTCGGATCTGTTGGAAGAAATCTGTGCATGTGCCAAGATCTAAGAAATAACCATTTATGGTGAAAAATGCCTTCAGAGACAACTAATTCATTTCACTTTCGATCATCACTCAGTATGAATAATACGAGCCGAGTGAACTTTGGCCATCTCAAACAGCTCTCTTTGATAATCATCGGAAGCCCCTCACTTCCAATTTGGCTCACTTTCGGTTGAGATAAGAAGACCTGGTTACACAGATAGTTGGGTTACCATCAGCGGATAATGATATATCTCAAATTCACGTAACAACTGAGTAAATCCTGTAGTGATTCATTAGACTGAGAGATTCGCAAATTATTTACCAGTTACTTGGTTCAAGTGGACATTTCCCACGGCTCAGTAATTATTCAACCGCCCAGCTGTGGTGTCACGAGGGCTTTCGTTGGAAACCACCCAACCAAAACTAGACATCATATCAAGTGGTCCGAACAATTCGATACTGTGAACTCCATTTGTCCGAGTACTCTGTTAATGAGCTCGGCTGCGAACGAGCGAAATCGCCGTCAGGTGTTTAGATCACTCTTATCTCTCTGGCTAACAAATACCACAGGTCACCCTGTTCAGTAGTATATTTACTTGATAGTACATCCTCGTTCAAAGCGAATCTGCACTATTCAGTTGTCATCACTTCTTGTACTTCCGCATATTACTGACACACCTTGTCACAAGTAATGTTTCCAAGTTGAGATACCTCAAGTTCCTTTCCAACTGAGACTAGTAATTAGTAAATACCAGATTAGCTGCAGATTTGGAGACATTGCTAAGTAGCGCATTTTAGCATGGTGTTGAGAACTTCAGGTACAGTAGAACATAACTGGAAGTTTGAAGGCCAATGTGTAATATATGGGTTCAATGCACTTGTACGTCTTATCAAGCAGTTTAGAGAGTTGAACAAAGGACACCTTAGTCACAGATTATCCTGTTTCACTATTTTCCCAGGCGGAAACTTTAAAAAATAAAGTTTCTGCGGGTATTTGAAACAATTAGTCGTTTTAATGAATTTGCATACTGTCATAAGAAGATGGAGATTATCAGAGAAATCTGATGTTGCCAATTGCTTTCCTGCCTAGTTCTCGCTTATCCCACATAGTTAACTTAGTACCTCTTTTTATATCTTTGTTTCATGCTACTTAGTATTAGTAAGTAGCATGATTTGTTTCCAATCAATATTGCTGCACCTTCAATTTCACTGTTTGTTTTGTTGTCATACACTATTCATGTTAGTGTTGGGATGCCTTTCGTTTCCCCCGGACGTTTTATGTTATCTTGGAAATGTGCTTAGTTCACGTCTTTATTCATTGTAGGAACATATGCGCATCCTTCACATTCCCTTTTTGGTTCACCTTGGACGTCGGCTTACTGTAATACTCTTGATCCACTCTGTGTAAGGTACGGCGTTTCAGACAAATCCTGTGTTTTGGATTTGATGCGTAACTCGAGTGTTTGATTTATTGTTAGAGAATCTCTTTGGTTTCACAGATGTTTATACTCAAAGCATTTCAAACAGTCTGATCACACATAGACTTGTCAAGCCAAGGTGAAAATAAGGTGGAGTAAAGTGAATAAATTAGGATAATACAAGATTTCGATGTGTTGCTTGCCAACGTATAAATGGGTAGGACAAGTGCTAAACTCAGTTGGAAATCGATAAAAATCTAGAGCGTACGTTTCGTCCATTTTGGGACTCGTCAGTTGGATGTATATTCCTCCCAGTGAGTTCTGTTGTCCTCACCAAGATTCGGACCCAGAACAGCTCACTCCAAACGCCAAAGCGTTATCCATCAGGCCATCATCACTCTCTGGCCTTAGGGATAACGCACTGGGGTTTTGAGTAAGCTGTTTTTACTCCAATTCCTGGAGGCAAAGATAATCCTTACTGGAAGTTAGCGAGTCTCAAACTGGACGAAAAGCATATCCTAGATTCCACTGCTACTCTTTTGGTAATCTTTATTTCATTTTAGTACCGAGAGAAGTGCGACAATACACAATTCCTCCTTATCATCGTGATGTCTTCCAAACATTGTATTATCCTAGATTATTTATCTTACTCCACCATTCTATTTTCATCTTGTCTTGACAAGTGACTAGACTAGACTTCTAAATGTATTGTGCAAATCCATCATACATTTCACAGATAACCTCCATCTTCTTATTACATTATATAAATTCTTTGAGTATTCACATTGAAGGGTAATTGAGCACAGACAACAATGAACTAGTTACCCTTTGAACAATTGAGTTTAAGATGAATCAATAAACTCTTTAGCTATCATCAAAATAATCAGATATTTATTGATTACTTTAAAATTATTAGTAACTTGAAAATATGTGTATGCAAAGAGAAAAAAATCTTCGTTTAAAAAGTATTCGATATCTATACACTTACAAAATATATCAGATGGAGCATTCCAAGTAGTTTCAGTAAGATTAACTTCACCGTGTAAAAATTTCACTGGAATAAGCAATTCAGATTGGAAAGGATTTTGTATTTCATGCCTTTTAAATCAGTTGACTGTTGTTGTTGTATTGGTGATATTGTCTGCTGTTGAGTATCGATGACTGACCAATAGAGAGTAGATTCAGCTATTTTCTTATCAGAAGAACGTATTATCCTTTTCTCATTGTGTTGTGATTGTTATTCAAATGATTGTTAATACTACTACTTTTAGTTAAATACCATCGAATTCTGTATATTGTTGATTTATCAACAGTAGAAGAACGACTGTCTAACCAGACTGGTTCCCATGATACACGAATTAAAACTTTAGGTGGAAGATTTGTATCTAATTGAGGAGGAATGATTTGACTTGTTAAATACAATTTTTGTGGAGCAGATGGTGCTGACAATATACAAAGGAAACAATACAAGTAGATATTTAGCAAAACAATGACAGTTATAATTTACATACACATAGGGGGAACTAATCAAGATATGCACTTGACGATAGGGGAACATGTATGCAAAATATTTACACAAGTAGCTGAATTCATAAACATCGATAAGTTCTAGTGTTGTAGACAACCATCATCATCGCATATTGCAAAAAGCATTCTTGAAAAGAGTCATAGGATTGATATGAAAACAGCCTTTAATATATTTTGCTTAAAAACTGAATTTTCTTGAAATCCTAGCCATATATATATATATAAGGTGAATCCCTCATTGTGTATTTGAAAACTCTTTGTCTCAAAGCTGAACCTACTCTGATAATGTTTATCTGATTATATTACCAAGGTTGTCTTCAAATCTCACCATACTCTCTTACCAATTATTCAAGTCCTTTATGTCATACAAATTGTGTTTCCCCTACTTCTAATTTTCATAAAAGATGCCTTGTGATAAGTGAATATGTGTTATATTTAAAGCGGCGCCTATTAAACTTGTGTTTCAGTGGAAATTCACTAAAATCCCCTGTAAACACAAGAAAATGAAAACAATTTGTTCAGTGAGGGGACTTGTTTTTCATCCTAGTGGGTACTGCTTAAAATACCATACAAGTTTCGTAAAAATCAGTAGCTAAGGAGGAATTTTTATCAAGGTGAATAGAGAAACAAGGAATAGTTGTCAGTATGTAAGAAATGAGTAGAAAGAAGGAAATAGAAAAAGGGTGAATGTTTTGAAACGCTAAAGAGTCAGCCGATGCAAACAAACGACTGGTTGTTCGAACAAGTCTCCTTGTCATGTAAAGCTTCAGCAATACAAAATAGGTGGATGTACACTGACTTTGGCAACTTTCTGTGTAAATACTGTGTAGACAAACATTAGTTCCTGGGGAGAATACATCTGTTAATAACTTGAATTGTTCCCCTGTTGAAAATATCATTTTCCGGATATCCTATTCCAGATTGCAACATGATCCCATCACTAATACATACCTTACTGTTATTCACTAGTTCATTATCTCTCAAATATGCAAATACCCTTTCGTCACCTAAATTCTTCATTCTTTCTAGAATACAAACCCTCCAGAACACTCACATACACTCACCTTGAAGTGATTAGCTGCTTCAGGGTTACTTACAGTTCAGCTAATTACTGCAAAATACTATCGATGTCTATCAGGCTTGAAGACATGTGATAGTAATAAGCAGTAGAACTGATAATACAAGTTTCTCATGCATTATGCAATAGGTGGAACAGAGGGGGAAACCACACTACTGACTGTGTTATTGCTTGTATTACACCGTTGTTGATTAGACCGAATTGATCGGTCCCTGTTGACATAAGAGCTACTGTGCGATGCCTCGAAACTGCATGTGTTCTTAATTATGTATAGTAGTGATGGGCAGTGGAATCCAGGATGCGTACTCCGTCCCATTTGGGACTCGTCAGCTGCATGGACCTGCCTCCCAATGAGTGATGTTGTTTCCACAAGGAATCGGAATCCGAAGCCATCGCTTCAAACGCGACAGCGTTATCCACTACACCACCGGTCCACGACAGACACGATAGCCACTACTGTCTGGTTGAAAATTATCGGCCTAAACCAATGATAATTACTTTCAGATATTGTAGCGGATCTTTGAACCTCATGACATGCATATTCTGTAGGAATTGTTCTCGAAAGGTGATACCAGATAACAATTACCTCATATCTCAAATAAAATGATGGGCGTTTGAGTACATTTAGCAAAGAACATTATGATTTCTACGAAACTCTGTGCTCCATTGCCGTCTTTCCAAATCATTTTGTACAAACCTTATCCAAAGTGAAGATGTACATAGTCATGAAGTATTAAATTGTCAATAACTTTAAAATATTGTGAAATATTTCTTCATATACACTATCAAAGCACTTGCAAGAATGCCTTCATCATACGTTACATTGAAGAAGTAGGTAATTTCGAAACATTTGACTCCTAATTTGAAATCATCCTCAATATGCAGTCAACTGCTTCCATTGATCAAGTTATCTCTGTTTTTAGAAGCATGAGAGAATATCCTCAGACAACATGAATGTCAAATACATTTTCTGAAGACAAACAATACAGTCAGAAGTTGTTTTTTTACTACTGAAATGATTACTGAAATATTTTCTTAACATTTATTGGTTTAAATTACCAAAGCAAATTTTGCCGACATTCATATATCACATCAATACAAGTAAGGAATAAAAGGTGTACAGGACTATTGGTAACCACAAGTTATTCTCTTGTGGTCATCATAATTACCTTATTTTCTGATATAATTGTCTCTACCATTGTTTTAGCCAGTAATTTATCAAGTTCTGGCTACAATCAAAGGAAAGATATTGTTTATCTTGCACTAAAACACTTCAGCACAAATGTATATATTTGGGTACGCGCCAGTTTCTATCCACATAACAACCATGGCATAGTTATTACTGTTGTTGTTTCCTTTCAATGTGATGATTAGCTTTATCTTCCACCTTTGTTTAAGTTCAAATTACCAGGGTAACCAAGTCAAATGTGTAAATATTTCAATGAATATTACTTATTTCGACAAAAACGGAAGCTGTAGCATAGAAGATTATTGTTCAATGTTCAATCAACTGGAAATATAATTTACTTTTGTTTTAATTGTTGATTAGAATTAACTAGTTGTTTGACGAAATTCTAAGTGATGACTTTGCTTAGAAGTATTCTGTGTTGCTATTTATTCAGAGTACACCAACTTTTCATGCAGTCCAAGCTACTGTGGTGTGGAAATGTTTTCCAGGGAATGGCATTGACTCTCAGAGAGAGAGAGAGAGAGAGAGAGAGAGTTTGATGTTGAGGTAGGTAGAACGACGGCGTAAATCGATGAAAGTTAATAAAATGTTCTTAACTGTGAAAAAGACAAAGAGTGTATATATCTAAGATATTGTGATCAACACTTAGCTGTGCCACCAACGGTTTTCAGCTATTGATCCTTATTGTCTTGGGGGCCCCAGTCAGACAATTTCCACCTACTGACATGGCTTAGACCAACAGTCAAACGCTGCATGGACTGATAGTATGTTTTGGTTACCTTCATTCTTCTTCCAGCATAATTCTGCTTCGGCTAACATCTTATGTTGAGGTAGGCGGTGGCTTGATATGCCCAAGGCGTGTCCAAGCCATCCCAGATAGTTACGATTTACAATTTGATTGATTGACTTGCCTACTTTGCCTGGTACCATCCATATAACCTCGATATTGCTCACACGGTGATTTCGCTATACATGAGCAACGCTACAGAAACACCTGTGGTCAAAAATCTAACATCTCTTCGAATGTTCACTTTTCAGAGGCTGAGTTTTGCAGCCGGACAGTGCAATAGTGGACTGTAGTGAAGTACGCTCGTCCTTTAACAGGTAGTTGGATATCTCAATATCACCAGAGATGACGTAATTTAGCAAATACCAGCGTGGCGTTTTGTATCTGAGTTGATATTTTGTCAGTAATCCAATCCCCTAAGCCGATGAAGTGGTCAGTGGACCTAACCACTTTATCAGTTCGAAAAAAACACTCGCTGCTGGTGAGGATCAAGTAGCTCTTCCCAAGCCACCTTAGAAATCATCAAAACTGTGCCTTTTCCTTAAATTTCAATGTGGTAAGAGATTCATGACGTGCTTTCCCGAAGATTTGGAGCTTTCGGGCTCAGTCTTATAGTAGGTCGAAGGTGTACAACGTTACTACTACTGTATCATTAGGTTGCGCCTATCATCAATCGCCATTGTTTAAGACGTTTTAACCGGGGTGTTACGCGCCGAAAACTTAGTTTCAAAGGGTGTACATCGGTAAGTGATAGATAGTGGCTAGCAGTAGAATCCAGGGCGTGCGTTTCGTCCTAGTTGAGACTCACTCGTTAGCCGGATACACCTGCCTCTCAGTGAGTAAATTGGTTCTCATCGGTCACTTTCAACGCCAGATCGTTGTTAACTAGGCCGAAAAATGCATCGTCGATCCCTCTGCCAACCACTATCCATGCATAATCGACAAGCGAAACACGGGCTGTACCGAGGCATCCACACAGAAGCCCATATGTCAGTAGAGACAGATCAGTTCCGTCCTATCCAGGACCGGATAATAAAAGCAAGGCTATATCAGATAAGTGTTTTGTTCCTCTGTGGTCAACGTGACAGAAGCGAAACAAATTACAAGAAGATCCATACTTGAGAAAGAAAACACATGAGAACCCTGGATAAAAGAAAGGTTTAGGAATGTAGAGAGTTATCAAGTGCATCAGGTAGCAGTTTCGTCTTCAGTAGACATGTCCAGGTACCCTGGAGGTTAGTTAAAGGGATTCAGAGGGGCATGAAATAACTCAGATGATCGAAAAATCGGTCCAACTAAGCAATGTTAAGTTGTTTCAAGGTGGTATACCTCGTGAACTGATACCATTTGGAGAACCACTAGAAACCTGGGAGCAGTGAACAGCTGTTCCGTCCTAGCATGGGACTCCTCAGTAGTCCACACGAACGACCTCACCAGAGATCGAACTCAGAAGCTTCGGACCTCATAGTCACCACTTTACCACTTAGACTCTGGGTTGGAGTTCAATGGTCTTCATTTTCCTACTACTTTCAGTTCACGATGAAGTGTGGCCATCATCCAATGCCATCGTTGAGTATTTGTCTTCGCGTTTGACTTGATCAACACCAACGGTCACGACTTCCCATGAGGAAGAAAGTAGCAGAATTTTGTTTTCAAGGTCTATGCGAAATCTTCATGTTTAAGCCACTGGCTTAAGGAAACTAAAAAACATATCAAGTTTCACCCTTGAAATGACAAATCATTGTGGTCGTCTGGAGCTGGTAAGAAAAAATTCAGTAGACCAGGTTGTTTCGATTCACAAATACAGTCTTTGAACAAAATATCCTGTTATCACTTATCTCGATCAGTTTTTGCCTATAGACCAAAGGCACTTCAGTATCCAACTGTGCCGTGTAAAATGAGGTTGTTCAAACTAGTCACGCGAACAACATATGATTTTGGCATACATCATGCTGAAGAAAGGAAGGCACCTGATAAGATATACTATTGTAGGCAACTGTTCGCTACTACGAGCAGTTATCAGCTATCGGATTGCATAACCAAGTCTGGAAGTTCACTGTTTATAATTTAGCTACTTACAAATATTTAAGTAGTTTAACTTCGTGGCATTTTATCACAAAACATTAACAATGATTCATTTATATTCAACTTGTGCACAAAATACAAAATAAGGAAACATATTGTCATGATGATTACCAATCCAAATTTACCCTTTTTTGAATAACCAATTGACTGACTGATGGCTCTTTGACCAATTACTGTTAATATACATATAACTTTACGGCAGTTTAGAATTGGTGTGTCTTTAAAGCACAATTGGGGACTGAATAATATGTATTCATTTTATTTAAGAGGTTCCTCATTACCTGCTTGGCGTGTGAAACAACCACAGTATCACGTGCGAGAAGGTACTATCTTATTTATACTTGATGGTAGTTAGAAATGGAACCCAAGACGAGAGTTTCGTCACATTTAAAACTCATCAGTCGGATGCACTTAGATAAGTTAATGTTTACTGTGGTACTGAAACCTAGTAACTCATCTTTTCAAACGACAGAGTGTTGTTTATGGGTTAACCAGTACATTACCAATTTTATGTCACAGGAGTATCAGTTCGTCATTGGAGGAATTCCGTGTTTACAATTGGTGGTATTTTTTGTGAGGATTGCAGACCGTCAGCTGGCCTTTGTTACAAGTAATTTACACTTAATCAGATCGAACTGACACTAACACATCAATATTAATTGAAAGACACTTTAAGGTTGCATAGTCGAACCTAGTAGAATTGAATAAAAAAGTCTAAAAGATTGTAAAAAAGGCCTGAAATATCATTTACTTAAATGTAGATCAGTATTCATTTTTACCAAGTTTGCTTTCATGTGATTAGACAGTCACATGCAGCTGATGAGCCCCACATACGACGAAGCGCACACTCGAGACTCCACCCCTAGCTTATATCGACCATTATTTTTAAGTGTATTTAGCAAATAGCCTAGACTTACGTTCATCCCATGTTTTCACTGGTCTTGAAATAGCCTTGTCTCCTGAACCAGACGGTGAGACAGCACTTACATGGATCACATAATATGTAGACGGTTGTAAGCCAGTGATATTAGCTGTATACCATGTGTTCAGTGAGTCTGTATAATTCTCTGATGAATCATAACCACTTCTGTGAACTGGGACTTGTAGACTGCCAAAAGTGTTCGCTTCATATACTCCACTATTACCTGGCTGATTGGACCATGATGGAAGCGAGTTTGAAGATACACTATCAGTGCGCAACCATAAACCCTATCAAAAAGAAATAAAGGCAGAGATAAGATAAAGTCATGGGATGATAATAACACGTCTACATCTTAAGTCACATACGATGCTGGAGGTTAAACAAGCAGGTGTACGATGAGACCATTAGGTTGAGAGTAAAAATGTGATATTGTTCAAGGTGTTTTCTCGTTGACTGTAAGAGGTGGACCAGGAGAAAGCATTGGACTGTACAATCTTCACAGAACTCATGTTGTCATCGATATTAAAACTTGCATATCAGTCAGTTTTGAAGTCAGTGACTGAACCATTGACAAGCGTATACTTTTAACAGAGTCATTAGTTTAGCCAACCAGTATTCCTTTGTTGACTTTTTTCATTTGAGATTCAACCTAACCACCAATTTATGAATCATTGTCTTATTTTTGAGTCGGTATTCATTACGGACTGACATCAATTGGCACACGACTGGAGACTTCAGAGCACTGTACTGCATAGATTTAGGTTGATACCGAAAAATAACTGTTCATATAGCTAGAAAACCATTTTCATCTAACTATAGGTTAACTAACGCATGGTCAGTCTAATTTGCAAACGTTTCTTCTACAGTCCAGTGACAAGACCATGTGTGTGTGTGTGTGTGTGTGTGCATGGTCCGGTTGCACCGGGAGTTAATCTCGAGGTGAATTACTCAGTAGTAGTAGTAGTAGTGAAGTATATGATGTAAGTTACGAATGACAACAGCTCGAATTCTGAAGGAAGAAAGCATGAGAAACCGTAAGGCTGATCAGTGAATTCCGTCCAGTGAGACAGCTAATGGGAAATTATAAGTAGGAATAAGCAGAACCCGATATGTTGAAACTATGATCTAATAGTTAGCAGATAGTTACATGATTGTTGGTGGGAAAGTTCGATTGGATTGATGGCCGTCATAAATGTATGAATGAATTTTGAATGAAATTTAATTGTACTGAGGCAAGGTGAGGGAGGGAGGATTCAGGAGTTTTACTAATCGGCTTACAAAACTGACCTACACTATACTCTCTTGTCGTCAGCTATTATAGTTTTATTGAATTTTTATCTAAGGAGTTGTGGAGATTTGGAAATATTTCAAGTTGTTATTCATCGTAGACTGACATCAGTTGGAGGAACAAAGGAAACCTGCCAGCACTGAACAGCTGTTTCGTCCTAGTATGGGACTCCTCAGCAGTGCGCACCCACGATGCCGACAGGGACCGGACCCGCGACCTCCAGGTTCCGTGGCCAGCGCGTTACCATTGAGCCACTGGGTCAAAATCCAATGGTCCATATTTTCAACTTCTGTTACCTCACGACATATAGGACGAAACAGCTGTCCAGTGCTCCCAGGTTTCCTTTGTTCCTCCAACTGATGTCAGTCTACGATGGATAACAACTTGAAATATTTCCAAATCTCCACAACTCCCTCAAAAAAATTCAATTGAACTGGTGCTCATTAGTGACTAGCTTCGAGAGGTATCCCCAAAGTTCCAATGGGAAGTCGTGACCGGTGGGGGCAAAGCCTGATGGTTGTGAGGACAGTTACTCAACGATGACATTAGGTGGCGGTTGCGCTATATCGTGAACTAGCAGAAGTTGGAAATATGGACCAGTAGGTTCTGACCCAGTGGCTCAAAGGTAAGGTGCTGGCCACGGAACCTGGAGGTCGCAGGTCCGGTCCCCGTTGGCATCGTGGGTGCGCACTGCTGAGGAGTCCCATACTAGGACGAAGCAGCTGTTCAGTGCTCCCAGGCTTTCTTTGTCCCTCCAACTGATGTCGGTCTGCGATGTATTGCAGGTTTAAATGTCTATATGCTGACATCCTGTTTATGTGACGTAAGACTTAAGCTTGGAACTACAGTGACGCATAATTCCATATTAAATTGTTTATTTGGCGTGACACACAGTGGTTCGACCAACTTCTATACAAACATACTAAGTAATATCGTAGTTGACGCAGTTAAACACGAACTCATCACTGACCTTGAACTTGGTAACAAAATTGGAGTTTAGAAAAAGACTGATTGGGCAAAGAAATATGTTCATTTTTATTTAAGTCTTCATCTTGGTCTCTACCCTAATATATCTCCAGGTTTACAATTCAATCAAAATACCACTTAAGTAGTGGGCCGGGGGGGTTGATAAACAATAATTATGGATTTTAACTAAGTAATGAAGATGATGATAAGTTTCAGAAATCAAGGTAAACTGCCTAGTAACTGGTAGAGTAATGCAGTGCTTTCATGTTGAGTGGCGATCATAACCAACAAGTAATCATGTAATGATAAGAAAACGGATATTTATAGAACAAAAGGAGGTGGGGTGTACAAGGTAATAATGAAGGTTACGTCATGTCGACGGCCAAGGTAATGAAAGGGATGAACAAACTTTTGAATACAAAGGTTAGGTTTGTGTAGGTGGATTGCAATCGCCTCTTCTACTTGAAGTAAGAAAATACATAGGCCGTGTGGTAAATTAATTAGAATATGGTGAATGGTTTTGGATGCTTTTGTAGTATCCACTTGATATCCAGTGTCGTCAGCTAAGTGTACAAAGATGGAGTTCTCTGTTGTTCTCATCTATCTCTTATACAGCCCATGTTGGGTGATGCTCAGAGATTCGACAACAAACCTACCTCATTGTACACCCAATGTAACTGAACACTCAACAAGAAAGTACTCCATTTTCTCTATCCGGTTACTATTCAATTCACCTAAGAATAATCTGTTTCATATCATTATAATTACTCTGTTAATTATTTTGCATCTTGTTTTCTTAAACTTGTCATCATCTTCATGTCTTACTTAAGATGGATAATTATTGTTTATCAACCCACCCAACCACCCACTACTTGATTGGCATTTTGATTAAATTGTAAACCTATCCAACCACATCTACATTGTCAGATTCATATTTATTTCCTCTTTGAATGCTTACATGCAGACAACAGCTATCTACCGTCTGACAAGGGTCCGTTTTATCAGAATTTAATGGAAGATTATAGCAGTATTGTTTATTATCCGTAATAACCGTAATAATAATAATAATAATAATAATAATAATAATAATAATAATAAGGTTATTCCAATATTTAGATGATTTATAGGACATTTTATCTGACGTGTGTGTGTGTATGTGTGTGGTAAACTTACTTCACTATCCGACTGACGCCAGTTTAAATCATAATAAGCAATACGAGTGGATATTACCACAGATGGTGGGCCATTGATTATTGGGCGTTGCCATTTTACTTGTAATCGGTTGGCGCTAACAGCCTGTACGGATAGATTGGTTGGTGCCGGTGGAACTGGATTTATGTATACAATTTTTAAAAGAAAGAAAGGAAGAATTACCAATATAAATTATGCATAGAATTTTGATGACTACTTATATATAAAAATTAAGGTAAATATTCTGTAAAGTCTATTGAGGCAAGAAGATGAATTCATTCTACAAGTTTGTTGGAGCATGATGACGAAATGGGTTCAGTTGACCAAATCATCTGGTGAACGGATTATTCATAGTATACTTCAACCGTACGCTTTGCAGGTCAACTCTCCTCACCTATTTATTGACATTTAAGTATGTGGAAGTGTCAACCTACTTTGATGTGGGGGATCTGGCCTACCTACAACAACGATTGAGACAGCTTTGTCGGCTGGAACAAATATTTCTTAAGGCTTTGTTTGATAAGACTGATGTTACACAATCTTAAAACTAAACACAATGACCACCATAATGTAAAAAGCTTACTCTATGATGAGGGTCTGGAAGAAAAGTTACACTATTGATATGCATGGCCAGCTGCACTGTATGCTCCCGCTGTCTTCTCTTATCGGAAGGAGATGATGGGAAAGTCCAGTCTTAAAATGAGTGAACCTCACCCTTTTCTGTGATCTTCCCTTGCCAGTAGTATGGGTTTTTTAACAGCCTCCAAGTAACACAATTAAACCTAAATCTTAAACTGATAAAATGGCCAGTAGCAAGTAGATGTCCCTTGGGCTCTGCAGTTACGCATAACCAGCCCTTTTTCTCTTTCGGATACATCACAGAAATGATTTCCACAGTTTGGACATCCTGGGAGTAAGAAGCATCCACAAGCTTCTGGCATGATGTAAAACTTCAGTTTACTGCTTTTCGAGGGGTGGAAGGCGGAGAGTCTAACGATGGTTTGAGATCACCTAAAGAGCAGCTGAAAATCAAGGATTAGTGAACCATTACCATGTTTTTACTTAGAACTGTTTAGTGGTCGACATCAATTAGCTTTTACAATAAGTATCAGGTTTCTCAGTGAGCGGACTGCCATCCAACAACCGGCTTGGAAATACAGTCTTTCACATCATTACGATGAAAAAGATATTACACAAGTCAGATTCTTTTGATCTGAACTAATTTGGCCCTTTGAGTTGAACTTGGCTGCGTGTACCACTAATGAACTCAACTTTAAACGACTGAAATAGCCGATCGGTGTTTGCATCATTCTCAACTTGAGTACTTTTAGACCACTTATTTTGCTCAGTAGTATATTTCGTAAACTAAACTCTATTATATCAATGCAAGGGTTGTTATTACCGATGTAGCAATTGATTTGTGAACACATTTCACTGTTAAACAAGAGGATCGATCTACTAGTGACATGCATAAGAGTCCAGTAACACTGCTGGCTGAAGCATATAAAGCAGTTTGTGATAAGTTGTCATAGAGGTGATACATTGACCTATGTACTCATCTTCCACACGGTAAACAGGTTCGGGGTTCTAGCTCACCCACTTCGACCTCATTTTTCGGCTGGCGTCACAAACCGTAACACATTTAGTGCGGTTTAAAGCCATGATACAAATTTCTCAGTCATGCAGTTAAGTTAGCACCATTTTCTTTGATACTAGAGGTAGGATATTGTGCTTATGCTACCAGTGGCTATCAGCACTAAGTAATCTGGTGGATAACATTTCAGCATTTGTATGGACAGATGATAGACTGGAATCTCAATGTGAACACAGTCACTCACTGAAAAGCTGGTAAAACAGCTGATGGGCCGCATACAGGACGAAACATGCATTCTGGATTCCAGTACCACCCATTGTCCGCCATTACTACAGTTTAAATTTGTTTGTATTTGTCCTCCTGAATCCATTCTGCATTTGTTACAGATGACTGAAATCTTGGAGAAGGCCATTCTATCAACTCTTGAAATTCAGTTTGCAGGTTTGTGGGGAACTATTTGCTGATTTCATGTCGAACTGAAATCAGTTGAATAATAATTGGAAATCTGGAATCACTGGAAAGCCGTTTTATACTAGTACTCGATTCCTCACCAGTGTGAGTCCATGACCTCACCGGAGATCAATCCCGCAGCCTCCAAATTCCGCTGCGAGTACATTACCATTGATCAACGACAGTTACCAACGTGGAATGAATAAACAAATTGCACCAAAGTTCTAAGTTGAATTACTGTCTAGTGCTAATCAGTGACTTGGTTCTTGATTAGATTTCCCGAGGTTCTAATCAGAAGTCATGACTGGATGTCAAGGTAAATATTCAAAGATGTTGTTAGGAATATGGTGCGCTATATCGCAAACTGACGGAAGTAGGGAGAAGTGAACCGCTGGATCCTAACCCAGTGGCTAAATGGTAGCGAAACCCTAAGTTCTTAGGGTCAAATCCTGAAGGATTTTTGGGTGCGCATTGATGGGTAGTCTCATACTAGGAAAAAACAGGTGTACATTGCTCTATAGTTCTCAATAATTCTCCATCTGATGTTACTTCATGAGGAAAACTTAACTGAATCCCATAAAATTATCAGTCAGGCTTCATTATTTCACAAAGAAACAAACCTTTTTAGCCAAAATAAAGAAAACTAGTTGATTGTTCTAGTTGTCTCTGAGTAAATGGTCTCTGTATAATCACTACACCCTTTATTCACGCAGTCTTCAAGGCAACCATCTCAGAGTTACTAGTCAGGTCATCTTTTATCTGGACTATAAGATATCGTTATAAATTTAGCTAAGACCAACAAGTTCATTGATGAATGCTTACAGACAATAATCAGTTTTTTTCAGTTTTCCAGTAATACTTCAGTCAAAATTACTGTCGTCGATAATACATCGACAGTTTCAACAAACATCCAATTAATTTTAGGTTGGAATTCATCAGAATTGATATCAGTTTGAGGGACATTGGCAACCTGGGAGCACTGAACAGCTGGTTTTCCAACTTTACACTATTTCACAATATAATGAAGTTTATGAACTCAGTGGACTGTATATGATTGGCATAGCAGCCTACCTATCATCAGAGGTCGAACAATTAGATCGAGTAAAACAACGGAAAACTACAAGTATACCAGTAAATAGTAATAACTTATACCCGTTGTGCAAGGGGAGGTTATGATTCTTCGGTGGTCTAGTGGATGACACCCCGGTATTTGAAATGATGGAAACTGGATTTGAGTCTCATGGGGTATAACATCACTCACTAGGGTTCACAGGTACATCCAGCTGACGAGTGAGTCTCAAAAAGGAAGAAACGCGCATCCTAGACTGCTCTCCAAGCCACCACCAAGTAAACTGTCATTATCAACATTAAAGGTAACACCTAAGGACTCTCACAGGGGCCCATATACTAGTAGTGGTCAGTTGATTCTTTTCATAGGATAAAATCAGTCAAAATAATCAATCAATCGATAAATTTTTGGTTTACACTCACTAAATTGACTGGTTCGTGCAAATGTTGTTGCTTTTACACCAGGTCCAGTTTTGGATACTGCAACTAGATTGAAGAGATAACGTGTATTCGGTTCTAAATTATCAACTAGATAGCTGATTGCTTCTGATCTTATTCGTTTAGCTGGTTCTATCACTTGATCTTTTGATTGTGTTTGACTAAACCATGTGTTTAAATGATCCGGTGTCTTTAACTCTGGCACTGGAGTATAATTCAACTCATAATACTCCAATGGACGTGAATTTGGATCAACATCACTTGGTGGCTGCCATTGCAACATAACTTCATACGAGGATTTTGTAGTTGCATTGAAATTCTGTGGTCGAGATAGAACTGTTAAGGATAAAAGATAGTATAGTTTAGAAGTGAAAAAAACAATAATCATATCATTACACCTTGACTACTATGATGAATTCAAATGATTAGCCATGCATGGTATTCTCACACAAACTGACTCATTTACATCGATTTCCCTTTGGGCAGTCAATGATGTAAATTTGTCTAGTCCTAAGTGATGATGAGGTTCGTTAAAGTTTGTATGTTAGCCTTGTTGATGTATGATTCAATGAGCATTGCTACCCGCCGATTACCTTCAAGTATATAACGCTACTGAGGAAGACTATGAATAGCAAAATTCATTTCAAACTGTTCAAAAATCGATAATTTGTCAAAATCTTGAACTACCTGCCATCATTTCAACTCGGAGGTTTGTGAAGACTTGATTGATTTCAGGTTAGTATTCACCACAGACTGACATCATTTGGCAAACCACTGAAAACTTTAGAGCACTGGGCAGCTATTCTGTCCTAATATAGGGCTCCTCAGCGGTGCGCATACCGGATTCCACCAGGGATCGAACCTAGGATGTTAACGTTTCTCCTTGAGTATTTTATCATTCACTCGCCCGGTTGAAAGCCAGTTATCCATGTTTTCCTACTTTTGTTGATTCACTATCTTCATCGAATACTGTTTTTAAGTATGTTTTCTTCACGTCCAACTTGATTTACCTTAGTGACCATGACTTCTCACTAGAAATACAGGATAGTGGATGAGCGCTGCTGAGGAGTTTCATGCTGAAACGAAACGGCTGCTTTTCTGTTCTCCAATCGATATCTGTCTATCAGCAGTTTCTTCCTCAACTGTCGATATTAAATGTCACTGCACTTGTGAAAAGTCACTTTAAAACATCAAATTTTCATATTTTAAGTAGAAAAGCTTGACTCATCTACACCTGGTATGACCATTTACTAAGGACTTTTCATTTACCTAATGGGATGAGAGACGGAGTGAGATGAGGGGTAAAATCAAACAGGTTGGTTCATACTGAATTTTACTTGGAAATGATTTCAAGCTAAGCCACTGTTCTATAGATCCATATCAGCAATCTACTAATGATCACAATCTACTAAGCAAACGAAGACTGATATTGTGGATTGATATTCTTGGGAAACTCTAGAAGAAGGCCTGTGGAATCATTCAGTAAGCCTTCTACTGCCAAACTACTTAACTGTTAATTGTTCCAATTTATCCGCTTGTTCATCTACGATTTGTCCGCCTATTCTCTGCATTTCAAAGTTTGTACATTCTGTACAAAGCCATGTAGAAAAAGACTTGAATTCAGTTAAAGGAAGGTCAGTTGTAGCCTTAATAACTCAGAGGCAGTAATAAGCCTGATAACTTCGCTGAGTGATTATGATTCCAGTTGGAACATTCTGACAATTTCCTCCAGTCTTCAGCATGAAATATGACATTGCTAAACATGAAGTCACCTATCTCGAGGAAAGTATAGCAAAGTATATCATACGAGATAAATCAGGTATTTGACATTGTCCGCCTACCTACCAGTATTCATCAATACCGGGTACATGGATGCTAAGAAGGTAGATTTATTAACTGTGACATACCGTCCCGAATAGTGGGCATGGCTTTCACACCTAAAAGGTTAAAGATTCTCTATCCTGATTGTCCTGAATACTGTAAAACACTATAATCCACGCATCCTTTCATTATCGATCTGTTTAATACACTGCTCAAGACAGATGATTAAAGGATGATATTGTTTACTGGCTAAAGGTTAACTAGTGTATTAGGTGTTATAGAATTAAACTTTACTGACAACAAACCTTGGGGACAACCAATGAAGTTATAGATACCTGATCGAAGGTCATTCGTTACATCCATTTACTGTATTGCTGATGCTACATATACGTTTGATGAATTATGACGAAGACTACGTTTCAGTTCGGGTATGAAATTTGGTGGAGCAGGTAATGTATTCTAAGTAGATGAATGTTTTTTTCGGAGACATAAATATAACCTAGGAGGACAACTTATACAGAACAGGGTAAGTTATATATACGTCTTGAAAACCCACATCTTCTTGATATCTACAACCGAAATACAAAGATAAAGGTTAGATAAGATGGATCTGTCATAAGACCTATGCCAAAATGCGTGGGATCGGGCATTAGAAACATAGTATAATAATGTTGATGGATGCTTGGAAGTCGTATATACCTCTCTCTGAAATGGGTTACCCTCTTCAAGCTATACTTCACAAGGAACCCTTCAATAATCGGACAACTAGAGTGCTCACAAACATTTGCCATGATAAATACGTTGTCATTCGAATTCTTGATTCTGATTGGCCAGTGCACACTTAAACATGATTGTTTATCAGTAAGGTTTAGGTCTACCCTGAATTTTTCTGAAATTGATCTTTGGACCACAAGCGTATTGTGAAGCGTCTTCAGCTTATAATTTCTCCATTGTGAATTGAATAAATGAAGTCAGCGTTTTCAGTGGGTTGCAGGCAATCGACAGGAAGTCCTGCTCCACCCAGGTTTCATGCTTGTGGGTACTTGTCACCACGGAGCATCTGTAACTTCGGGGGAAGTCATGTCTTCTGTAAGATTCTAACTCACATCACCTAGTGCTGCAGTCAAAGACGTTACCAGTAAGCTATTCGCGTTGCCAGTGACCTCCTGTAGGGTTGGTGTAGATACATTGGCTTGTCACTAGATAGCAACCAATTTCATGTTGTCTATTCTTGAGGGATGACTGAATTCAGTCTATCATTTTGCAATGTGACCACCAAGCTAGGAAGCTTACCATCAAGGTGCACTTTTAACGAATGTAAGTTGGTTGGAGTCAGTATTCATTTCCAATGAACATGAATTTTTGGTTAACACCCAAGCTGAAGTAACTTTTTAATAATTGTGAATCTGTTTCTAAGGTTTATTCAAGAAACAGTCGAGTGAAGAGTACATTACTTTTAAAACAAACACTTGTGAGATATTAAAACATCTTTTATATTTCTTCATTTTTAGTTTTTGAAGTGAAACTACTGAATACGTAAATAAGTAGTTAACTTAAGTTTTATGAAATTTATGAGCTCATTTTGGTCGATGAAATTTGTTAACTCCTCTTGAAGGTAATTGATGAGAATACATATACCCAATCACTTGCACACACGCAAATACACACACACACACACGCATACGTGCTCACATGTAACTTAACAACTTTTTTAATTACAAAGGTATGCATACTTTTTTTGTAGTTAGTTAATTAATATACATTAATTAAGTAGTTGTACTTATGGTGTAAAAATTTTAATATTCTCTGTCAATATGGATTACTTTTCTAATAGTTTTGATGAAAGACAGGCATGATGATGAATGGTAAGTAGTCTCTGCCAATATCTCAATATACACAAACACAAAGGTGAATAAGATTTTGACAGATGAATAAATGAAGTTCAATTACTTTTCTGTCAATGGATAAAACAACAGTCAATAACTATTTTAATATAATTCATAAAGTAATATTAACATTAAAATTTAGCTTATATCAATTTTGTTGTCAAAGATGAAAAGGTGTCAGAATTGAGACGTTATCGTGAAGTGAAGGTGTGGGCTAGAGAAGAGAAACAGGCAAGCGGAGATTTCCGTTACTTTTCATTGTATACTTAATATATTGAAATAAACGATATCGATAAACTCTTTAGACATTCAGGATTCTTGATGAAGACGTTTAGTAGTTTTCTATGCAGAAGAATATGCAGCTGAATCGATGATAGGACATTAGAATTATTATATACTGTGAATTGTTTTTATTTTATTCATTTTCCCTTGGGTTCCTAGTGGAACATAGGGCTTCAGCAGCACACCACCATTTCACTCTCTTCACTGCAGTCTATTAAACCTCGCTCCACAACTGCCCACAAGCTTTCATTTCTTCCTCACACCATCTCCTCCATGTCACCCTCACCTGGGACGCCCAACTGGTCGTTTCCCATCTGCGTTCTACTCGACGGCCTGGCCTGAAGCGTGATGTCCCCAATCGGTCTTCTCAGTGTATTCCCGATCCATCTCCATTTCCCTCTGCGTATTTGTTGAGTGATAGGTTGTTGGTTGGTTCGTTGCCAGAGTTCCTTGTTGCTTAATCTTGTTATTCTAGCCATTTGATCTTCAGTGTCGAGTGAGAGTAAGCAGCTGTTGATGTGTGTGCAGTTTGTTGGAAGTGTTTTTCGTAACGCGCCAAGTCTCTGAAACATATAGAAGCACTGATTTGACATTGATGTTGAAAATCCGGATCTTGTTCTTTGTGCTGAGTGCAGAAGATCTCTACACTGATTTCAGATTAATGAAAGCCTGTCTTGCTGTTCTTCCGATCCTGGTTTTGACATCCTCGTCTGTGTCGCTGCCTGTAGATGAAAAGATGCTGCCTAGGTAGGTGAAAAAGGCTACTTCCTTTAGGTTTCTCCCATTGATGGTGATTAGGGCTTGTTGTTGTTGGTTGGGTATCTTCACCACCTTTGTCTTCTTTACATTCACTTGAAGTCCCGTCTTCCTTCGCTGCCTCACCTCTTCTGTCAACTTGTTAGTTTTACCTGTAGATCTTCGATTTTGTGCGACGTTAGATATAAATCATCATCGGCGAAATCCAAATCTTCTTCTGGGATTGTTTCATCAGTCCAGCCAGCGTATGCCCATCTTCTCACTCCTCACGATTCGCTGCATGATTCAGTCGACCACAATCAGGAAGATCATGCATGATAGTAGGTGGCAACCTTGTCTTACTCCTGTCTTCACTTCAGAGGCATCACTGAGCTTTCCACTGTGGATCACTTGGCATGTGGCGTTTTCATATAGTTGTTGAATGAGGTTGATAAAGACTCGTGGCACTAAAACTGTAGTGTTGAAGCGACTGCCTGACAAATTACTTGTCGATCAACACTATCGAAGGCCTTTTCGAAGTCCATGAAGTTGACGTAAAGATCCAGTTGACTGTCATTCTATACTCTGTTCAATGATCATGCATAGAGTTGCAATTTGATCTGCACATGATTTGTTCTTCCTGAAGTTAGCCAGCTTGTTCCGGTCACTGTTATAATTAAAAATCTACTTGAAATATGATAGTGTAAAGATATAACGATGATCATATTGATGGATATATTGACAGAAAAGGGGTACATGTAGAAAATGATTAAAATATCACTATGGTTACAATTTTTCCTTATTATTTATACTTGTACTTGTATTTCAGAAAAATAATTAGAAATTTCGATACTTTATGACTTATTTCTACTTTCATTCAACCTCTCGTAATTTATTGATACATTGAATGTTTAAACATTTTAGGTATTATTCATAATAGCTGTCAAAACAACATGAACCCTGTGTAGATTACAATTATCCAGGTATTAGTAATGTATTATAGAATTTATTCATTTACGCTTATGATATTTTTATTGATTAATTTACTCAACCATGTTTTATATTACCTTCCTGGTCTAATATATATCAGTCGTATCTTGGAGCATAGTTGCTACTCCTGAAATCATTGATGTACATCTTTCGAATGACTTTAAGTACCACCGTAGCAACTGTTCAAGTAACCAATCAGGTTTCAGTATCTCATCTGAGAAGGTAGTTTTTTATAAAATACAGAAATGTAATTGGTTATTTCAACAGTTATTAGGGTAGCCTTTAAAGTCACTGACGTTTTTCATATTCTGTGTGGTCTGTGTATATATGTGTGTGTATGTGATATGTTCCTACTGAGGCTGAAGAGTTCGGAATCAGACGAAATATACGGCGAAAATTCTGCTACTAGCCGTGATCATGGAAATTATATCACAATGTTCTGCTTCTCTTGATAAACTCTTGTGAACCACTTTTCGATAGTAAACTTATCAAATCTTCAAGACTTTACAATATACTAGTAATAATAATTGTCTTATTTATAAAGATATTTCAGAAATACTGTACAGAACCTTCAGCATAGAAAAATCAGTGTGATTGACGAATGCCAAGCCTAAGTGTTATGAAGTTAAAAAGGTTCTCATGACTAAGAGTTGTGACTGAGATGACTGTGGTCATAAGAGTTAAAATCACCACATATTATCGACAGGGGGGGGGGGCTACTTAGCACAAGGAAGGAGAATTCCGTAGATATTACCAACGAAACCAGATAATTCAGAGTAACTGCAATCATGCGTTATATACACACATTTGTGATATAAATAAAGTAATATTTGTTCAGATGTTTTCTACAGCATTTTATATAGGAATGGAAACAAGATAATCATTTAAGAATTTTGAAGCAAGTACATAACTTGAAGGTAGTCAGCCACACCACTCTAACATGTCTTAGTGTAGCTACCTAGATTTTGACAGAGTATTACGGAAAAGAACCTAGAAGACTTGAATTTCGCCGATGACTTGTGCCTGATGTCACATAAACTTGAAGATCCACACGCGAAAACTAACAAGTTGGCAGAAGAGGCAGCGAAGACGGGACTTTAAGCGAATATAGAGAAGACAGAGGTGATGAAGATACCCAACCAACGACACCACCACCACCAACAACAAACTCCAATCACCGTCAACGGGAGAAACTTAAAGGAAGTAACCTCCTTCACCTATCTAGGCAGCACTGTCTCAACTACAGGTGGCGGCACAGACGAGGATGCCAAAGTCAGAATCGGAAAAGCAAGACAGGCGTTCAGTAGCCTGAAAACAGTGTGGAGATCTTCTGCACTCAGCATGCGGAACAAGATACGGATTTTCAACATCAACGTCAAGTCAGTGCTTCTATATGTTTCAGAGACTTGGCGCGTCACGAAAGGGATTTCCAATAAACTACAGACATTCATCAACAACTGCCATCTACGCTGGCCCGCTACTGAACATCAGATGGCCAGAAAGAATAAGCAACAAGGTGCTCTGGGAACGAACTAACCAAGAACCTATCACGCAACAAATATTCAGGAGGAAGTGGAGATGGATTGGGCATACACTGAGAAGGCCGACTGGGGACATCACGCGTCAGGCCCTCGAGTGGAATCCTCATGGGAAGCGACGAGTTGGACGTCCGAGGTGAGGGTGACATGGAGGAGGTCGTGCGAGGAGGAAATAAGAGGTTGTGGGCTGTCGTGGAGTCAGGTTCAAAAGATCTCAGAGAACAGAGGTCACTGGAGACGTGCTAGTGAAGCCCTATGTTCCACTAGGAACCCAAGGGACCAATAATAATTTTGAAAAAAATAGCAGATCACATAACCAAGTCCATTGCATTCCAACAGTATGACTGTGAAACTTTGTAGAGTAAAAGAGATTATAAGTAAACAATTCATTCCTGTATAGATCTGTAGTTTATGTTTAGAATTTCAGATAAAATAATCCATCATAATGTTATTTCCTGGTCTCATTTTATCTGATACAAATATCATCAGAGGTTATAATTACTTTAAAAGATGTACGTGAATGTATGATACAATCAGAAAATGATTTGAATAAACACAAATGGTGAAAATATTTAATGTAATAGATGGGATGAAAAATTTAGGGGTGAGACTATAAGTTATACTCATGTATTATAGCATTCTGTCTGAAAATATATGTTTTATATGTTCTGAAGTGAAAACTGTAATCATAAATCTTTTTGGATGTAACTCATTATGATCTGTGAGCGTCATTCATCCTGAATAATTGTACTTACTTTCTGTCTGAGAAGTGGAAGTGCAGCCAATACTTTACAATATGAACAAATGGTATGGATTACAATTCAGTGACAAACAGCATTGTAAAATCTATGCAAATAGGTAGGATATTTATATGGAGCACAGAAAATGTTCATATTTTCATAAACAATTCAACAACTTATGGTAGAGACGACAACATTAAGGGGATAACTTTTAGTCTCACCCAAAACTCAGTAAAGCAAATATTTGAACACACCGCTTTTATATTCAGGAAATATAGCACAGTACATCTATTCATACACCAGTTAACTTTATATACAATCAACTTGAAAGGAATGACTGACCTAATTATACTTCTGTCTTTCACTTACTGATTCAGATTTTTTAGGTGACATTAAGTATAATAGTTTGTCAACTCACCTCCAGGTCGAACAATTACAACTGAGACATCTGATGCCGGTCCTTCACCTTGTCCATTTACAGCACTAACACGTATATAATAGGTGGCATTTGTTGTCAAATGTGATAGAATTGATAGATGACCAGGAAGATTCGTCTTTCTACCATTATTCAAGGTTGTACTGGTGGCCGATGGAGATTTCAACGCTTGTAGATTGACAATACTTGTATCCCAATAAGAGAATTCTAATGTAGGATTATGTGTATAGTAGATTCGATATGCCTATAAAAGAAAATACAAAGGTTATAAAAACAGTAAAGCCTATTATAACAGTCTACGGTTCTGCTATCCCCAAGAGGTGTTGCGAAACAGTTAAAAAAACTGTAACCGTAAAGAGTCAAGCGTGTGTCTTGAAACTAGTAGTCAATGTACTGGGATATAGGACAGGGTCGACTTGTGGATTGATAGATCAGGAAACTTCAGGTTAGTCAAATCGAAAGTAGGATGACTAATTTGTGAATAATTTACCAGTTGCACCGTCCACACCCTGAAATTTCTCATAGTTGAGTAGTCTTCCAACTGCTCAACTCAGGTGTTAACAAGTCGTCCACTGGAGATCATAAACCAGCCAGGATCAAAAGCTATATTCTCTGACACAAACGTTTCATGAACTAGTAAAATATACTACTAGGGGGCAACTTGAGTAGTTATAAACCAATCAGGTTGGTCTATAGTATCTGACTAGTCAAATGGGAGTGATCTAAACTATGGACAGCCGTTTCGCTAATTTGGAGTCCTATAAACTGAATTTGTCCGGGTGCACTACCAATCAAATCGGCCCTAAACGAGTGAAACGACCGTTTGGTGTTTAGATCACTCCAATCTGACTAACTGGCTAGCAAAGTACTACAGATTAGACTGACTGCTTTCCAACTACTCAAGTTGTTGAGCAGTAGTATCTTTGACTATAGATGTGTATGGGTAACACATGTCTTTCCAACGCCAGTGGTGCTCACTGCCAGAGTGAGCAAGAGCAGCCTACAGAACCTGGATCCCGAGTGTAACTGCTACCAATGTAAAAAGGTGGAAATGTGACATGATAAACTTGAGAGACGACACATGAATAGTTGATGCTTTAAACTGCTTGGTGTGCTACCTACACTACTCATCAATTTCTTTACGCGAAACGAAATAAAACAAGATGGATGTTTAATACCATTCCTTTTTCAACGGCTAGCTAACAAGTAACATTTTATGAAAAAGACTTTCTTCATAATAACACAAGCTTATTGTATACGTTTGAATTCTTTTGTGGATCATTTTTGCACTTCCAAGTCGAGTTCATACTTGAAAATGTAGCCACAGCAGGTTCAAAGACATCGACATTGAAGAATGTATATACCAACTGTTTCTACTACTGTTTTCGGTTTCGAATTCAAACTACTTATAAGTAGTGTGTTTATGATATGTGTAAGGTTAATAATGACTAGTTGTCTAAATGACTATGATGCAATATGATAAATACAAAGAACTGATGATGGTTCATTCTATTCAGTTTATATCCGCTTAAATCCTTTAGCAAATGGTACCTATTATGTAAATGACGCAGGGTTATAATTACATTTGTAGGAAAACCTGAACTGTAGCAGGATTTGAGTAAGTGGCCTTATCAGGATCTAATAGACTGAATTTGAGACTCTACCTTCTGACCAGATGTGAATTTCCACTCAATCATCGAGTGTTTTGCCTAATTTCTAGTGAAAATCGATTTGTAGACTATTCAGATATTCAAAATGTTAGGAAATATACACGTATCAATCGCAGAACAGTAACTCAAATGGGTGTTGGGTTCAGGGTATTGAATGATGATTGAGGTCGTTAACATCTCCAATGAATAGTGTAGGTTTCAATACCTAGAGGAATGACAGATTCCTAAAACTGTCAGATTCACCTTGGTCATGGATTTCAACAAGCAAGAAACCTGGGTCAAGCAGGGGATCCAATCAATTAACACTTGGCACTTAATGGCATTAAGTACTCCAACAAATGAACTTTTCAGGGCCCTTTTAAGGGTTTTCAAAGGGTTTATCATTCTTTTCTTATTCGAAAGGTAAAAGTAAAGAGGTAGACTGTAGAAAAGGTAACCTTGCTGGAAAATCAGCCCTTCAATGAACTTATGGCTAAGAATAACTAGGATATCTGTGACAACATTTTAACCATGTACAAAAGCACCAAACTATACAGTGCCAGAATCTTCGCTGTCACAGATAACTGGAAAAAGAATGTGAACACTAGAAACAGATGGTTGGAACTTACTCGTATTCGACCATTTGGTTCACTTGGTGGATCCCAGTAGACAGTGACTGCAGCATTTGAAAGTGCTTGAGAGTGAACATGCAGTGGTGGACTTGATGGAGCTATGAAAATAGCGAAGATATGAATCCCTTTAGTGACAACATGAAAAATTCATTCTATTAAATTTGATTGTTAGCACACCATTCAGGAGGAGACTTTTTACACCACCCTATTCTAAGTGAAAGTATTGCTTATCAACAGTGTTCGAACCCTTATTACAAACTGATAACTTGTGATAGAACAGTGAGAAGACGTTCTATCCTTTTTTTATATTAGCCGAATAGTGGAGAGTGTAAGTCTCAGATAAGTGTCATTAGTTGTATTATAGTACTAACTTGAAAGTTATTTTACCTATGACTTAATTCGTGATATTATTGTATAGCTCGGTTCAAGAGCTTTCGAATGACCCCTCATCGATTTGTGTAGGACTCATATTACAAAAATGATTTTGCATTTTGAATGAAACCGATTCATTATTGTGCACCATGTAAGTTTTTTTGCTTGAAATTTGGTTGTTTCATCTTTATAAACTATGTGGCACATACCGATGAATCAAGTCGCCTGAAGTGCACACGGACATACACCAGATACTGTGCTTTGTTATAGGTGGGTGGGACAGTTGGATTGTGTGACTCATAGTGTGGGTGTATAGAGTATATGAGATTGGTTGGGTAAGTATATTCGGGACCAGTCACGTTCAAGGTCAGTCTTAAGATTGAATAATCCATATCATATGCGATTGGAAGAAAGGTTACCTTGTCAAACTCCTGAAGAAGGGCGACCTCAGTGTTTGCAACAACTGGCGAGGAATCACTCTCCTGTCCACCCACCCAAAGCAAGCAAAATATTAAGCCGCATCATCCTGGAGAGAGAGGCTAAAGGATGCACTGGATTCGAAACTACGACCGGGACAGGCAGGCTTCAGGAAATACAAATCATGTGCGGAACAATTTGCAACGCTTCGCATCATCATAGAACAGAGTGTAGAATGGCAATCAGTTCTCTACCTCAACTTTATCGACTTTGAGAAGGCCTTTGACAGCGTCGATCGACAGGTAATTTGGAAACTGCTTCAATACTACGGAATACCACAAACCTTTATCAATCCCATTCAACAACTATATGAAGATGCCACATGCCAGCCAAGTAATTCACAATGGGAAGCTCAGTGCTGCCTTCGAAGTGAAGTGAAGTGAAGTGAAGACAGGAGTAGGAGTGAAACAAGTTTGCCACCTATTATCACCCATGATATTCCTGATTGTGGTCGACTGGACTGGATCATGCAGCAAACAGTGGGGAGCTGTGAGAAGAGGGGGATACACTGGCTGAACTGCGGAAAGGAAACTAGAAGATTATGATTTCGCCGATGGCTTGTGCCTGATGTCACATAAACTTGATGACCTACAGGCGAAACTAACAAGTTGGCAGAAGAGGTGAGGCAGGGCAGCGAAGGAAGACGGACTTCAACTAAATGTAGAGAAGACAGAGGTGATGGAGATACCGCACCAATGACACCAACACCAACAAGCCACAATCACCATGAACGGGAGAAACTTAAAGGAAGTAACCTCCATCACCTATCTAGGAAGCACTGTCTCAACTACAGGTGGCGGCACAGACTAGAACGTCAAAGCCAGTCAGGATCGGAAAGAGATCAAGATAGGCCTTCATTAGTCTGAAACCAGTGTGGAGGTCTTCTGCACTCAGAACAAAGCGTGAACAACATCCAGATTTTTAACACCAATGTCAGGTCAGTGCTCCCATATGGCTGAGAAACTTGGCGGGTTACGAAAGGTATTTCAACAAACTACAGATATTCATCAACAACTGCCTACGCTGGTTCGTTACTGAAGCTCAGATGGCCAGGTTGATAGGAATAAGCAACAAGGAACTCTGGTTGGCTGTCAACGATTTAACCAAGAAGCTATCGCTGAACAAATATGCAGTGGAAGGAAGTGGAGATGGATTGGGCATACACTGAGAAGACCATTCGGGACATCACGTGTCAGGCAAGACTGTCGAGTGGAACCCCGATGGGAAGCAACGAGTTTGGCGTCCGAGGGTGACATGGAGGAGATCGTGCGAGGAGGAAATGAGAGCTTGTGGGCTGCGTGAGCGAGGTTCAAAAGATTTCAGAGAACAGAATGTAATGGAAACGTGCTACTGAAGCCGTATGTTCCACTAGGAAACCCAAGCGACAAATAATAAAATATAATAATATGCTTAAACTAATTGCAAACTGGTGGCGATTTTTCAGTCACTACTTTAACAATCCAAGTTTATTTTCAGGTATCAAAAATGATGAATAATTATTCAAGTTAATTGCCTGAAAAAGTTTTAGAAAGTATGTGACTTTTGGAAAACTAAGCGATTTCAAAGAGGGATGATCAATAACGTTCCTAGAAGCTTAACTTTCAAGTGCCTTCCTAGTATTTGATAAACATATCACCAAATTCATTCATTAAGTTAAATTAAGTGAATTTAGGAGTGGAATTTTCTCATAGATAAGAAGATCGAAGCCATTCGCCCTTGAAGCATTCCAGTATAAAAAATAAGAAAGTATAAACTTAATATTTATGCTTATAAAATAACACTACTTATATCTGTTTAAAAGTAGTACGAGTAAATACTTAATTATTAGGCTAGATAAACTGAAATTCACTAGTTAACATATTTCGAATAAAATTTTTGGTGAAATTTAAGTGATTCTAAGAGGTTTTCAAAGTGCTTCGTTTTAAACTCCAAACATTTTTGATAGAAAAAGGGAAATTTGTGCAAAAAAAATACCTAAATTGAAATTAATCTACACATACGCTTAGTAGTAGTAGTATAATGGGAACAGATGGTCAGTATACCCACATGAGAGTGATCAATTTACCATCTGTTTACTCTCATCTCTTTCCGTCTTTCTGTCTCTTCCCTTTTCGAGTTTATAAGTATTTAACCAAGGCAGTATGAAAAGAGAAAGGGAATCAAAAATCGACGTATTCAAAATTTAGTTGAGTAAAAAAAAACAACAATGAGAATAGTAACAACGCATAGTTAAGAAGAGTTTAAATTGAAATTCCCAGTTCGTAATCTAGACAGACTTAAGCTTTAAAGTATGTGAATCACAGAAGTAAATCATGCTTTAAATGATGGATGAAAGTAGAGAGAAAGATTTTATCTTGATTGATTTCCAGTTAACTTTTTATCCATCCATTAATCGGAATTTTTATGACACTTTTAACTACTTTAAAGAGATTTGTGTATGTATGTGTATTGACACTTCGATGTCTCTTAACTGATCATTTATTTGTTGTGTTCTATACACCCCATGAAGTGTGCTATAATTCTCTGGTATTGTTCAAATTCTATCGGTCAGTATAACTTGAAATTCATTGTAAAATAGAGAAGAAATTTTATTTATTCAAATATATCCATTCTAGACTGGTACTTATTTGATGTCAGTTGATTGAATTGCAAAATAGAAATCTTATCTACAGGTAAAGTAGTCGAACGCTTTTACTAATCCAAAACAACTTTGAACATGTTAGATATCATAAGATCATAGATTTTGATCTCATTTTTAAAAAAAAATTAGTTGACAGTTTGATAAGAACCAACATTCTAAGTTATCAGCTGCTAAGGTAGAAGTTTTGGATTTCAACTTTTGTTTTATGTTACTGTGTGGTCAAGAAAAACCTTATTGGATAATTTTATCACACAACTGACCAATCAGAATAAGTTATTTTACTTTTATCTTAATAACTATATATGCTGAGGGAAACTGGATATAAGCTATCTTTTTTTGGTCAAATGAAGAGTTTTTCTTACATTCACAGGCTGGTTTTCGTTTGCTGATATTTTTGCGACTTAGTGAAGCCTGCGGTCCTGATGGAGGATAGTCGGTTTTCGTATCCAGTTCAAATATCTTATTGCTTTGGTAGCGTTTCTTGTATTTCATATTATTCTGTTAATCACACCTACTCGCTCACTTCACAGTTAGAAATATCAATGTATACCATACTGTTGGCAAATAATTTGCTAATGGTTATCACTGAGCCTTTGGGTCGGAATCTAACGCTCCACATTTCTCTACTTCTGTCACCGATATAACGCCACCTCTATCTAATACTGTTGTTGAGTAGTTTTCTTCACATCCACCTTGATTTGTCTCATTAGAACTTTAGAAATCTCATCTCAGAGTAGGAAAATGTGGATGGCTCGATTACCACCCAATGGTCCAATGGTGGCGTGTTGGACACGGGACCTCGAGGTCCTGGGTTCGACCCCTGATGGAATGATGGGTGTGCAACATAGAGCGGTTAGTTAGTCGAATCCAGTTGATATTTAGAACATGTAGTTCAAAATTTATTCGAATTCATCATTAGTAGTTTCAAAGATCATCAAAGAAAACCGCATTTCAGTGTTTAAATCACTTCACTTGGATCAGGGATATCTGCTGATTGACAGTATGCTTTTCCTAACTTTTAAGCAGCTGTAATAGCCAACCAATCGGCTTATTGCTCAATTGAAATAAATTTAAACGAAAAATGATCAACAACTAACCGCCTATTTCTTATTCTATTTGTTTGTTTGATTAAAATCAACCTGAACTTACCAAGTTCTCTTGTCGTAAATGTGAACGGTTGACTAGGTAAAGATGTATCACCATCTGGACCGACACATCTTGCCCATATTGTATACTCAGTGTATGGTTTCAACTGAGTGAGTGAGATAATTATCACATTGTAGAGAAATGTGGAATCCTTAGGTTCAATGGTAAGCAAAGCCTGTTGATTCACCTCGGAGTTATGAAGATCAGATGAATGTTGGTGAAGATTAGTTAACGAAGAACGGCTGACATTTTTCAGGGATTTTGGCAGCATGATAAGATTTGGCTGAATTCAAAGGTAAATAAAAATGAATGTTTTTGAAGAGAAAACTGGGGGTGGATATATGTAAAATCAACAAAATTACTGATGGGAAGATCAACAGATTACACAAACACATATTCTTCTTCATGAATCTAAACAGAGAAAGAAAAAAGATTGTAACAGAATAACTACTTTGTTTCATCAGTTGCTCGTCAGCTGCTTACAACCTAAATAATATATCACAAAACAATAAGAACACACTTATCGCAGTAAGCTAACAGGGCACATCATGTTATCTTGATCATGGTGACTGGCAGAGGAATTCAGGAAAGGCGTTTCATCCTAGTTGGGACTCTAGTGCTTCTGTGTGATGGTTCAGAAACTTCACACGTTACAAAAAGCATTTCGAACAAACTACAGACACACATCAACAGCTGTCACCTACGCTCACTCCATACTGACACTGAACATGGAGATGAGATGGCCAGAATAATAAGAGTAAGCAACAAGGAAATCTGGCTGGTTGGCTGGATGGCTGGCTGGCAACAAATCAAGAACCCATCGCCCAACAAATATTCAGAAGAAATCGGAGATGGAGTGGATTGGGCATACACTGAGAAGGTCGATTGGAGACACCACGCGCCAGATCAGGCCAGTCAGTCTAGCGGAACTGAAATGGGAAACGACGAGTTGAGTGTTCCAGCTGAGGGTGACAAGGGGAAGATGGTGTGAGGAAGAAATGAAAGCTTTTGTGGAGTGATGGAGCCAGGTTGAAAAGACTCTAGAGAAGAGAGTGGAATGGCGACGTGCTGTTGAATCCCTATTTTCCACTAGGAACCCAAAGAACAAATAATAATAATAATAATAATAACCTGAACTTTGCATTCGGGAAGATCATGTTCAAACATTATTCTTCTCTTGACCTTCAAAAAACCGAAGTCCACTTCTGTCTTCTTGATTCTTTGTCTTTACGCTTATTATGAGAGAAATGAGAAATTTAACAAGAAAAATCAATTTCATTACACTCCCTAAATCTCACTCTATTTTGGAAATGTTTCTCCCACTAACTGCCCAGTTACATTTTATAATTGTAGAGCATGACGAGAATTTATTGAAAAGAATATTCTTCATTCAGTTTGGGAAAATGCTACAGTGCACAAGGTCCTAACTTGACTTCTGTCTTTCTCTCCCTCTGGGATCTGTTAAGTTGACCCATTGTGGTAGGGGGGGGATAGGTGACGAATAACGACATGGGATTATGATTAGGCTATATTGAGGGCAGACTGATAGGAGTTGTAGTATACTGACTATTATTTTGGAAATAAGTGACTGGATGGAAACTTGTTTCCAACAGAGCCTGGAAGTCTTGAGTTTTATCCTGTGTGGTTGTCTAGGGTTGTGTCTCAGACAAGAAGGAAACACTTGCCCAGATCTTTAGACTTTTTAATTTATATCAGCCCATAACAACAATCATCATTGATCAGTTCCCTGAAGAGCAGTCATTTGAACAATGGTTAAAGCATTGCTGTCGCGAGTATACAATGAATGTAACTCGACAAAGTGATAAAAACTCTTTAGATTTCATTAATAGGCATGACTAAACCTGTACCATTAGCTCTATGTTGAAGGCGGTATTGAAGTGTTGATTCAAACTGCTCAAGGTGGTTTCCAAGGCCAGTCAATTCGGTCTGATGAAATAAATACAAGAAAACTAACACGTCTCAATCATTTTAGTGGATAACATGGTAGTCCATCCATCCATCCGAATCAACATAGGATCAGGCATTATTGCGTGATGGTCTGAGTTGCCACAGCTCGTACCAGTACATCAAGTAAAAAGACAGTGAAGTAAATGATTAAGAAATGAAAATTCAGTCGAAAAAAAAATATAGAGTACTAAAAGAGAGAAAGGAAGAACGAGAAAATGGTGAGATTCAGTATAACATTAAGATGAGGATAATGTGTGTATGCATCTGCGCCATGTACATCAGTTCTGAGCCATGCCATAACCTAGGGTCTCTAACCACTGGTTCCTCTTGCCCCGTCGACCCTAACCGGCTAGTCTGCATCGCTCTACATGGCTCAAACTAACAGTCTAAGGCTTCATGCATCAATGTTATATTTTAGTCTGGTCACCTTGAGCCTTTTTCCAGTCTGAACCTACTTCGGTGAACATTGTGTGACGAGGCAGCTGGCAACTATGCATACGTAACAGATGTCCCAGTCGTCTCAGTCAATGAAGGTTTGCAATTTCGTCAACTGACTTACCTTTTCTCCCTAAAACTCTACACCTGACGTCTGCGTTACGACGTGGTGGGGGTTAAAAGTGACAGGTACTAGATTCAGATGACAGTCGGCATGTCATCACTGAGTGAGATGTAGAAACATCAAGTCACTGATTTTCAAATCGACTGCCAGTTATCATCAGACAAATACTACAGAAAATGCAAGCCGATATCAAGCAATCTACCTATCAAAACAAGAATGCGAGCATACATCAAAACGGAGATTGGTCAATTCTTTTGAGTAAACTAGCAAAAAGAATGTCGCAATGATAAGAAGCGGCTTAAATGGAAATGAAAATTTTAAGTCATCCACCGCTAAGGTAGAAGTTGTCTCATATCGCTGCGCAAAACCTTATTGGACGATTTCTTTCAACGACTAGCCAATCAGAATAAGTTGTTTAACTTTTGATCTAGTACTTTTATATGTTCATGAAAACTGTATATAAATGATGCACTTTTGTCGAATAAAATATCTTTCTAACAGTCACAGGCAAGTCTTTGTCATCTGATTTTCGCTGTTCACTGAAGTACAAGGCACTGAGGGAGGAAAGCCGTGTTTCATCGCGTTACAATCATTCATATCTTTATTATTACTCACTCGGTCACTTCATACAATGTCGAAATTAACTTACCTCTTCTGTGTTAGACAATATTATCGGTTCAGTTTGATCAGAAGGTTGACTGATTAAAAGATTTGCTTGACTGGGTAATTCATATAAAGTTTGATTTGTAAATTGACTATTTGGCAACCAAAGGATTAGATAACTTCTAACTGCTGATACTGAGCTAGTGCTTGGTTTCATTGCTAGACGTGCATGTGTAGCAGCTAGTTCAATTAACTGAAATTCTCCTGGTGGGTTAGGCAAATCTATAAGAAGAAGAAGAAAAACATTTTTTCGGATAAAAATAATACAGGGAATATATAATAATGAAGAGGTTTTGTGGGAATTTATTGGTTGATATCAGGTTGGTATTCATCATGGAATAACACTAGTTAGAGAACCACTGGAAGCTTGGGAGCACTGGATACATGTTTCGTTTGCGATTTCTCAGCAGCTCACACCCTACGATTGAGCCTAGGGCTTTCAAATTTCACCAAGTGCACGTTGCCACTGCTGAGGAGTCTCACGCTAGAGCGAAAGGGCTTTCTGGTTCTGTAAGGTTCTCACTGGTTCCCCCAACTGATGTGAGTCATTGAAGAATAACAATTTGAAATAAAGATTAGTGTTAGGCGTGGGAGATGATGACAGTAATGTATTATGGTCACTTCTTAGTCATTCAGAATCGCTGTAAATCATTCATCATTGATCCTTTGACACCAGACGTGTTCTCATCCCATTTATACACATGAGATGTGAAGCATAAGTTAACCTGCAACAACTGAGAGTACTTAGAACGTGGACATGTTTTCAAAGTTATATTTCACAGGCACTTATGAAACTGACCCATTAGTTCATTAAGTTCTACGGGAAAAACAAAACTATCAGTATTTGTGTTTACATCTTGTTGAATTTCAATTTTTGAGATTTCATTGAACACATTATCATTCACTGACTTTATTACTTGTAATTTCCTGTTGCTATACAGAGCTAAATCGTTCGATTTATGTTGGCGCTTCAATACTGCCTGCTAACTCATTATGTTTATATCTACTTGGTTGCTAACAGGTGAGCTCATAATACGTTTTGTCCTATTTGGGACCCGTCAGCTGGATATACCTGAACCCCAGTGAGTGATATTATCCCCATCCCAGTACTCATTGGTTCAAATGCTAAAGCGTTATCCCCTAGACCAATGAGACACAAGAGCCACCTCTTTTACGACTGATATCATTCGTTGTTCAGTACGTTGTGTAGTAGCACATTTTATTATACATGTATCAATATAGCATTTATCTCTAAGGAATGGATGAACAAATTATCTACTAGTGGTGTTACTGGAGACAGATGCTATTGTGAATTGCTCTACATCTGTAAGAATTTGGTTAAGGTACGTAGACGATACGTTTGTCATCATCAAACGAAACAGTCTAGATGAACTCTTCTGTCACATAAATAATGTTTGCGGAAGTATCACTTTCACCAAGGAAGTTGAATCCGATTTGTCGAAATTAAACCTTATGGACTGTATAGTGGAAAGACAGGATTACAACAAACTAAAGATTAAGATATTCAGAAAAGCTACACATTCTGACAGATATCTCGATTATCAGTATGCACATTCTTTGACTACTAAAGTAACTGTTGCACGGAATGTGATTAGCAGAGCTAACCGTCTTGTTACAACGGAAGAAGACAAGAAAGAAGAGTTAAAGTTAGTTTACCGGACACTCGAAGCAAACAATTATCGCAAAGATTTCGTTAGACGTATTATAAAAAATGAAATTAAGGATGTCTTAAAAATCCCTCCGAAGAATTGGACAAGCACGGTCATAATCCCATACCGAAAGGAGACTTCAGAAGAGATAAGGAGGATTCTCAACAAACACGACACAAGAGTTTACTTCCGTGCAACAAATACCGTACGTTCTAACTTAATGAAAGTTAGTACCTAAAGAAAATCAGCAGAACTGCGTCTATGAAATCAAATGCGGAGATTGTACTGCAGTATATGTAGAGGAAACAGCCAAACATGGTCAATGAGCATAAACTATGCTTAAAGCAGATCCCAAAAACTTCAGCAGAGGTTAAGAAACTAGAAAAGAAATCTGTGATCGCGTTACACTCCATAGAAATGGGACAAAAAATTGACTTTGACGGAATTAAGGTTCTACAAAAAGGTTTTGGATCATTCCAAGAAAGACTGACAGTCGAGGTCCTACATATATAGCCGAGTCCAGACAGTTTGAACAGACGAGATGGGGTGCAGTTAGCTAGCTGCCTCTTGCCAATTACTAATTAGTAAGCAGAAAGAGTGACTCAAAACATTTACCGTCATCATCATCATCAGCCGCAGCAGCATCATTGCTACCACTCATTTCCACTCTATTCTGGTAAATCAATGCGGAAAAGAAGTTGGCTGACACTATTCACCACTTTACTTCAACCGAAATAGTTTACACATCCACCTCATCCTTTTCAATTTGTACTTATAAGAAATTACCGAATGACTACGTCACCAATGTCCTTTTTTCTGATATTTGCAATCAAGGCGAATATGAATTGGAGTACATACACATATAACATACATATGCCATGCAACAAAAGACATACAAGTCCATCCTGAATGATTAGTTATCATAATTTGGGAAGACAATGACTATACGAAGAGGATTGGACAAGGAGATTAAATACACGTTTTTTGAATTCACTTGTATATCCTTGATATTTTAGTGTTGATTATTTCCCTGAAGAAGCTCGGACCAGACTTCTGTGCGAAACGTTGGAGTTATTTGATTTCAAACCCGCTGTAACTTATACAAATATGCAATCTATGTGTCAACCTTTTACTCAGCGCCCAATATTTACTATTTGAGACGATCAAATCTTGATCACAGTTTACGCATATAGTGTTATTGCTTGTATCATACCATCGTTAATTCGACCGAATTGATCGTTTTCTATTGGCATATGGGCTCATATGCGGATGCCTTGATATTGCCTGTGTTCTTAATTCGGTTCAGTCAACAACAGTAGAATACAAGGAATAACACTGAAACTATACCCGTCACACAGAAAGTGGCTATCGTGACACGGTGGTTTAGTGAATAACATTCTGACGTTTAAGGCGGTCGGTCGCGAGTTCGAATTCTAGGGGACAACATCACTCGATGGGAGTCAGACACATACACTTGATGAGTCTCAAGTAAGACGAAATGCGCATCCTGGATTCCAGTGGTAGACACTACACATTATTACTATACAATAACTGATAACAATATATGAACAACTTGATCTGATTCACTTTCATTTAGTATTCAACCATGCGATAACTTGAAGAGGGTTTATTCGCCAAATAAGCAACTTCCATGTAATTGTGAACCGTCAGAAAAAAATTTTTTTCTATCTCATTTGGATATATGTTGCCTTTATTAGTATATTACTGTTTTTTTAAGTTTTGTATTGCTCAATTAAAATTTTTCAACAAGTTACTAATTTATAACCGAAATTCTTTATCCAAACTTCTTTGTTTTGTTTATTGCTGCTGTTGCTTCATTGTACTGTTCTGTGACTTGTCAACCTAAATTGGTTAAATATCATGATGTGCTAAAAATTGATTTTTCTCTTGACTACACCAAAAAATAGAATTCTAAATGTTAACACTAACTGACAACAGTTCTTGTTCCAGTGAAAGATAAAATCAACTTATTTATTACATGGTTAGCAAACAGACGGTTTTATGAGCTAACCAATAAACATCCAATCGTGCTTCATACCTTTTTTTCATCACTCAAACGTGTATATAACACCACAAGTTAATCTGATTTACTTAACAATAAGCTTTGATAAATAACCTAATATAAACGCATAAATTTATATCTACAATGTAATTAGTTTAATAAAAACTATCTTCATATGATTGATCCTTATTTGAAAAAAAAATTTTTCTCATATTCACTGATCCAAGTCATAGAATCGACTAAAGAATTGATTCATTGAAGAGATGAAATGGATTGCATTCTGTACAAAATAACTTGAAAGGATTATTTAATTTTATTTTCAATTTCAATTGACTTAGATGATTGCATGATTTGTTTTTCTGTTCTTTCAGTTATATATATATATATATATATATATATATATATATATATATATATATATATATATGTATATGAGATGAAACTGATCAGCCAGTCAAAAGCAAAAGAATTGTTGTAATTCTTCAATTTTCATCATCTATCTATAATCTAATGAATTTGTGCTTTATAAACGAGAGAAAACTCCATTATATCATTCCCTGATTTCAACATGATTAGATAAGTTAAAGGGTACAAATCAAGTTAACCACTATGATTTCATCATAAGCCTGTTATCATAAATATATCATAATTTAGTAGTCAGTGGTCAGACTAATTTCAACCAATCAAAAAACATTTAGTATATTTAACACCTGGTCATATCTACAGTTTAAATTGTTAAAAAAAATCAATACATTTCATGTAAGTCAACACAAGCGTGAAGTTGTGTAATTTATTGATTGATTATTTGAAAAGATATACAGCCATTTGTGAACACTTAGATTATATATACACTTTTAAGCGTGAAGATAAATCACACGTGTAAACTGGACATTAAATTGAAACAGAAGTTAGTTTATGTGAAGAGGGATAGTGTATGGAGAAAACGAAAGATGAAAATCTAGAAATGAAGCATGTGATTTTCCCATTCCTTGGGAAAATAATAATAATCGAGTCTTAAGTATAATAGGAATATATAATTTAAGATTTTAATCGGCTGGCGTGAAAACTTTTGGAATATGAAATAATAAAAATATTTATTCAGAGAAATTATGTCTCCAAAATAAAATGCATTAAAGAAGCAATAAATGAGAAATATATATATCGAAGATTGGAATTTGAGGTTGTACAATCGGTCTTAATGGGAATCTTCCAACGTTTCACACACTGTAGTCACTAAATAAATATATGAAGAGTATTAGGTAGGTGTGTAAAACCCTCTCTGATAAACAAATTCAGCATATGTACACATTCATCCTTGAGATATTTAGAGGTTGGTTGAGTTGTTTGAACCGATAGGTGTATTATAAGGTCTCTGAGAAACCACTGGTACTGGGGTAGAAAAATGCCATTTCGATGAAACTAAGATAAAACGAAACCTACTAACCGAATTCTCTTGTTACTCGCTTAAAAATATCAACTATTCAAGTCTAGAGAGAGCTCTAGTGATACTAGCAGATTTCAAAGTTCTTGTTGTTAGGGTAAGTTTCAAAACTAACAGTACCGGTAGTTTCGTTCTATTTCTGTTTGACAAAACTATGGCTATTTTAGAGAATCCCAACCATATTGTATTGCATTCAACTCACTTCATGCTATTGTGTACAAAGTACACAACATCTTCAAACATGGTGTACATTATTTCATTTCATCAGGAATTTAAGCGTATTAGAGGTTTAACGATAAGTGGGGATTCAGTTAGGTCAATTGTGAACAGTTTATCTCCGGATACAAATCACTAAGGCTTCCAGTTATTAAGTCACTTGGGATTAACTAAAGGTTTAAAAAGTTGATCATAGATATATTGATTCATGATAGGACGATTTGTTCTGTTGAAATTCCACTACGTAGAAGATTCTTTTGGCCTATGATGAAAGATCTCTGGGGTTGGTAATTCCTAAAGCTTCACTCTTTTTCATCATCATCATCATCATCATCATCATCATCATCATCATCTGCCAAACTTGGTTGTCAGTAGTTGACTTTAGTAAATTTCTTACGTTTGTGTTTTCATACCTACCTATGTTCACCTCAGACCGGTATACTGACCATCTGGTATTCACCTTATCGATATGTTTAGAGAAACGGTGAGTTGTTGAGCCATACTTTATGTCTTAACTTGTATTATTATTGTCCCAAACCTTTAAATGAGTCTAAAATCCCTTAAAACCTTGACAACTAATCAGTATACTCCGAATTTTTTTGATTAGAATGTGCAATCTGTTTCATGTATCCAGGCAGTTGATAAAATAAGGCCAGTATGATCGAAAACTGATATCCACCATGGTTCATAAGTAAAAAATCATCTAACTGAGACCTCCAAAATATGACTTAGGTTCCGTATCGAAAACGATATTATGTGCATAAACCTTGACTTTGAAGGTGATCCTACTTGTTGCCATCCTAAATAGAAGGTTTTAAGGGTCCCTGAAGAGAAGTTTCTTTTTAGCAACTCTCAGAATAGTCGCTGATTACTTAGCAAATACCTAATAGACAAGATCACTCGTTTGGTCACCTCTGTGTGTGTATATCAGTTCACCTGCTCCTGTGGCGTTTCGAGTATGGATCTGTCGATGTAGATCTTGTACAAAGAGGGTTCAAGAACGTTATTCCTTGTGGTTAAAAAGACAGAGGTAACAGCGGATCTACAAGAAGAGTAACACTGGTCATTCACTTACAACAGCCACCTCTTTCAAGGTTAGATACGAAGTGAGAAGTGCGTATTCGCCTCCTGTTTACTACTAAATCTTTAGCAATCCAGATAGAAAAGCTGGAACTTTGCATAAAAAGAAACTTCTTCAACCATTGTTCCTTTCGTGGGTTCTTAGTCTTAAGTGTTTCAAACGTTCTATCCCCCCCTCCCCTCTTTCAATCTTTTGTTCCATTCCTGTCTTGAATATTATCAACTACTCCTGGTTTCTCGACTCACCCTGATAATAATTGATTCATTAAATATTTTGTCATGTTAGTCAAATCATTTTTCAGATATAATCATCTTTACTTATGGTTTGTATCTTATCTTGAACAGTATTTACTAACCTAAGCGACTCTGCATTTTTTGATAGCAAAGATTTCACTTTATTTTGGTGTTATACCTTTTGATCGATCGAAATAACCAATTTGATTTCTTGGTTTCGCTTGGAAAGGCAGATTTGCATAGAATAGAGGAGTCTGATTGGTTATTTCAATTGTTGCTAGAATAGTCCTTAAAGTTGCCGGAATTTTCCATAAGTTTGGGGGACTTTAAAGGCCACCCTAAAAACTGCCGAAATAACCAATCAGGATGCGGTATTTTGGCTGAGAAGACTATTTTTCACAGAATAGAGAAACTTGATTGGTTGTCTCATCAGTTGCTAGGATGGCCTTTAAAGTGGCTTATAATATTCATAAACATTTTGATTATTTTTATATGTATATCACCTTGTTGCTATGCTTAACAAACTGCATTTTCAAATGTAACAAAGTGAACATTCTCCCAAAAACAAGATTGTATATAAATGCAATTGTACAGCTTAGTGAATGAGATCGCTGCACGTAGTCTCTTTTCTAAGCTATTTGCCTTCATTTTCTTGTACGAATAACCATACGCCGTGAAACTGGATTAGTCTAATACAACTATTCAAACTGCCTGTGCTTGTGTGTGTGTATCATCTGCCTGAGGCTAATTTATCACGCATTCCAACGGAGTGGCGTGATTGGTTGATTTACTTTCTTTAAATGATTGACATGATTTAATTTGGGAGTTTGTGGGGAATTAGAGGACTTTCAAGTTGGTATTCCTCATCGACTGACATGATTTGGAGGAACATTGAAAATCTGGGAGAACTGGACAGCTGTTCCGTCCTAGTATGGGACTCCTCATTAGTGTACACCGATGACCCCACCTGGTGACGGTGAGGATGGCATTGAGTGATGGTCGCACTGTGCTGTGAACTGATGAAAGTTGGACATATGAACCATTTGATTCCGACTCAGTAGCTCAGTGGTGACGTGCTGGTCACGGAATCCGAAGGTTCTGAGTTCGGTCCCTGGTGGGGTTATACGCGCGAACCGCTGAGGAGTCCCACTGTGGGAAGAAATGTCTGTCTAGTTCTCCAAGGTTTCCAATGTTCCTCCAACTGACATCAGTCCATGATGAATACCTACCCGAAAAATTGACATAACTGTCAAATTTTAATTTAATCGCATTTGTGTTTTAGTTCAGAATGATTGAGGTCTATCTTCTGGCAGCCATAATCTACACATATACACCAAAATTCAGTAAAAATTGAGAGAAAATCTAATCCAGAAAATTAAACAAAACTATCTTACTTTTTACAATCACTTGTACATCGTGATAAATTCGTCCCATTGTCGATTCAGCAACGCATGTCACATTCAAAGATTCAGATAAGTCTGTTAGAAGAAGTTTTGCAGTACCCGGTGGTTGTTTACTCAACTGTTCTCGCTGTAAGTGTTGTTTCCCTTTAAACCATTGAACACTTGGCACAGGCGCGCCAACAGCTGTACAACTAAGCATCACACGACCTCCAGGTGGAATAATTTGTCGTGATGCTGGCAGATTAGTGAAATGAGGGCGAAATCGTTTAGCTAAGAGAAAGAGAAAAAAAGTTAAAAATGGTGTATACAGTAAGTTTGAAGTCTAACTGACCAATCAAATTTGGGGTTTCACACTGTTTAAATTGAACTGTTTTCTCTAGGTCATTTTGATTGGAGTGAATTCAAACAACAACCTTTTGAATTAATGTCTACCCTAATAAGAAAGGGTTATTCACGAAACTTAATCACAGGACGCTTATCCAATTCACTGTCAAGTACAATATCATCCAAGAAAATCAGCAGACAGATTATCCTACCATACATAAGGAACACATCCGAGATCCCACAAGATTACTGAGACTACTTGGAATTGGTGTGGTTCATAAATCAATAAATTCCCTTCAAACTATATTATGAAAACTAAAGGACGCAAAAGACAAAGAAGACGAATTAAATATCATTTACAAAATTAACTGCAATAACTGTGGTCAACACTACATTGGACGAAGCGGTCGCCCTCTTTGTCTTCGTCTACGTGAACACCAACTGGCTATTAAACGTCGCACACGACAATTTCATCACTCATTTCAATGCACGTGGATGATCATAGACATGAGAGTATGGAGATCTTGAACAGAGAAAATACAAGGACTACCAGGGAATTCCTATAACCTTGACACTCAGGCCAGTAAGCAATTAATAGAGAGATGTACAGACATAGACCTAGTCTATCAGCCAATAAGAAAGATGACAAACAACTGCAAGGTTAGCGGTCAGTCAGACAAACGACCAATAGGAAAATACATCCAGTCAGTGGCACAGTAATCAAAAGAAACAACCAATTACAAACCACTTCGTTAGGGCAGACTAATGAGTGACTTATGGAGAAATATTTAAGAGGTTAGTGCTGATGATGCTGAGTAGAAAGATATTGAAAACTTCACTAACAAACCACCCACCTCAGAGAATCCAACACTACCAAAATCATCCGCCTGAGCTACAAATATTCTCCATCATTTCAATTACTTATACAGTGTATCAGTGGTTACAAAATGCATAGCAAAAAGGATTATGCGTATATTTTGAAATTGACATTGAATTCTAGGTGTGGAATTTTGGAGGGCGTTTAACTGGAAGATATTTTTCTGCTATCGTAGAATATTTGTACCAGTCGATAGGTAAGTAGGTAGTTGAAGCGTATACAAAGACACTAGTAATTTTCAACTGAAAATCGAGATTGTGTTAAGAAATACAGGCGAGATTATATTGTCTTACTGGATAGTTATATCATCAGCGTGTGCAACTAACCAATAGCATGAAGCGTATAAAACTCTTTTGTGATCACAATTGAAACTGGACTTTAGAAGGACTTCTTGGTGTTTCAACAGAAAACGACTGTTCTTTGCTATTCCATTTGAATAATTTAAGGTTAGTAAACAGCAAACAATGACTAGAAGACATGTCCAGTATACTCAGACTGTATTCAGGTGAATTGCACATGATAACTAGGAAGTGGATTCATCAAAATGTGTATTCAAAGTGATATGGACAATGGAACTTAAGACAAGCGTTTTATCCTATTTGGGACTTGGCGTTTTGGATGTATCCGCAACCCGATGAGTGATATCGCTTTCTTTGAGGCTTGAGTCCATTGATTCAAAAGCCACAGCGTTTAGCTACTGAGTTATCATATCCGTTCCTTATACAATGACTCCTGTTTGACGTCATTGCTCTGACAGTCTATCTTCATTGTTTGGACTGAGATTACTGTGAGTAGCCAAGCCTTTGCAAAACGAAACTCATATGTCGAAAGGAGTTAATTAACGATGGAAAACTGCAAGTTAGAACAATGAAATATGTAGAAATAAACCAAGAAAGTATTTTTAAGCATCAAAACAGTCCAAATAGATAGTGGAAAAATTCGCAAAAGATAATTCAACAAAGAAAATCAAATTATTCTCAGAGGCTGTGCATTCATATTATAGTTGCAATAAAAATGCTTGTCTATCACTAACTAACAGGTTAACTCAGGATCATCAACAATAGTTAGTGAGATTACAAGATAACAACTGGAAGGTTAATACAAGGTGATTACGAGATGATTATGTAATAATCCATGAGGTAATGGAAGAAAGCAGAGGCCTTGGCATTTCGTCAGTTCAAGCCTGATCTCTGCATTCAAAAGAACTACATGGATTCTTTAATTTCACCTTAGTCGTAATCTCCCGAAGACATTTTATCGATTTATTTTATTTTACTCATTATTATTTTCACTCCCTTTTCTGAATCTGAAATTGTTGATTTCAGCAGGATTTTCTCACTCATACTACCTACGCAATCATCTCGTGATTGCTTTGTATCTACCATTCAGTCATTACCATGTAATCCCATCAACCTTATATGACCTTGTGTTGACCTTCTAGCCATTGATGGACACGTGACTTCAAAGGTCACCCTAACAGTTGCTGAAACAACCAATCAGGTTTCTACATTTCGGTAGGGAATGTCGTTTTCCATAAAACAATGTATGTGGTTATCTGAACAGTTGTGAGAGTGGGATTTAAAGTCATTCTTGATGAACATGTATTTCTGTTGTAACTACACATAGGAAAATATACAGCTTCTGAAAATAATTCATCGAAAAGAAAATTTTCGTCACTGAGTTGTATTTTATTAAATTTAAGCAGTTTTAATGATGATTCTATGTGATCAGAAGAACCATTGAAAACAGTGGAAAGATTGAATGGTGGTTTCATTCCAGCCTGGATTTCCTCAGTAGTAAGTAACAGTTTCTATTGATATATTTATTTTTATAAAGAGATTTTACGCAAAAAAGAAAACTAGTACACGCTGATACTATCACAGAGCTCAATATACAAATAGCGAACGAAAAAACACACGAAAAGTGCAAGCGTTTTGCGTTAAAGAAGGGCGAATTTCAAGTGAATGGCATACAAGAATGGCAGCATTGCAAGTTGGCACATAAACAAAGGTAGATACACAATGCAAGTGGCTATCAAAAAACGCTTCTTTGGAATAGCAGACTATTATTGCGAAACAGGTTGACTATCTAGTCAATAATATTTAAAATTGGGCTGGGATTCATAGTTGAAATCTGCAGTGTGTTGGGTTTAACGAAAGATTAGGAAATCAATATTTCTGAAAACCCCACCAAGATATCAGATACTGCCCATGGTAGTGCTGGATGTAGAATCATTTAATAACTCGGTGGTAACGTGTCTGACCGCAGCACTTGGTAACACTGGTTTGAACCTCATACAGGATATTATTTCCATGGAAGTTCCAGATCCGTTTTGTTGACGAGTGCCAAAAAGCACGAATGATGATGAGTTTCCTAGATTGGTGGCCATATTGCAAAATGATCCATTGAATTCAATCAATAATGAAGACTGAACAACATGAAATTGGTTGCTATCCAGTCATCTTCCCATCTTTCATTGCTTTTAGTTAACTAACCTTACCAGTCTCTCAGATGGAAGACCACTTAAAGCCCAGCTGATAGTAGACTTCCATGAGGTATTTTCTCTCCGTTCCGAGTCTGAGTCGTAATCACCTGTCGTTGGGTGACACAACTGGTAGCCTTATAACCACTGGTTTCAGTGTAACTGGGGACATTTGAAGTCACCTTTAAACCTAGATGATGAGATCTGGGTTCTTTTACTACTCAGCCGTAGTTATGACTGTTCTTTTGGGTGCTTTCATCTTTTATACATAACACGACTACACTAGTATGCTATTACAAACTCAGTTTCTTTTATACCTTTACACCTTTGCATCAACATCCTTGGGATGGTTGTTTGTTATTTGTAATTTCCTGTCGCTATACAGATTCGAGTTGCTGGACCCAGTGGATAATGGCTTAGGGTTTGAAGTGATAGATACAGAGTTCGAGTCTCAGTGGGGAAAACATCACTCACTGAGGTGCAGGTATATCCAGCTGACAAGTGAGTCCCGGATTGGGTGAAATGCGTGTCCTGAATTCTACTGATAGTCATCAAGATGACTACAGCACCCTTGGGATTATTTAAACAGTGTAATAAAAGACAGAATGTCTATCACCCGCCTACCTGTCCATTCTGTTCTGCATTAGACAAATTCTGTAGCCAATCACATTCGTAAGACGATTGAAACCTTGAAATATACTGGTGCAAACATTTTACTCACTATGGGATGATCAGTTGTAATTGCAGAGACAGTTGGCATCAATTATATATGAGGTAGATAGCAAATTAATAATTAATTAGACAGTCAGATATTAGCCTGTTTGATGGACTGGTCTTTAGAATTGAAGGATGATAAGTGGAGCTGACAGAAAACAATGAATCACATACACACACACACACACTAGAGTTCATACCAGAAACCTTCAGCATACATCTCATATGCTAACTAGGTTCCAGTATCCCCTTAACCACAGAGGAGTTTGCTTAGCTGTTGTGTGGATAAAGACGACACAGATAGGCGACTGTCCTTTCCCCTTTACGATATTTAAACTAACTGCCTGAAAACTGCAATGTGAATAAGAGCTAGGTTATGATCATTCAACGAAACCATGGCTTAGTAACTGGTTCTTATGGTTGTATATAAGTGAAACATAGATCATAAGTGAGGATTCGAACTAACAAGCAGTAATTCTCTTATAACCATGTAGAGAGAAATGAGGTGTCTGGATGATGAGTGATAATCAGGTTGATGAAGAATTAATTCAAATCACACGATGTGAATTTCCTTCAACAGTTGGACTTTGCAGACCAGTTGGTAAAGTATGGAGTCAGGAACCCGGAGGTCGGTAGTTTGAATCCTACCGAGACTCAGATTTCCATTTTGTCTTCAGTCATCACCTAATATCAGTAGTAAGTATTCAACTGAATAGTTCAACTAACAGTCAGTGGATTATAACTCCATCCTGTACTTGTTCAACTCCAAATAATGAAGATTTTTCTCTTGGAAACAGGGTCATATGTGCATATGTAATTATATATGGTTATGAAACCAGTTGATAGGTGTTTTTCGACTGCTATGCTCTTAGATTGTTGGCCAGTTTGGTATGAAACAGTCTAAGTTTATTGTTAGATTTGTTGGCTATTTTAGGAATCAGGGGATAATAAGAGATAATAATAAAAAGGCCTACTTCTAAACAGGAGTCAACCCCATGAGTTTATTGATTGAGTCTGGGAGGAACAATTACTGACCAAGTTTAAAATTTCAGTTCACTTGGTTAACGTGAAATGAGAATTTGATCATTCTTAAAGCCTCATAGCAAACCAACAACTCAAAAACGATTGATTCAAGTTCTTCTGCAAAGATGCTTCATCATTTTTATTCACACGCTTTATTTATAGAACCTTCTATAAACATACACACACACAAGCAGGTGAACTGGAAAATCGGTGAACAAACCATGAAAAAGCTGATGTTGCTGGTTCAAATCCTATCAGGTTTTTATTTCACAATCAGTCGTCATCGACTTTGAATTGGCCTTCGATAGCGTCAACGAGAAGTAGTTTGGCAACTGCCTCAACACTACGAGTGCCAAAAACCTTTACCAACCTCATTCAACAGCTATATGCTATATAATGCCACATGCCAAGTGACTGAAAATGGAAAGCTCAGTGGTGCCTTTGAAGTGAAGACAGGGGACAGGAGTAAGACAAGGTTGCTTACTATCACCAATGATCTTTCTGTTTGCTTTGGTGGACTG